AAAGGGTGAATAAGTAATATTTTCCAAATTCCAGCAATGTCTGATGGTTAGAGGCGCATATAAGAAAAATGACTTGAAGAATTTGACACAGTTGAATTTGGCTTCTTATGTGAATTTCCAGTTCCACCTTAAATGGTGTAGCTGTTTTTTGCACAATAAAAATGTTTCAGAATTACTTTGGTTGTGAAAAATGTTGTTTTTATGAAGAGGTGAAGGGATATCCCACATTAATAAACCACTTTTAGCCTAGAAAAATACTTTACTTATCTGTTAGGTTTACTTTAGTATCTAAAATGATTTTATTTGTAATAAGGCAAAAAAATAAAATAAGCAACACCACCCACTACTAGTTAAACCATCTAATGCAGGCATGTCAAAACTGGGGACCTTCCGGGCCAAAGTGCTGCTGACGCTCTAAATTCAGTCTATGAAGGCCTTGCTAATTAGCTGATGAGCTGAATCAGCTGGGTTTAATGAGACAATGTGCTGAAGTCTGCAGTGTTTTGGCCCATGAGGACTGGAGCTTGACACATGTGATCTAAAGCTAGCCTAAATCTGCCTATTTTATGATGCATGCATTTGTTTAGTGTTCTAGAAGTACTAATGATGCCCATTATATATACCTATATTGTATATCTTATAAAAGTGTACTATGATCTGATTTGTAAAGATAACATCCCATATTGCCCACCCCTACTTCAGAATGTAACTATAAATTTGCTTGTGTGTTTGTACCTAATACATACTTGTTTTGTGTCAGCAGTGTGCAGAGAAGAAACACTTAAATGAGCTGATCACAAAAGGGCAAGAGAATGGAATGACGGTAAACATCAATGACTTAATAAGTGAAGCAGTTGTGATTGCCTTCAAACTTACTATACAGTTGAACACTTGAACATATTCTTATGTTCATATATGATACATTGAAGGAAAGGAAAGAGGGTTTTTTGCCACTCAACACTTCCAGAAAGGACAATATGTGGTGGAATATCATTGCTGATGTTACTGAAAACTGATGCCAAGAAAAGGGAAGCTATATACACACAATACCCTACTACTGGCTGCTACATGTATTATTTCGAGTATTTCAGCAAAACTTATTATTATTAGGTTAAAGACTATTTCACTGTTTTTTTGTAAATATACAAGAAGAATGCAACACATTCTGAAAAAACTGGGACAGGAACATGTTTACCAGTGTGTTACATTACCTTGTAACGTGCGACCAGTGAGCAGATGCTCGCGGATGTAAAACAGTGAAGAAGCTTTACTTCGAGATATCATTGTCAGTACACAGGCACAGCAAAATACACAGAAGGTGATCAAAACACAATAGGGCTAGGCAGATCAAAGTCCAAAACACAGGCAAAAGTCAAAAACCATATATCCAGCTAACCAGGCAACAGAACCAAAAGGGCAAATCCGAAAATCCGAGAAACAAAGTCAAAACACAAGGTCAGAACAGGGGAGATCAAAACCAGAAAGAACGCTCAGTAGTTTCACTAGGAAAACTGACCATAGCCCGGGCTAATATACTATCTAAAACAGGTCATGTGAGAAAACATACAGGTGAAAATGATCAATATTCAGGAGAACTAGAGCGGTGATACGCTGCTGATGATCTTCCTGGAGTCAGGTAATGAGGCGGAGGATTCTGGGAATCGTAGTTTTGAGGCTGGCTGGCCGAATACGTGACACACCTTTCCTTTTAGCAACACTTTATTTATTATTTGTGGGCTGAAAACACATACTGATCCAGTTTTGAAAGTGGAATTTTTTGCCATTTTTCTGTGTCTTCAGCTGTGCAAGCAGTCCGGACTGCAGACATGTTAGTCTAGCACCCCCACTCTCTGATTAGGCAGCCATGCTGTTGTAACACGTGCAGAATGTGGCTTGGTGTTGTCAAGTGTCGAGCCTCAACCCATCATTGCTCATAAAGTACTCTACCTTTCTTGGATGCTCCTTTTATATCCAAGCATGACTTTGTCACCTGTTTATGATGTTTTATAAACATTTCACAATGTTCCTAGACTTAAATTGTTCCTGTCCCAACTTTTTTGGAACGTGTTTCAGGCCAAGCATATATTTACAACAAAATAATTAAGTTGGTAAGGTAAGAGATTACACATCTTGTCTTTGTACTGTTTTTGTTCAAATACAGATCAAAGGAAAACTAAAAAAAGACTGCTTTCTGTTTTTATTTGCATTTAACTTACTGTCCCAATTTGTTCGGAATTGGGTTTGAATTATGCACAGTTTGGAACCTCTGCTGTACAGGGTCCTTACAGCAGTGATATCAAAAACACTTATTACTTATAGTTTGTTTGGGGTATTTCATTTTAGAAGACATGTGAGACAATCATGGCATTATCTAATGGAGGAAATCAAATAAACATCTACTCAAAATTAAGTTTTACCTGTACTGATGGATAACAGAAATGTAGTTATCTGGAATGTATGTCATTTGCTGTGTGCTTTAGATTGTTTTGAAATAACCATTCATAATATTTAATCAGGACTAATCAAATTATTTTGTGCTGGAAATTGCATTTGTCTAATTTGCTAAAGACGTTGTTTTCCATTTAAAGGGTAACTCCACAGATTTGTTAGAATTTCTACAGAATTCCATGCTTGGGATGTAAACAGAGTAATCAGTTTTTTCATGTGAAATACTTCACTGCAGAGAAACTTCCCAACTCAGAATTCTTTACAGTTATTAGTGTTGATGCCACAAAAAAACTGATCATATGGGACAGCTCATTAACCACAGTAAAAACCAGACCAAGCTCCACGACATCAATGGAACCTGATCCTCGTGGCCTCCAGAGATATAGAGGAGGGAGACGAGCTGCTGTATGACTACAGTAACTGAAGTAAAGCCTCGATAGCAGCTCATCTGTGGCTCAAACATTGATTTGGAGAAGGGAACTACTAACACCCTGTTTCTTAAATACAGTTTTTAAATGTCTTAAATTGCCTTAGCAAACTGAGAATGTTTAGGGGTTAGTACTTGTTTGGGTGTGTTAAACAGTGACTTAAACACATTTAGGTTACGGTACATATTCTACATCCTATATGATACTTTTAAAAATATTTATCCTGCTATATGGCATGCTAGTTTTGACACACTTCTTATTGTATATTTTATATACTTGTAGATCAGTGCTTCCAAAGCAAAAACAGTTTTCTTAAGCAAATGTAAACTAGTTAGTGGCTTAGCAATAATTATTTATGACACCCCAATAGAAAACATGTCTGTGGAATGCAAGTGACACTTAGAAGAGCCATGTTTTAAAAGCTTGGGATAACTGGAAGGTACCCCTGTCCCTCGACCCGATTTGGAATCCAATTGTTTTATGATGTTTAGCGTGTTATTTTATGGATTTGAGCAAACCTGTACCTCTTGAGTGTCCAGTATCAAATGACCCAAGTCAAAAGTATTCAGTTGATTCTCTATGCTGGGTTAGAGGCATTGTTGAATAAAATGGTATTATGCGAAGTTTTTGTTTTTTTGATATATTTGTTTTTTAAGAACATAAGTGACTTTGAACATATGAACATTTTTGCGTTTTGTGCAGTGATGCATTAGATTTTTAAAAGGCCCATATCTTACATTTTTCTTTCTTTTTTTTCCTGAGATTTTACGTAATCATTTTCAAATCTCTTTTTGTCCCTTAAAATTATAGGTTGGTTTGTTACTTTGCCTTTAAGACTATGTAAATGACCTCTGATGTGACTGGCTGTCCTGTATTGTGCCTCATTCAGAAAGAAGTCCACGCACTAAAGAGATCATCCTTTGTTTTCACTGAAAATTAAATAAACAGCCATTAAGTACAAGTAACTTATTTTTCAGAAGGTATTTCCGAGTAGATTATCTATAAAATAATCTGCTTGCATAAGGAAGGGGAAACTCACAGTTCAAGCAATTATTAAAAAATACAGAGATAATGGGACTACTAACAACAACCTGCAATACCTGGAAGACCACCAAGACTGCTACCATCAGATAAACAGCACTTAAAGCTTTCATCTTTGAGACAGAGGAGAAAATCAAGCTCAAGTCTCGATTCAGATCTGAAATTATCCACAGGTGTTTCTGTCCACCTTTCCACTGTGAGGAGGCAACTCAACACTAAGAGTCTAAAAGGATGTGTAGCTGCCAAGAAGCTGTTACTGAGAAAAGGAAATAGACAAAAAAAAAGAAAATTTGCAAATCAAACAAAGAAGCTGCTGGTGTTCTCAGAACAATGAACTGACCACCCCAGGGTCCAGACCTCAACATCACTAACTTTGTGATTGAGATTACTTGGATAGCAAGAAGTTTTAAATACAACCAATTTCTAAGACTGAACTTTGGAGGTGTGGAAAAAATATCCCTGCAGATTTCTCTCAAAAACTGAAAGCAAGCCTAAGGAGAATGGGAGCTGTAAGAAAGGCAAACGATGGACACACTAAATACTAAAAAAACTGTGCCATATTTAGCTGTTTAGGTTTTCGTGTAATTTGTTGTTGTTAAAATGTTTCTATGTTTTGTGCGTTTTTCCTAACGCTGAAAAATGAGTAACTTGTACTGAGAATGTGCAGCCTCGACTCCGGCATATGGAGGTTATAGACTGAATGAATGCCACATTTCAAAACTGTTGTTTACATATTTAATAATTTTGAAAAAATTTTGAAAAAACTCTTATTTGAAAAAGTGTACAATTCGGTTTCCCATGATATGGACCCTTAAATGCTGTTTGATTAATGAAGTAGGTGGAGCCATGAATAAAAAAAATAAAATAAATAATAATACTATAAAAAAAAATATATATATATATATATATATATATATATATTCTATTTTTATTAATAGAACAGTTAATATTTAGGATTTACAGATGTCTGTAATTCCTGTGTAATTTGTTTACAGATGTTTGCCTCTGTCGTCTCTCGCTCTTAGGAATCGAAGTAAGAATAAAAACGGTCTCGCTGACAGCCGGACCAGTGATACGGCTCAAGTTTCTACACGGAACCATTGAGGTGGTGCACGTTGACTATCTGAAGTGTTTTGTTGTTTATTTTTTTGGTTTATTTCTAAGATAAAAACGTTTACTGCAACGTAATGTTTATTTAACAGTTAAAGAGACGTGGTCGTTTTCGAGTCGAGAACTGGTTCAGTATTATAGTTCGTATTTCTGCAGTCGCGCTGATAAAGGTAAGACAACCTTTATAAACTTACTGCTAGCAGTGATTCTCTGACTTGGTTTCCTGAGAAATTTAGTCACTTTGTCACAAATTCAGGTTGCTGCAAAGTAGTAAAGTTAAATTAGAATATTTCCGTTTGTATTTCCTGCTTCGGGAATGCCAAAATGTTGTTTTTCCCTGTTTTATTAGCTAGAAATGTTCTGATATAGGGAATTCTGGGACGATGTCGATATACGATGTTTTTCATGTAGCCTACATATCTGCTGATGCCGATATATATACACATTTATAAAACCTAGCTAGATATTGGAACTGAATTCACTTCGATTTGCATTACAGAGAAATGCAACATTTATTTCTGTAGGATTAGAAATGCAGTAAAATAAATAGAATGCCATTTTAATGCAGTAGCCCAGTGTCACCTAGCATCCTGCTCTTTTGTAGTACAATAAATATGCCATCAAATGTCAGGTACTGATATGAAACTAATCTCATTACGCATCCTCAATTGTAAAAACTCGTCAATCCTGAAGTGCAGCAGAGAGAGGTTTCTAAATCCCCGTTGAGTTTTGGTCAGTTAACTATGCTTAGCGCCATGGTATCTGAGATTGAACAGTCTGGCCAGTTCAGTCTGGTTAAGCTGGTTGACCAGCATAGGGTGTGTTTTTGTTTAATGGTGTAGCTGGTCAACCTTTATGAAGCTGGTCATGCTGGTAGGCCCGATAAAGAATCAGACTCAAGACTCCTGGTCTACCAGTGTAGGTATATTTTTGCTTAGTTTGGATTACGTCCAGCTTATCAACCACCATCAACGACCATCTGAAAACAGCTACCTGCAAAAGGTTTGAGCTGGAGTTTTTAGCAGAGAAATGATTCATACAAACATAATGGTGTGTAATCTCTAGACAAACATAATAATCAAACCCATGTCTTTGAGAAAAAGGTTTGTAAAGAGCCTTATGCCTTATTGTTCAACACTGGAAGAACAATACAGTTCAACACTGTTAGCTAGTGTAATCGGAGAATAATGGCCAGTTTTGCTCCTGGAAATCTACCATCCTGGAGAGTTCACCTCCAAAACATCTAGCTCTAATATTCAGCTGCCTCTGGAGCCCATCATTACATGCATCATGTGTGTTAGACTAAGGTTGTAGATAAACTCTGCATGGTGGTAGATCTCCAGGACCATAACTGGGCACCCCTGGAGAAAACATTTGGGTTCTAGCTATGAACTGTTTGGTTGCATTATATCATTGTTATTTTCTTTTACCATGTTGTCTTCAGAGTTAATATCACTTTGCTGTCCACTGCCTCTGTGCCTCTTTAGATCGCTGTTGTAGCTACAACTGTGTAAAAAAAAAAAGTTTGTGAACCCTTTCAAAGTCATGTGGACTTGAATGAATCTGAAAATGTAATCTGATCTTCATTTATCAAAATAATAAATAGAGCACTGTATTGAAATATCCAACTGATATTTTACAGTGCCGCATCTTTAGAGAACAAATGGGTTAAAACCATATTTGTATGTAGGTTCTTTACCTGCCTTTCAGTAATCTTTGTGTTTTTGTACAAACTCTGTGACTGAACATTGCTGATGTTCATTTTTTTGTTTTTTTCAGAAAATGAATGACTGGAGTCCTCTGGCGAAGGTCTATGACCCCCTAAAGGCTGGCAGTATTGACGGCACTGATGTGGAGCCCCATGACCGGGCGATATGGAGGGCAATGAATGCCCAGTACCGGCCAAACAAAGGCGTAACAGGTGACCCTCAGCTAACACTGTTTGTTGCACGACTGAACAAGCAGACTTCTGAAGAGGACCTCAGGAATGTATTCTCTAAATTTGGAGATATCCGCAGACTGCAACTTATCCGAGACATTGTCACAGGTTTCTCTAAGGGATATGCCTTTATTGAGTACAAGGAGGAACGGTCTCTGATGAAGGCGTGGCGAGACGCTAACAAGATGGTGGTAGACCAGCACGAACTCTTTGTGGACTTTGAGCTAGAGCGCACTCTGCAGGGCTGGATCCCCCGGCGCCTCGGAGGGGGTCTTGGAGGGAAGAAAGAGTCTGGACAGCTGAGGTTCGGAGGCAGGGACAGACCATTCAGGAGACCCATCAACCTGACTGGGCCAGTGCCACAGGGAAGACCCGCTGAACGCAGGTGGGATGGTGGCGGAGGGCGGGAGGACAGGCAAAGGGACAGAGACGTGTCCCCAGGCCAGGACCGAGACTACGGCCGACGCCGCGAGCGGAGAGATGAATGGGATCGGGGAGCTAGAGATCACCATAAAGACAGGAGGGACTCCAGGCGATACAGGGATAGGAGTAATGAGAGAGACTCAAACAGAGGAAAGGAGGAAAGAAGGTATCGGGACTCGTACAGGGATTCTGAAAGAAGATAGCTTGACCAATACATGGGGGTTTTCCACAAAGCAGGATTTCACACTAAAACTGGGTAACTTGAGCCCAAAGGTAATAGCCCAACATAAATATAATTTACCTCCATTTACGCATCTGCCTATTCAGCCCACAGCAGTTTAGCCCCACTCATTCATTCACATTAATGTTATAAGGAGTGTTTCAGCCTGGACTGCTTTTTAAATGAGCCACAATACAGATCAGTCAGTCAGAAGAGATGTGTCTTAAAGGTGACAAAACCAGCCTGTTTAATTTTGAGGAATGAAAAGAGGTTATAACAGGGTTATAACCTTAATTTTACTGTGCAAAAGTCACACCACCCTTCATTTACTTAATTTGCAGTCAAAATGGCAATTTAGCACAAGTTAATAATTTTTCAGCATCAGGAAAAAAGCAGTAGATGTATTTAATTAAAAAATGTAAACATCAACCGTGATTTTTTTTTCTTGCATTTACTGTATCCTTCCTTTGCCTGTATATATAATGTGTGTACTGTCAAATAAATGTAAACATGGTCAAGTAAAAAAACACATTGCTGGAAGTACGCTGTATAAAATGCTTTAATCTGCAATGAGATGAAGTTATGAAGCATTGCTCTTTGCACTGATACAAACAAGGATTTGTTTTCTCCTTTAGTACATATTTTGGAGTATGAATTCTTTCTGCTTTATCAAATTCTAAAATCTTTTACAGCTACACTGGATGTATGTTTAAAACACTGTGAATAAAAAACACCGGCAATGATTCCAAGCTTACAAAGCAGCTTTTGTCAGTATATCTTGCCATGACTGCACTGGCATTTTCATGCTTCGACTAAACAACTCTATTATTGCCAGCGAAAGCACCACTCAAGTCATAAGAATGCAGAAAAGCTGGAGTTCACTGATGACTTTCGAGAGTCAGCAGTTCTCAAATAACTTTAAATAGTTTCTACAATGGAGCTATGCAGTAATACTAGACTGTACATCTCCAACAAGAATATTGTGCCATGACTGTTTCAGGCCTCAGGTTCCGCAGCATCTCAGTGTGGCAACGTGATTACTGTGCAAACTCTCAACACTTTCCATGTGTTTAAACTTATAAAAAAAATGCCACACTATTCACAATGCACCATTCCACAATGGGCATACCAAAAGAATAAAATCTGATTTTATTTTAAACTACTGGTAAATGTCTTTTCACTAGGCATTGCCTCATTTCATAATTCAATTTGAATTTAAGAATGCGATAAAAGTCCCCTAATCAAAGTATTATCTTAGCTACTAAAGGCACAAAAACATGACCTCCTTCCCCGACTTCCTCAGCCCTTCTGACTTCTTCAAAACATCAAAAATGTATCAGAAGTTTTTCTATTCAACCTTGTCTACTTGCAGTAACTTGGTATTTTGGTATACCAAAATAAAATAACTCTAACAAAAGAAAACTAAAATAAAGCCTGACATCCCAGTCTCCTTGGGATAAGTCAAGGGTGGAAGTGTTGTATAACCGTATCTAAGTTTAAGCTGCTCCATTTTCCCTGTGTCCCTTTGTGAGTCCTTTCTTTGTCCACTAATGGCAGGTTGCAGGGATGTGCAAGTTGACCATAATAGGGGGGTGCAAGTGTGGCTTGTCACATGGCGCAGGTTAGGGATTAGAGGGCCTTTGTGCTTGTCACTGTCCAGCAGGTTACATGTGCTGTAAGGCCTCCTGGGCCTGCTCTGTGTAAACCTCCTCATTGCCGGCCCACGAGCCGAAGCTGTTGTCCAGCTGGCCCCTCTGAGAGCTGCGCCTCTTGTCCCGGGAGAAGAAGCTAAACCTGAAAAGAGAGACAGACAGAGAGATACTGGCCATTACTAGTGTTGTTTTATCTATAAAAGACTTACACTGACAAGCACATATCTACATATTTTGGAAATAAAATATATCCTGTGCCACTCAGTGGGACCAGTATGTTTTAAAAATGTTTTATTAAATAACTGTACGTTTTATTAAATAACATGTAATACAGCGGGTAATCAATGGCTCATATAATGCCCTTGGTCAAATGGAAATAATGGTCCTTCTCACCGGCCCTTATTCATTCAAGCTGTGCGTGGTCAAATCTGATTGTCGTCAATTTAATCTTTTAAATGTTATCAAACTCATGTCTGACTGGAGGGTGTGCAAAGTTGAGAGCAATATTTTAACCTGGGAAATGCTTGTTTTCTGGTTATACCTAACAATAACAATAACATCAGCAATAAAAATAGAAAATAGTGATAATTGCATACACAGGGATCTTTGTACTAAAGTGGTAATTTTGAATACAGTCAACATTCGGTTTGATGCAAAAGCGCACATTTTTTAAAACCATTTATCTTGTCAGTGAGTGTTTTTGCTTGTAAAAGCACAATTTAACATTGGAATAGTTGCAAATACATAAATACAGTAAAGCGTGTTTTCAAAAAAGTTGCTGATCTTGAGAGCTAGTTTGAAGAACAAAGTTTGGCTCTAGAGTTCTCCTTGACACCTCCAGCCATCATATTAAATTCCATCACCAGTAAGCTTGACTCAACATAATGAAGTATTGATTGGCCAAGCCAGGTAGTGGATGATAACAGTAATACTGAGCTGTCTCAAGGAGGGTATTAATATTGTTTGTATTCACTGTAATATTTAATATTACACATATGTAATATCGTAATAGTACTGTATACACTAGTCTTCAAAAGTTTGGAATCACTTGCCATATTAACAATATTTATTATTTTATATACAATAATAACTAGATACCAAAAGCTCCTTCTGTGTTTTCCCTCAATATTTCACAATTTTTGTGAACAGGAATTGAATTAAATGGCCAGTAATATACTGTAATGATATATTTACAAGAATTGTAAATTACCTGCATTTGATTTAATCACCACCTTTGGAACACAATGAATTCTCAATGTCAATTTTATTATAACAATTACAAATTTTCAAGTAATTTTAGACTCTTCTACAGCTCTGTTCATCATTCTGGACCTTTAAAGTTGTACAGGACTCACATATATATTAGAATTATAATGTAATTATAATATGTATCAGCAGCACAGTAGGTTTTATACTACTGAAAACACTGATTCAAAACTTGTGAATGGCAGTGTATTGTAAAAATCTGAGGTGGAATTTGCAGACTTTGGATCTTTATTAGTAAATGAGGGACTAGTGGACGGGTGCTTGTTACCGAGCAGCTGATGCTGAGTCATCAACTGCACCCAAATCATCACTCATTCTCCTACATCGTACAGCTCCATTAGACATGGAATAGTTTTTATGTCATTGTATTGTTTTGCAACTTCGATGGATAAGGGCCTTTGTGTGCATCTTTAACAATGTTACGATACATCATGAACTAAACGTGAACAATGACTAAAAGGTCCAAATCAAAGTTTCTGCTTTCACAGTGATGAAGCTGAGCTGGTGTTTCTGCTTTGGCTACGTGCGCCCTAGCTCAGGTAGGAATTTCAAACAAATAAACCAAACATTTCAGCCATCTCCTAGTCAATCACATCAGAAAAAAAACACATACAAGGTGCAAGTTTGCTGGGCTAATTGTTGTTAGGGTTTTAAAGTACTTGGTAAGACAGTAGGACAGTGTAAAAAAAACTTGTTACGTCACAAGTGTTAGCATGTGAACAGAACCGGGAGGAAGAGGGAAAAGGTGCTTTATTCTGACTGGCTGATTCTAATGATCTTCCTGCTGTCAAGTCCCAGATAGCCCCACAATCAGCCAATCAGAATATTGTCGGGATTATGAGCGGCTCCAACAAGAGGCAGGGTGGGGTTGAGAGGAGGGAGGGGCATGCAGTGCCAACACATGCAGGGCTAGAATAAATAAGGTGTTAACAAGAGCGAAAAAGAAACACAAAGGTCAACCACTGAAATAAAAAGGCCGTACAAGGGAAATAAGTCGTCTGATTGGCTGTAAAGTGGGGTCATCTGGAATCAACCCAGCCGCCACCATCGGCATAATGGCTGTGAAGATCCTGTTACAGAAAGGCACAGACACGGAGAGTTGAGCAAAGAGGGAACACAGAAACCAAAAAAAGCTCCACTTTATCATGCCACACTGAGTCCCTCCCTAACTACCTCTTGTGTTTGAGGAAGTGCACACAATGCTTCTGATGACTAATGTTGCTGCTGTTCCAGTATTAGCGATAATGGTATACCACACAGAAACCAGGATTAATAATGATCATGCCTTCATCGATTTTAGTGGCACAAGAATATGTAGATACAAAAACAGTGGAGAACTTGCCATGTTATGCTGCAGAGCCCATAGGAGAAAAGAATATTCAACCAAAGTCAAATCTTAAGCTACACTAAAACACACCTTCTGACCATAGATATGAAGTGCCATGAAAAAGCATTTGCCCTTTTAAGGTAGTATATGTTGTTCCAAAATGAGTACACTTCTTTCAGCATGGTGCTTTCACAAACATGCATGTTACCCACTAATACACCCCACCACAATGACAGACGCTGGATTTTGAACTTTACGCTGGTAACAATCTTGATGGTCCTTTACTTCATTGTCCCAAAGAACACGACGTCCATTATTTTTACAAACAACCCAACAGGTTGATTGTTAAGACCACAATACACATTTACACTGTGCATCAGTCCATTACAGAAGAACTCAAGCCGAGAAAAGTCAGCAGCTATTCTGGACACTGTTGACATATGTCTCCTGTACTGCACTGTACAGCTAAAACATGCATCTGTGGATGATGAATAGTGCTTATTAACAGTGATTTGTTAAAGTATTCCTGAGTCCATCACAGATGCTAGCCGGTTTGAACACAGTGCCATCAGGGCTGGATTCAGAGCTCCTACACATTTTCCATTTCAAAATTCCATACTTTTCCTGACTCAAATTTCCAGACTTCTTGGTAGTTCTGTCAGACCTTTACCAGCCCTTGAAAAAAATTTGCATCTACCCACTGTGGTCGTCCAGTCCACACTCCTACACAGAAAGCTGAATGATGTTCCACTGTCTAACATCTCTGCCCGCCCTCTATCATGGCATCTGTGCAGCCTTGTTTATTCACGGTGTCCATGGAAACGACGACGAACGCAGCTTTATGGTTTTCTTATGCAGAAAAGATATACTTTTCTGATAATTACATCACTGCATGACGCATAACTGTTCGGACAAGCGTAATACTTGGTTATTTCTAATGATATGTATATATCGCTGTTGTCAGAACAAAACCTCGTTATCTCCAAAATAATAACTTTGCAGGAAAAGAAACAAACATACTGTACTTTTAAAGTAAATCAATGGAACCAGAGTTTTTTCCAAGTAATTTTGGGCCATTTCTTTGGCCTATTTATCATGAAATTCATAAACAGTGTAAAGGGCAACAGGCATTTTCAAATTATCTCAAAAACTGAAAAACAACAAAAATGGAGATATGAGGTTTTGTTCCGACAGCAGCAATATGTAATTAAAAGATACTGATGCATTTTCTTTCAAATTAATTTGGTTGCGGATGCCCAGATTTGGTACAGTTATAGGACACTTAGGCAGAGCTGTTTTACAGGCTGTGATGTACAGGTGTTAGAGGCAGCTCTGCATAAGAGTGCGTGTTCAGTCACATGCCATACTTCTCTCACACAGTGGTAAACATTTTCGCTGCACTGGCTACCTGTTCCAAACCATAAAAAACACATGCTTGTATGATATATATTTTTTTAAAATTCTGAATTATATATTTTAGAAAACAGAATAGGGGCAATAGTCTGAAAACACATTTTTCCATACTCTCTTTTCTTTTATCTATACTTATCCAGACCTGGAAATGACTAAAATCAAATTCCATACTTTTCCATACTGCATAGGAAACCTAGGGATTGAAATTCATGGGCTGGTGCTGTTCAACCCTTTACACAGAGAGATTTCTCTGGATACCCTGAGTCTTCTGATTATATTACGCACCGCAGAAGGTAAAATACCTAAAATCTTTGCAAACGCTTGAAGAACACTGTTTACAGTTTGACTATTTGCTGATGCATTTTTTTGGCAAAGTACCCATCCTTGCTCATAAAGGACATGGTGTCTTGGATGCTCCTTTTATACCCACGCATAAATACATCACTTCGTTTTAAAATGTTTTCTGAATATGTAACGTTTCTTGAACTGTCCCTTTTTTTTTTTAATCTGCAATTGCAGGCATCATTTTCAGAATTCAATTTGAGAATTCATGGTTCTGTTGATTATGGTAAGTCACCCAGGTCCTGAAGCAGCAAAGCACCCCCACACCATCACACTACCACCACGTTTTACTGTTGTTATAATGTTCTTATTGTGGAATGCTGAAATTGTGGAAAGCTTTATGTCAGATGTAACGGGACCCCTCTTCCACAAAGTTCCACCTTTGTTTAATCAGTCCACAGAACACAGAACAAAAGGTTTAGGGGTCAATGAGGTGTTCTTTAGCAAATGTGAGACGAGCCTTTATGTTTCTCTTGATTAGCAGTGGTTTTCGCTTTGCAGGTCTCCCATGGACACCATTTTTGCCCAGTCTCTTTCTAATAGTGGAATCATTAATGCTGGCCATATCCGAGGTGTGCGAGGTCTGTAGTTTCTTAGATATTTAGATATTCTTAGATATATATATATATCTGTGTTGTTTTGGGACTTCCTGGCTAAGCTGTCGCTGTGCAACTGCTATTTGTTAATGTTTTAAAGTGCCAAAGGTTCGCCACTATTCCAAGTTTTTTACAACTGGAGATAATGGCTCTCAATGTGGTTCACTGGAGTCCAGGAATCTTAGAAATGGTTTGGAACCCTTTCCAGCCTGATATATTTCAACAACTTTCTCATCTCTTCCAGAATTTCTTCAGATCACAGCATACTATGCTTCTTGTTAACATTGTGGAAAGGTTCTATTTAAGTGATGTTTAGATTCAGCAGCGCTGTCCGTGATCAAGCCTGGGTGTGTCTAGTTTAATTGATCCCAATTATGAACTAACTTTGGTTAACTGGTTGACTGAGTAACTAAATGGGCAATGCCTTTTCACACAGGGCCAGATGGAGTTGGATAACTTTTTTCCTTTAATAAAGGAAATTATCAATTAAATCTGCATTTTGTGTTAGTTTACTCAGGTTGTCTGTCTTATTATGAATTTTGTTTAAAGATCTAAAAACAATTATGACAAATATGCGAAAAATAGAAGACACTTTTTCACGGCACTTTACAGAGAACTAGATTGCTGATGACGTCACTACACAGCAAAGTTAAGCCACTTGGCTGTAAAATGAACAGGAGGCTCCTTTAAAAATATCAGAGTGGCTTTAAAATATTAATTGAAGAATTCACTAAACTGCAAAGAATGTTACATTTATCTCTTATAAGATTCAAATGTCTTAGTTTATGTAGAGCTGCTGTACGTAGTAATAAATCTAGCATGAATAATTGAATGTAAAACTAAATGTGGTGCTAACTGATTATAGTGATGCCCGTAGAGGCACTACCGAAAATTAGCAATATGGCCACAGACATCAGACAAAACAAAAGAAAGATCTGATGTTTTTTTCTACAGAAAACAAAAAACATACTTTTGATTCTGATGTAGATCGTAAAGGAAAAACAATTTAATTACATTTAGTGGAACAATCTTCCTGCTTTGTGCTTTAGTTTATTCCCTTACTTATCAGTTTTATAATCTGTACCACGTCTATAATTCTAGTCTGTGAATACCAGTGCTTGTACAACACCTTAAAAGGAGATAAAGATGAGGTTTCCAGGGTTTGGTTCTCTATATATTTGAGTGTAGGTGTGTGTATATGCATGTATGGCAGTGTGATAAATGTCTAAGACAACTCTGTCATACGCACAAGCGCTTTATGCCAGACTCTGGCTGACTGGCTCTGGAGCGGGGTCTAAGCGTAGGGGAGGGATCTGGAGTGGGCGGGCTGGCTTCATCTTCCTGCTCTTCACTAGGAAAAGAGAACACACAAGTTTAATTATCAAAATATCTTTTCTTTTTTAGTTCTGTTCTGGACCAACAAGGCTATTATAGCAAACAAGTAATGGAGGCTTAAGCGCTACAACATAGTATTGTGCAAACTGCATACGGACAATAAACTTGTCTTAGCTGATTATCTAGGGCAGGGGTGTCCAAACATATCCACAAAGGACCGGTGTGGCAGGTAGTATCCTGCAAAACCGCAGTGCCGCAATTTCAGAGCAGCACTTTCAGCTCTATGTTGAATATGACGTATGTTAATACTCTTACAAAAAATCTGTAGTATCACTATAAACCATAAGATTTCTATAATGCTATATTACTATTAGAATCTAAAATATTTCCTTGTGTTGTACTCTACACTGGTAAAAAAAGAAGGTTCTTCAAGGGTTCTTTAGTTATAATACATAGTTATAATACATGGTTATAAATTGTTTTATATAGAGATATAAACAGGTTCTACACAGAACCATATATAACAAATTCTCAATCAAGAAGAACGCTTTCACTATGCAAAGAACCATTTAAACATGAAATGTTTCTATGCAGAACTCACGGTCCAAAACTAAAGAACCATATTTTTGTAAAAGCATATAGTACACCATAGCAATTGTCCAAGTTTAAGATCTAAGATTAAGATCTACAAATCTAAGATTCTTATAAGAATCCTATAACAAATTGCTGTAGTATTACTACAGGTCATTTTCATGAGGGTATGTTTATGCAGTAATAATATAATTTTTGGTTTATTAGAGCACTTAACAACATTAGAAAAGGTACAATATTATAGACTTTAGAACCACCAAGTGGAGTTTAGCCTGATCTATTCAGACTGTTACTAAGAGCAGCTTAATTTGCTCATGTCTGATGAACATATTGTTTGCTCTTGCATAATGAATCAAAAGCCTTGTCTCGAATACAGTATGTTGTAGTGTTACAAGCAACTGCTATTTGTCAATGTTTTAAAAGGCAGCTACAAGGTGTAACTACTAACCTTTTATAATATGCAATTTCCTCTTGTAGCATGAAAACTTTGGCCTTCAGTTCATTTCTCTCATGTAGAACATCTCGCAGCTCTTGCAGGGTGAAGCGCGGTCGATTTGGATCTTTTGGATCCAGACCCGCCTCTTCATCACACAGCGCCTCCTGTTGGATGGGAAGAACAAGCACTTGGTTCTATGGACAAAATTATTTCTATGGACGATTAATTAATTTCACACCTGATGTGGCTCATACTCCGGGAGACAGCACGGGACTTCACTTGTTTCTGACAATACTTGCATTGTTAGTCTGCACTTATGGGGGTTAAAATGATGCACGCCTGCTTGTGTGACCCATAAAACCATTCTGTAATCAGAGCAACCCTAAAGGTGTTGCTGACCTACATATTACAAGCATTTCTTCAATGCAAACCACACTCACAACACATGCTATATTTTGTAGGCACAAGGGCAATTAAGTTACACCACCGAAAATGTGTATTGCAGTATTTCTTTTGCAATCAGCATAAATTAGTATGTCAATATCACACAAAAACAAAAATATAAATTGATAATCACGTTTAGTAGTCTGCAGACATTCTCCAATTAAGGCTAAAATCAAAGCACATTCATAATTTCTATATTTTATCATGCCGTAAATGTCAGGAAATAATCTTATTGTAACAGTGAAACAAAAGCTCTCTAGAACTCTATAAGGATCCTGATGGAAACATGTAATGTGAACATACATCTTCTGGGATTCCAGTTGTTCTAAATAGCACATAAAACTTGGCGCGCACACATCAAAAAAATTCAAAAAGTGTTAAGTCAACAGAATGACAAATTGTTAGAGCTCAGGACAAGAGTGGTTGAAAAACATTAGGCCACTATCGGGAAGAGGCATATATGTCAATTTAGTAAGATGTCTCCCACTGGGTGGACAAACAGAAATGGGTTATTCAATATCTATTCTAATATTAACTGGCGTCCGACAGATCTTTTGGTTGGCCAATAAGATTAGCCAATATTGAAGGTTTTAGCGGTATAAACGAAAAACATGGCTGATAAAGATCTTTTCTGATGTTGCAGCAACACTAGGATTCATACTTGTAATCTTCCAATAACAGGACGAAACTCCCTGAGGAGCCCAGTGAGGGACATCCTCTATTTGAATAAATGACAGCACTACAGGCTGAACTGATAGGAAAAGTGATAAAAACTAAATACCATCAAAATAACATGTAAACTGTATCTAACCTAAGACTTAACCTTCAGCATGAAAATATCATGTTATTTTTTTTTAATGAAGAGAACAGATGAAAAATAAGAAGTAATTAACAGAAAACAAAACCGCAAAGAATTTGGGTAACTCCACCCCAGTGCTACAATATTTATATTATTTTATTTGAGTTTTTGCTGTTTATTTGGGTTACGAAATGTGACCACTAAGAACAGATAGTCCTTTTTCATAATTTAGGTTCACGAACATAGGTTAGTAAAGCAGTGGCTTAGCCAGAACTTCATTTCAGGGGAGCCTGGTTACAGATTAACTCACATTCAACAGGCTATTATTAAACAGCTGACAGCATACTATAGCAGGTAAAGGCTAAATTATCCTACGTTTCACAGCAAATAGTTAATGACAGCAATGTTCTTTTCACTTTTCCCAGTGTATTATTTACCATTTCTTTACTTGTCTTTATCGCTTTTGGCACTATACCATAGACGCCTATTGGAAGAAGCATAGCTCACGTCACCGTCAAGTCTGCAAAAAATTAGTGATGATCTGAGGAGACCATTGTGGGTCTATTGGATTTATTTAACTTGCTTATCTAAAACCTTTGGAGTGTAAAATCAAAATCTCACTATTAATATAAATATAAAATAATTGGCTGATTTTATCAGCCAATTTTTGCCACTTAAAATCAGTATTAGCTACAAAAATTTCATATCAGTTGGGCTCTAATATTAAGCAGATCTAGTTGGGCTCTAGTATTAACTCAGGCTGACTTTCACTTGCACACACCACATACATCACATCATCTTCGCACAACAGTGGAGGAGGTAGCGCCATAGTGGTAACAGCGCCCACACAAAAGATGCAAGATTAGTTTCAAACCGTGCAACTCTGGCAAACTAAAGGGTTACCCATAGCAACACAGCGTCTTCCTCCTCATCGTCCTCATACTCCTCATCCTCATTCTCATCTGTAAGTGCCTGGCTGATACAAGGAGCAAGGGAGCGGGGGTGCTCCCTTGGTAGGACAGGCTCAGGGAGAAAGCTCTGACCCAAAGTCATGACAAGAACAATAAGACATCCTCCAATTGTGTTTAAAGTTTGCCGTTAAATACTGAACAACTGCATGTGTTTTAACTGATTTTTTCAATATATTAACAATTAAGGTGTGCAAGATTAAGTAAAGAACAATCTGTAATAGGAAGAAATGTGTGGGTGTAATTTGGGCAACAACATCTCCAAGAACAGCTGGATTTTTCTCCTCTCATGGTTTATATGAGTCTGTCAATCTAACAACAGTTTAGCTTGTTAAAAGGCCCATATCCTATGTTTTCTTCAATTTTAAATTGTCCTCACATGACATTTGTGTGGTCTTACATACCAAAAAAATGGACATAAATCATTTTTATATAATCACTTTACAACATCTATTAATTCCTTAGAATTAAAGAGGCAGTGCATTTAGGACAGGTATATGTAAATGGACTCCTAACATAATCAATTGGCGCTAAACTGCTATAGGCTAAGTAAGTGGATATATGTAAATGTGTCTTTTTTCTGGAACTCAGTTTCTATATATGGACTGTATGTTCTGAGAAGTGAACAATACATTTCAAAACTTTGACAGTGTTTATTAACACACTACATCAAACTCTCGAAATTGAAAAAAGTATGTAAACTTTGGTTTTCCATGAAATGGGCCCTTAAAAAAAATCAAAGAGAATAAAGTTATGTATTGAACAGCTTTTTCTAAGCTGCAAAACCATACAAACTGTAGTGCCATTGTCATTTCCCCTTAATACGGCTTACAATGAGTAGAAGTCAGATGTAACACTGTACTAAACAGCAAAATTAACTTTCATTCATTGTTAGCTATGTTAATATTTAGGTGAACTATTACTTTAAATAGCCTGTAGGTCAAGCTCCTGTTTTTCTGACTTGCTGGTCAAACTATGGCTATATTTATCTACCAGCTCACCATCATCTCTTCTATGACACACCGACTAAAATAACCGATTCACTGCTGTCATGTATGTGAACAGTGCTGATACATGAGATCATCATTTTCAGGCCACTGTTTCTTAAACACACTCCTGCAATGTCAATATTTAGCAAAACTTAAACTGGCTCACTGCCAGGTTCCTGTTAAATTAAGAAACATTTTGAATAAATGGTAATTAGTAAAGATCACATACGAAAGAACATAACATTCTCCAAGATGCCAGAGAACAAAACGAATCAGTCTGACAATGTGCTGTCATGTAGAAATCCAATCTCTTTATGAACCCATGACCGATCTACTAACCTAGTAAGCTGTTTTTCTCCAAGGTCACCACAGCAGACATTCTAGAATTTCAGTATGTAGTTTGAAATAGCAGCGTCTGAAGGACTGAGGGCTGAGGATTAGGCTTCTGGCCTTACAGTGTATGGAAAGTCCTTAGAATTTTCCTCAGACACACTAAAATCTAGGAAGCCTACAATGGAAAATTTGCTCTACCACAACCTAATGGCTTATCATGCCCTGTAACAATTGATTTTTGACTGGCCAAGAACAGTAAAGGAGGACACAAATATCATGTAAATATTATTTGTTTGGCAACAGCATGTACAGTTAGGTGCAAAAGTTTGAACACCTGTGGTCAAATTACATGTTTTAGTGATTTTGAAATTAAGTTTATATCCTCTACAGAGAATGTACTTAAATATAGCATTTTTCTGCTAATTTGAATGAAAATTTCTATTAATTTACAGAGTTTAACATGGTGGAAAAAAATAAAATACAAAAATATAAAATGTGGCATAACATTTTTTTAATGAATTCATTTTTTTGGAGTATGTTAAATTCAGCAAATACACAGTAAAGCACATTAAAAGGTGCAGAAGCGTGTTCTCTGTAGAACGTATACTACTTATTTTAACTTAGAAAATCGACAAAACAAGTTGCCAAACTTTTGCACACAACTGTACGTATTATAAGTGGTTTAAAATTAAATTAGGCCTATTTAGTTCTCTATTGGTTCTCTTTCCCAACATGGGTGATTATAATCATCAGGTTGCTTGCCAGTCATCGCTGATGTGCAACTACACCTCCCAGCCTGGTAGGTCTACCAGCTCTTGAGGCTTTCCCAGTTTTTTTGGCCTTACCTGTGCAGGTGATGGTGGTGCGGGGGGCTCCTCAGTCTCAGGGCTGGTCTTCTCGCCCTGCAGCCGCTCCCTAAGCCGGGCCACCTCCTGCCGCAGGTTTCCCAGCTCCTGTTGCCTTGCCTGAGCAAAAGCCTCCAGCTCCACTTTCTGCTCGATCAGAGCTTTGCCCTGCGCCTCCACCACTGTGATCTTGTGCCTCAAGTCATGGTTGATCTTCATCAGCCGGTTCTGCTGCTGCTGCAGCTGTAAGACAAAGGACCGAGGAAAAACAGGAGAGACTGAACACAAGACAACAAGTTGTGATTGGGTCAGTTTAAAATAATACTCCAATGTCTGTTAATCTAATCTCAATACGTTACATTTTTTCAACCATCAGTTGCCTAGATTTTTTTTTCAGGTCAGGTGGTAGACCCTTCAAAGATACCGGTTTTGTTGTGCAAACGTGCAGGGATGGAGTAGTGTCATATTATTGTACTTTTTACATTTAAAAGTACAGTGAGCACATGACAGGTCTGAATACACCAGGCATTATGTTCTCTACACATTTATTCTTATCAGTTCATCAGTTCATTTATTCAATCAGTTCATTTAGAGTGAGTTCATTTACACCGATCAGGCATAACAAAAATATGACCACCTCCTTGTTTCTACGCTTATTGTCCGTTTTATCAGCTCCACTTCCAATACAGGTGCACTTTGTAGTTCTACAGTTACAGACTGTAGTCCATCTGTTTCTCTGCATGCTTTGTTAGCCCCCTTTTACCCTGTTCTTCAGTGGTCAGGACACCCATGGACCCTCACAGAGCAGGTATTATTTGAGTGGTGGATCATTCTCAGCACTGCAGTAACACTGACGTGGTGGGGGAGTGTTTGTGTGTGCTGTGCTGGTACGAGTGGATCAGACACAGCAGTGCTGCTGGAGTTTATAAACACCTGTCACTGCTGGACTGAGAATAGTCCACCAACCAAAAATATCCAGCCAACAGCATCCTGTGGGCAGCGTGCTGTGATCACTGATAAAGGACTAGAGGATGATTAGCTCATACTGTACAGCAAGAGATATCATCTCTGGCTTTACATCTACAGGGTGGATGCTTTACAATTCATACTGGGCCAAACACCAGCTTGCATATATTTCTATAGCAATGTATAAGAATAGTTTTACTAGTTCCTTAAACCAGCACTAAATACTTATAGGACTGTCAAGTCTATAAGAAAGCCCAAACAGAACTGCTTTTGGTTATTAAGACTTGAAGAACACTATAGGAAGACGACTGCTTACGTCTGCAAAAATCCAGAAAAGGAAGAGCTTTTTGGTTTCCCTCGCCAATAAAATAACAAAGATGTTTGAGTTTCACATCTGTTTAAATTTCCTATTCACTATTACAATGACATATTTCAATAAAACCACCACAAACTGACATTTCAGTTTGGAGAAAAACTTCGTTTCTTTAAGTACCAAACATTCTGTGAGTCAGATGTTGCTCCTCTGGTGTAATTAACAGCTTGCACTGTCAAAAGTTGATGCAAGGTTCTAACAAGGTCAACTTTTCACCTGTAGACGTAACTGCAAATGTTAGAATCTGATGCTGAAAAAGTTGTCAAAGTACAAAAGTTCATTCCACTGCACTCTAGTTATGTCTCTGCATGTAGCCTAAAAACCTGGGACTGTATTACTGTATTATTTTTTAAAAATATGTATTACAGAAACAAATCTTACAGCATCCTGATAATTAAGTCAGTGTTTAGTAGGTGATAAAAGTGAGTAGGTGAGTAGGTTTTAGTAGGTGACAAGATAAAATGGCCAGTGAAAGGTATAAGAAGACAAACAATAAAGTGCTTTAACCAACTATAGGTGCAACCAATAATCAAAGAAGGTTTGTCAAGAACAAGGTGCATCACTCACTTTCCCCATAGAACATTTTTTTTTATTAAGTTAAAAAGATGACGTTTCGGCCCATGTTCATCAAATGAGATTGGATTTGGTATTTGCCATCTTAGTGCATCTTTACATGTGAAATATATATTAAAGCAACAAGCCAAAAGAAACACAATTTGTTAATGAATAATTTAAGTTATTATAAATAACAGTCAAGATAAATAATTATTCTGCCAAGAACTTTAGTTTAGAGTGTGTGATTGTTCCCAAACAATCATGGACTGCTGAAGGAGGACAAGAACATTCAGTCACCCAACCTTGTATATAGTAGTCATTTCATGAACCTTTTTAACTTTTTGTCATTTAATAATAAACATATCATAATATAACACTATTTAAAGCAAAAAACTATACACTACGTAAGAATTAAAATACTGGCTCCTGCACCCAAACAGTGGTAAATTATCTAATTAGATCATTTGGGATTCAGCCACATTCATACTGGACTAACAGTGCACTATTTGGGGGTAGAAACTAGAATTTTAAAACTATGTAGGGAGTAAAGAGCCATTTGAGATTCATTTTAGGATTTAAGGCACATTTAACTACAAAACAGACATTGGACGTGTGTACATATTTTGTAGTCTTTTTCTATTTTGTAGTGTTTTACAGTGAATCATATAGTAATAATCATGTAGTAAGAACTTGTCAGCTCCTCAGTTTAAACAAAACATGGGTTTTTACTTCCTGTATGCTCGGTGGTCCAGGCGAGCAGCATTACAGTCAAAGTTCATTCTATTAACAGTGCAAGGATTTTTCATGATTTGGTTTGAAAATACAGAATCCAATTGTTGTGAGGCGGTCATAGGTGTGTGTAGTTGTTACAACAGTTTTGAACAAGGCTCAGCCAATCAGATTTTATGACCAAAATTATCCATTTTATAACAAGTAGTTTATTTCCTCGCCAAAAAGACAGAACAACACAAAAGAAGAACAACGGAAAGCAAATGTTTACCCTGCCAGTTACATCCTAATGTCTGTATCTTATCCTAGTCAGGCAGCACAAGTTTGGAAGGGTGGACCTCGCTGCCGGCCTATTTAATGACAAAGGAAACGCTGACCATAGAAGCCAATGGGAAGGTGCTAAAACAACTGAGTCTGTTTTGAGTAAATAGGATTTCTGTTGTTTTACTAAGTTTTACTTCCTTTAACTACATGAAAAGTTTGATCCACTTGAGTATGTGTTGGTGTGCTTGTATTTTGGTGTTAAAGTCACCACTTACTGCTTCAATGTCTTCATTCTTTAGGGTTAGTTCTCGGTCCTTGGCACGAATCTCATCCCTCTGTTTATCCACGACCTCCTTTAGCTTCTTCATCACTTGCCTCTCCCTTTCTGACATACCTGGCAACCCAGAGAGAGAAATGCATACTGAGAGTTGCAGTACATGACTATACATATAGTTGTTTTTTCTGCTTGAATATGGTCAGGCCTTGTAAAAGAAATCTTACATCTAAAATAGTTAAACATCATTAAATAAAGATAAAAAACAAATTGCATACTGCATTCAATTTTTGTCTGCTTAACACAAATATAATGGGATCCCAAAGCTTGAGACCACTAGTAAATATGCTTACCCACACACAGGCTATCCAAATGCCTGATACCTGTATCCATATATTCAAATAACCTCCCTCACCTCTCTATGGCGCTCGCCCCAGGTTTGTTTAAGACCTGTGAGAAATACTGCTCTATTCTACATTCTCTTCTACTTTAATCTATAATTTGTAACTGCAAACTATATTATCAGCTTAACAATTAGCAAAAAGTTGAATCAGAAATTGTACAAAGCCTTAAATATTTCATCATTGTTGTAATTGTGGTAACTTTCTGTTGTTTATTTCTAGGTTTAAATGAAAAAAATATCAGGTTTATATTGTGGACTGCATGATTCTTACTCAGCAGCATCTGTTATTTGACTTCATTTTGGTTTGTTGTGGTTTCTCCTCTGCCCTGGACTGGACAGGAATATGTTGGTATGCTGTGCACTGAGGTATGACTGACACTCAAAGCAAAACAGTTCCTCTTTAAGTGGCCCCACTGAGTCTCTTAAAATAGATTTGTGTCTGTGAACCTCTAACACATGTACACATGCGCACTCACTACAAAAATAACTGTCTGCTTCATAAACGTTCACTGCAGAGCCAAAAGCATGGAATCAAACAGTAACTAAGTTTCAAAAATATTTTGAACACAACATTTCCAGATTAACCAAAGAGCGTTTTTCTAAATATTTCACTGGTTTGCAGTGATGTACTTTTACACTAATATGTTATATGGGGAAAAGCCTTCACGTTCCTTGTTTATAATCTCTTATATTTACAAGTATTTTTATTATTTACAGTATAAATACTGATCAATATGCAAATTAGTACTTCATTATTTAAACACTAATTTAGTATATCTGACTAAGTTAATCACAGCATTTGAATGGGAGTTATTAGGCAGGTCATATTAAAAAAAAAGGTTAAACAAAAGAAGAATTAGTGAGCCGTACACTACAGCTGCAGACATTTGCATGTGTTACTTTCAATTATCTTTTGTCTAAAAAAAACAGGTTTAAATGTTAAACAGATTTACAAACCTTTTTTGTAAATAGTTTTCTTGCTGTTAAAAATTGACTGTTGTGATTTATTAAACAGGCACAACAGCCCTTTAGCATCCATAATTAGATGAAAAGGGCGGTCGCTACTATTTCACAATGGCCTCATTACAGATCATCGCAGTTCAGCAAAAAACAAGTATCTCCATTATTTTTCAATTTTTTCTTTCTCTTTTTTACCTTATTTCAGCACAGCAGCTGCCCTTTACACCATGTGAAAATGTCATGATGAACAGACCAATAGAAAGGTTTCAAAATTGCCTGGAATAAAATCTCTTTACATTAACTTAAATTAAAAGTTAAAAAAGCTTTTTGTCCTCTCATTTAAAGTTACCATTTTAGAGATGCTTGTTTTCTTTCGACAGTGACAAGATGCATGTATAGGAGTTTTCCTCCCAAAGCATAAAATACTGGGATGAGATTATTATAATAAACCACAAGACTGATAGTAAATACTGACCTGACAATTATGCATACTATTTAAAGCCTGTTGTTGCGCGTTTCCATCAGGCAAGGAATATATTTACATTTATGGCATTTGGCAGACGCTCTTATTCAGAGCTTCAAATTACAATTCACATTTACACAGACAGGCGAAGGCAGTGTTAGGAGTCTTACCCAAGAACTCCTATTGGTATAGCATGGGGTGTTTGTCCAGGCAGGGGATCAAATCCCAGTCTCCAGCTACACCAACCATAAAAGTCAGCAGTGTTTTTATCCCCCATTTCTAGCAGCAGTACATCAAATTGTGGCTTATGTCTGCCCTCACAAAATTTTGATTTTCAATGATGACTTTTTGTATTGATATTTTGACTCAGCATTTTCCCAAGAATAATGACTTGCCACAAATTAATTACAGATTCTCAAAGAGCAACAACTCCATAATAAAATCTCAAGACAGTTTATCAAAATATTAAGAAAACAAAACATTGTTTTGAGATGAAAATTCTAACTTCTGACACAGGTCAAAACAGGGACATTACTACTGCTAGACAAGGTGAGGGGAAAAAATAATTACAAAGGAACTATATTTTTTCTCCTACCTGGTGGCAACGAAAAAGATGCATGCAAAACAACTTTTTTTAAAGTTTTTTTGCATGAAAGTTGTATGTTCTAAATTGGCACAAACTCTCTGTAATTAGCATCTTATTTAGGAAATTAGCACTTTCAAATTTTTGGCTTTTAGAGTGACTCCTCCTATATAGACTAGACAGTATAAGTTCTTCATTTTTCATGAGATGTTTCTGAAGAGATTAGATATAAGATAATCAACTTGCTTATAAAAGGTGAATGTCAAAGGAAATTAAGTGTAAAATAGGAGCTCCAAAACTGGAAAAACAATTAACCGATACAGAAAAAATGAGACTCCTAACAACCAGGTAGACCACCAAAACAGTCCTCATCAGATAAACAGTACTTGAAGCTTTCATCTTTGAGAGAAAGGAGAAAATCAAGCCTCAGTTGGGTTCTGATCTGAAAAAATCCACAGGTGTTTTTGTCCATCCTTCCATTGTGAGAAGACAACTCAACACTATGAGTCGCAAAGGATGTATAGCTGTCAAGAAGCCGTTACTGGGAAAAAGGAAAAAAAGAAGAAAAATTGCAAATCAGTCAAAAAGGCTGCTGGTGTTGTCAGAACAATGGACTGACCAATCCACAGTCCACAGGCCTTAATATCATTGAATGTGTCTGGGATTACTTGAAAAGCAGAAAATGCAACCAACTTCTAAGACTGAACTTCAGAGGTGTGGAAAAATATACTCGCAGAATTCTTTGAAACACAGAAAGCAAGCAAGGGTGGACACTTCAATTTTCAGAAAAATGTATATGTTGTACTTAACGGCCATTCTTTTACTGCAAATTTTGGTGGCTAAAAATGAAACCACGTTTCATGCCTTTAGATCAGCAGTGACACTGGCTGGTCAGATCGTGCTCAGTCTGTGTAAACAGGGAGACAGAGTAATGGAGAAAGTTCAGACAGCGAATCATTCTGATTTAATCAGGCAGGTTGAGAGTGGACTGAGAGGAGCCTGTTCCGGTGGCCATGAACTCGGGGCACGTGGGGGTGCCGCCAGTACTGAGCATTCTCTGTGCTTCCCCACGCTGGCCTGCTCCTGCAGTAATGCTTCCTGGCTGCCCTTCAGTTACACAGAGAAGGACTCCTTTGTGTGGCACGGCTGAATGTTTTTTTGTGCGTCTCTAAACGACCAAGAGAATGAGCTGCGAGTATGACCGCATGTGTTCTCTTTGTATTTGTCAAGAGGACGTTTGCAAGTGAATTGCTGCGAGTGTGAAGAGTGTAAGGGTGAATTATAAGAGCCTAAAACAGGTAATTCAGGAAACAACATATGCATGAGTTTGTAAACTTCCTTCCTGCCGGGCCGCCCACCTCCACTGAGGCACAAAGAAATGACCAGTGGATTACTCTTTAACCCCTTAAAGTCTTACTACAGGTACTTTTACCAAAATCGTATGTGTCGACTGTGCAAAAAGTTAGAGACAACCCTTTGTTTATCTAATTTCCAGTCAAAATTGCCATTAAGTACATTATTTACATTAATACATTAGAAATAAAATAAATTACACAGAAGCCTCAACAACTAAATACAATACAGTTTTTAAGAATATAACATTTTTCACTATTTAATGTCTTTCTATTCTTGTCAGAAGACTTGCTTTCAGTTTTTTAAAGAAAGATTTTTTATCTGATCTGACTGTTTTGGTGGTCTACAGGTGCTAAGAGTCCCATTCTCTCTGTATCTTTCAGTAAAATTTTGAATTCTAGTTTTGGAAGCTCCTGTTTTTTCACTTATTTTTAATTCCATTCGCTCTGGGTTGGATTATCTTCTATCTAATCTCCTCAGAAACATGTCCAGAAAAAAGGATGATCTTTTGCAGAGTACTGTAATCATCTCTAAACCTAGCTATTTTTAACTGACTTCACATTAGATTACCATGTAAAAGTATTATAATCAAACTGCTTAGGCACTCTACACACAGCCAACATATTTTTTTGTTTAGTTAAAATCTGAAACAAAAAGTGCAAATGTGTGCAAAATTAAACGATTAAACGAGCCAACAGAATAGCAATTCCCACATGTGAATAGTTGGCGACTTGTTGTTAGGATACTGTGTGGCTGCTGTTATCTCGTGACCTTCTTTATTACGTTTTACAATACACAAGACAGGGAGAGAGAAGTGAAGTTTTCTGTGTTACACTACAAGCAATTCTGCATTTTTCAGGCCAGCTTTCTTATAGAATGTAATTGGACTTTTTCATTTCTCCTCTGATCGTCAGAATTTTCTTCTCATAGTGGTTCAATTTCTATTTATGTTCTTAGGTTTGTTTTATTCTCCAGCAACAACTACGAATTACTTAGTAACTACTAGGACACTGATATGTAGTTACCAGATTTTGAAAAGGAACTCTGGACCCACCGACAGGTCCCTATAGTTTAGGGTTAAATTCTCATTCAAAACACAGATGCAGCTGGTCGAGTTGGAGCGAGTCCCTTTAAGAAGGTCACATTATAAATTACCTTCCTGTCTCTGAATGTCCTCCTCTGTCATTGCACAGTCTTTGACGGACAGGTTGTTGAGGAGGGTCTTGTTTTCCTCTTGCAGCTGGGCAATCTGAGACAACAAATCCTGGGCTTCCCCTCGCCACACATCCTCAACCAACTCCAGTTCCTGTCACCACACATATACATATCCTATGGTTAGTTCTTTGTTAAACTTGATCACTCATTTAAAAAAATTATTAATTAAAATCTACCTTCTTAACACATAAGAATTTTAAATAACTCATTAGACTAATTGATATAGTTTTTAATTTGAAAATAGAATAGTTTTTAAAATTAATTTGTGTTAAAGGCTACAAGGTTCATCTTTTTGCAATTAAGAATTTGGAACTCTTTGAAAGACTATATAATTCATTTCTCGTCAAAATTAAGGACCAACCAACATATAGGTTGCCTGAGAATACTGGGCAATAATAGTGACCCATGGCATTATAGATATCGGCCCATTATATCGCCGCTAACAAGCCATTAGTTAGCTCCTTCTTTTGGTCAAGGCACTGCCAGGATTCAAATTCCTGACCTGATGCTGGGAAAGACCTCAGTATAAGGCACTCTTTTTTTAACTATATAATAACAATACAGACTAAACTAATTGGAACACAAAACACAATCAGCTTAAATATTACAAAACTATTGTTTTAGGAATAAAACTAATGAAAAATAAGAAAAATAAGAAGTGATAAACAGAAACAAAAAACGCAAAAGACTCTGGATTACTCTGCCCCCTTGGGCTACAACATAATTTAAGACTGTGAGTTTATGATGTTTAAATTAAAGAAGTGTAACAATCAACAATTACTGACAATTACATAAATCAATAAAGCACAAAATAATTAAAACTACTGGAGTATAAAATTTATATCTTAAATAGAAATAGTTCTAAAAAAGTCAGGACATTAGGAAAAATATAAACAAAAACAGCAATAATTTGCAAATCCTTTTTGACCTGTGTTTGATTGAAAGCAGTACAAAGATATTTTATTATTCATGAAAGGATATCTTATGATCCAACTGATTAACTTTATTCATTTTTGTATATATACACTTATTCTGAATTTGATGCCAGCAAAAAAGTTTGGACAGGCAAGTCTAGCACCTGCACTCTCTTACTACAAAGCTGTGCTGCTGTAACGTGCAGAATGTGGCTTGGTATTGTCTTGCCGAAACAAACAGGGACGTCTCTGAAAAAGACGTCATGTTAATGGCAACATATGTTGCTCTAAAATGCATTTGTACCCCTGTGCATTAATGGTGCCTTCATAGATGTGCAAGTTATCCACTAACACACCCCCACCCCCATACAATGACAGATGCTGGCTTTTGAACTTTGCATCATTAACAATGGGGATGATCCTTCTCTTCTTTGGCCCAGAGAACATCATGTCCATTATCTCCACGATCTGAACGCTGGACTCCTCAAATCACATCACATGTTTCCACTTTGTGCCCATCTCAGATGAGCTTTAGCCCAGAAAAGTCAACGACGTTTCTGGACATTGCTGATATGTGCGTCAGCTTTGGTACCAGATTCTCATTTGCAGATGCAGCAATAAACTGTGTTTATTGGCAAGGGTTTTCTGAAGAATCCCCGAGCACATGTGGCTATATTCTTTACAGAAGCATGATGCTTTTTAATGCAGTGCCATCTAAGGGATATAAGGTCACAGGTCTTCAATATTGGCTTTCAGCCATGCCCGGATTCTTTGAATTTAATTTTAATAAGGGTATGGACTGTATATGGTGAAATCCCTAGAAACCTTACAATTGTGTTGAGAAACGTTGTTCTTAAACTGTTGGATTATTCACTTATGCAGTCTTGTGCAAAGTGGCAACTAAGCCTTTCGTCAGTGCTCCCTTTATACACAATCATGTAGCATCACTTAGTACCAATTCATTTTTTTATCAAGGTATCAGATTTGGAATTAACACATGTTTAAAAAAAATCAATGAAGTTGAAAACAAAATATTTAATATCTTTCTTTGAACTGATTTCTATTAAATACCTCTAAAAGAGTATATAAAATCACTGCTATCTGTTGGATTTTTTACTCCCCTAAAACTGGTACTGACCACTAAATGTTCATATCTGTCTGGCCCTAGTCAAAAAAATCAGCAGATTACTTTATTACCACAATATTTGGTAATGATATCTAAGCATGTCACTATTATTACTTCAAATTTATCTGAGATGATCACAATAATTTTACACACTTAGTCAGTTTTCACAATCATATATTTTTGTTGCAGCAACCTAATAGGAAATCAAGACAAATCCAAAAGAAAGCAGAAAAGCATTTTTTTTTAGATATTTCACAGGTCTTACAAAAAATAAAAGCTCCAACTTCTGTCTGGTGTTATACCAACAGCAGAGGGCAGAAGTGAGTAATATTTGTTTATTTGAACTTGAGCGGTTTCTGTGGCCAGTTGGGAGCTACTGAGCAAGAAAAGCAGCATAGCTAACCAGCTAATCTGCCCACTTTAGGCTTGCAATAACTGCATACAATGAGCAAAAGTAAAATAATTCAATTATTCGTACGGCAATTAACCATCAGCTAAAACTGCACTATTGTGACAGGTCTAGTGGCAGCTGTAATGTGTACACACACTGCATGTCCTCTCACTTACTCTAAAACCTCATAAACATTGCATAAGCACACAGTTTACTACAGTCTCTACTGTAAGCTCAATAAAAACCTCACAAGGTGTCATGACTGCCGTAATCCTGCGCTGAACCACATTCTGCCTGTAAACATCCAATCAGCTGTGTCCCACATGACACCCTTGTCATCTAAATACAGGCCTATTTCTTACACTTAAACATAGCATTCTCTGTATGAGCTCCTATTCTTATAGTAACTACTAAATAAATGACTACCATTCAACACACTCTGTGACTGACCACAGAGCTGCTGTTGATCAAAGCTGAAATGTGTGACACTATCTGTAGTGTCGTCTGGGCTTTGGTGCGGGGTCCCAGAGGGACAGCTACGTGATGAAGTGTCGTATTCCCACCGACTCAGTTTGGAATGGGTCACTTCCTGCCATGAACAGGAACTTCGCTCTGCTCTGCCTTGTTCTGGCCTCTCGGTAACATTCCCGAGAAAAAACAAACTCCTCACAGTTATGACAAATCTGTACACCTACCTTCTTGACCACCATGACAGTTTCTTGGTATGGTAGCCCACAACCCTCCTCAAATAAGTTAGAAGTTATTCATAATCATAATTAAATAATGACTCAGGCAGATGGAAGAGTAGCTACCAAAAAGCAGCTTGAGTAAAGTATCAGGTCCAAATCTTCAAGTACTGAGTTCCCCTAATAAGTAACAGCTTAGGAATTGGTTTGTTAGGCTCAGTTTTTCTTTTGGGACCATTTTGTTCTCAAATTAATGTTAAATGATGAAGCCCAAAAAGTGAGAGGTGTGAGAACAGCAAAGAAGCCTATGTGTTGCCACAAAGAGAATGAAATTTAACCCAAAATGAATGAGGGGGCTAAAATGTAGCTAGCTAGCTAAGTGAGTAAAAAGTAGTAAAAAGTAGTTTTCTCACAAACATACTTGAGTACAAACTTAATACTGACTGAAAATACTCACAAAAGTACATATGGGATGCAAAACTTTGACAAAAGAGTGTAAAAATACATGAAACCGTATAAAAACATTTTTCCCTCACAAATACACCTGCATGTAAATAAAAGTATAACAGCTATTAAGTATTACATATAAATGGTGAAAAAGTACCTCAGAAATGTACTTCAGTACACGAAACTCAAGTCAGCTTCTTATTCGAATTTTCCCGTTCCACCTTAAATGGTGCAGCAGTAATTACAGTAACAGTAACTGCTGCACTATTTAAGGTGGAACGGGAAAATTCGAACAAGAAGCTGGTGAATACGAAGCCAATTTTAGCCTCGTCTTCAGTGCATGGAATTGAGTTGATGTTACTCCTTACTTCCCACGTCTACAGGTATTTCTGTAAAATAACTTGACGCTTTGTTACCTCAGCGTAGTGTCAGTTAGTCTGTTTACCTTTTTATGTTTCTTCTCCTTTTCCATTCGGTCCATTCGCTCCAGCCGGAGTTTGTCCAGCTCCAGCCGCAGCTCCTCGGTCTCCGGGCTGATGCTGTTCCGGCTGACCAGGACCTCGAGTATCTCCAGGACCCGGACTACTTTGGGCATGAGCCGTGAGAGAGCCTCGCAGCCATACTGGTCGATAATCCGCTCGAACTCCTGGCCCACCACCGCCGCGATGTCGTACACGTCCATCACGGTCAAGTCGGCCACGTTCTTCTCCAGCGCCGATCCAAAATCTTCCATGGCTGTCACGAAGTTAGCTAACGTTGACATTAACGTTAGCGGCCCCCGCCCGCCGCTAAACTCAACTCCCTTACCTTTTAAAAGACCGAAACTTTACCGCTCAGTTACAAGTCCGGAAACAAAGTCCTTCACGCACGCTGTAATGCCATTTGTGCGGCTGTAGCGGCCCTGACGGCGGTAATATGCGGATAATGTGGCTGTGAGAGCGGCTGTCCCATCGCCGTCCTGCTTCTCCTCCACCGTCTTTGGTCAGACTGTTAGACTGCGCATGTCAGGCTGAGGGCCAGCAGGTGGCGCTGCAAGACGGATGAGGACGGTCACTGGGAAGAGCTCATCACACTGTCGAAGTACGACTAAAATCTGGAGTTCCAAACTAAAATTAAAAAACTAAACTCATTGCTATTATTTAAGAACTACTTTGCTTTCCCGCCATTTCTCTCATGGCTTTTAGTACAGTGTAAACATTTTCAAGAACACGCAACCACACGCTAAAAACTAGGCTGCGTCCAAAACCGCATCCTACCACACAAATTACTAGGTCAAACAGTGCAACACTATTAGAAGCGCATTCATTAGTGTATAGTGTAGTAGTATGTGGTTTTGGACACAGCCCTAGTGTTGCATTAAAGGGGAACTCCACCAATTTTTAAAAAATTCTACATAATTAAAGGGTTGAGATGCAAAGTCATTCAGTATGGATTGGTGTGAAATGCTCCGTTTAAGAGAAACTTGCCGAGTCAGAATTTTTAACAGTGGAGGTGATAGGAACCAGACATCTGAAGAGTTTAAACCCTCTGAAAGCTCCCTCACAGAAAGTGATGAAATGGATATATTACATTAAATGGTTAGAATTATGCTGCCTGATGTCTGTCTGACACATTGTTTTTATTAAGTTTTGTGACAAAATTTCGTCTTAAATATATTTTAATCCATTTATTTCAATCCATTCATGGCAGAGGAGTACATGCACTGCAATATAAGGCAAAATAGTCCCCAAGGAAAACTTTTTTTAGATTAATGACCATTATCAACATTACATATAAAACATAACAACTTAGAAGACACATGTATATTCACTGGTGCTTTTGAATAGTAAAGAAAAAGGCTATGTTTGTGTTGAAGACATTGTGACCCATTGTTCCTATCACCACCACTATAAAGACTATATACACTATAAATCTGAGTAATTTTCTCTACAATGAACGATTTTACATCAAGCCACTCTGAATAACTCTGTTTACATCTCAAGGAAAGAACTGTTCAGAAATTTTGGTGGAATTTCCCTTTAAAGGGCGCATATCAATGAAAAACTCTTAGGTGTTAACACAGCACTACTGATGTTAATTAAGCACTGGGGATTTTGCTGAATCACAACCTTTTGAAATGTAGCCTGATTAAAAAAATCAGGGGTGGTGCAATATTCATACAGAACTGTAAAAATGTAGGAAAAAAGAACTGAATTTACAAAAGACTAAACGTATTACTATTGTTAAAATAGCTGGGATGACTTTGTTTATATGCCATTAATCACATGGCTCTTAGTACAGTGTGAAAACTTTCAAACACACACAGCAAAATGACCATTGCTGAACATTGAATTAAATGGCCCAAAAACTTTTTTCCCACCTTAGTGAAATAAAAATTTGTTTATGTAGTGTGATTGATACAGTTTTAAAACACAGCCTTCCATTCAGTCCTCAATCCATACATGAAAACCAAGCAGCAAAATTCACTGCTTTTGTGATGTCATGAAAACCAACGCATTTACATTTATATGCCTATTCAGCCTACAGCAGCTTATGCTAAGGTTATAAGGACTGCTTTTTGAATGAGACACAATACAGGGCATGGATCATTTACATACATCAGTCTTAAAGGCAGAGTAACAAAAAAGCCTGTTTAATTCTAAGGGATGAGGCTGGAAGCAAAATATAAATAAATAAAATACAGGAAAAATACAGAATATGGGCCCTTTAACTCCCACAGTGCTGAATGAACTGTGTTCATTTTTGCTTAGCTGTTGATTTTAATTTAACCCGTTATGTTTTTCTGCACGTTTCAGCTTTTAATACAATACTATTGATACTAATTCAGTACTGAGGATTTTACTAACTCAGTTTTTGGAAATCTAGCTTGACCCTTAATACTGCAGGTTTATCGTAAAGTCTTTAAACCCTCTGGAAACTGAAGTACCCAAAGTAGATCCTTTTTCTTCATGAAAGACTTTTAAAGTGTTATCCATGGAAGAATACAACTATACAAAGGAGTTTTATAGATTTAGTGAACATAAATGTTGAATGTGTGTAACTGGGTCTCTGATAGCAGGCTATACAAATGAGCATAAACTCACAGGGAAAACATAGAGACAAACGAAAGGAATTCCAATGAATTTTCAAAACTCTACATAATTAAATGGTTAAGATGTAAACAGTCATTCAGAGTGGTTTGGTGTGAAATGCTCCGTTCTAGTGAAACTACAGAGTCAGAACTGTTCACAGTGATTGTGATAGGAACCAGACGTCTAAAGAGTTTAAGGCCTCTGTGAACAACATTACAGAAAGCTATGACACAAAATGTTTACAAATATGTAACCTGAGACACGTAATACCTGAGACGTCTTAAATGATGGTTTTATTATTAGCGTTTGGGCTATTGTTTTTTTTTAATTCTTCTATGGCAGAGAGATTCATGCAAGGCATTAGAAACAAAGAACAAAGTCCTCAAAGAAAACTTTATCGATATTACAGATAAAACTGAGACATGTGCAAGTTTACTTGTGAGAAAAAAAGAGAAAAAACTCTCCAAACCAAAACACTCCTTAAATTCAAAGGCCTTTATTGTACTGACATGTCCAGCTGGGCTGTTAAAAATGCCCACGTGTAGCAGCTCATGCCTTCTTCAGGGCATAATACAAATTAAAGGACGGTGTATACATGCCCATTAATTAATCAGGCACAAACACAGGTGCCTATGATAAGTCAGAAGAAAGGTACACAAACTAGACCCCACCTCTAAAGTAATTTCATTGGCTAACCATTCAAACCAATTGGTTGTGCATGTTCAAAGATGTCTGTCAAACACAGGCCCACTTAAAAGCAACAGCAAAAAAAAAAAAATAATAAAAACTAAGAAAAACCCACAACACAACTTTGAAGTGACAAACGCATAGAATATAAAACTTTTCAGTATTAAAAATTGCATTTAGCACTGGTTTATACACATACAGAAACACAAATGAAGTAAATCCCACAATCATCACAGAAATGGTCTATAATCTGTTGCCTCATTAAGACCTGGGTATTCCATAGCTTTCAGTTTCCAGATGCAAAATGTTTCATGTTGCAGTAACAGCTTCAGTCTATCTCCCCCACAAATGGACTTTTTAAAGATTTCAATACCCTGAATGGCTGTGGTGTGCTTTCTTGTAACGCTTAGCTAGGCGTAGTCTTCTTTATTAACAGATTACTAGTGCTTTTGGATAGTCAGTAAAATGGCTATATTTGTGTTGTAGACATCGTGACCTCTGGTTCCTATCACCACCACTGTAAAGAAATATGAGTCTATAAGTTTCTTGATAACGAACCATGTCACATCAAACTACTCTGAATAACCTTGCCTACATCTCAACCACTGATCCAAGATTTTCAAAAATTGGTGGAATTTTCCTTTTAGGACTTATTCTTCAGCAACATCTATGTATTATTCATTAACTATTCTAAAGCTAATATGTAAGTTATGTAGTTTTGTGAGTAAGGAATTGAAGTGTGGGCCCACACACACAGGCCCTTAGGGTTCAAGGAGTTAATACAATAAAGGTGGGAGAAACAAGTAATGAGAGAGGACAAGAAATCTAATAATGGCAAGATAAGAACATCATTATCTGCCATCATCAAATAGACACACACACACAAAATTGCACTGGAAATGGTGAGTGGCGATTTGACTTTTTAATATGATTTATACTGAATATCTAGTGACAAAGTTCACTTTTGCAGCATATATTTTTAGTTCAGCACACACAGAGATAAAGAATATGAAAAACAAAAGAAGAGCATATTCAGTAAAGCTATAACAACAATAGAATTGGTAATGAAACAGAATACTTGCAGTCAAAAATATCTAAATCATACAGCATAAGGCAAACTACAGAGATTTACAAAATATTCATATCAGAAATAAAAGAAAATACATAGCATTGAATGTCTAAAACCTCCATTTTAAAATTCTCTCTGAATGATGAAACATGAATGATAGCTATGATGACAAATTGAGGTGTAATACAAAGGATGTTGATGTTCAATAATAATGGGTCCTTGTCACTTCTCAAGGGCTTCACCTAAACTGTACAGGGGTAAAATATTAAAGAAATGAATGACAGGTTTCAACATAAATGCAACAGCATTATCCACACATTAAACTGTGTTTTAACTTAAAAATGAAGTAAAAGATCTGCCTTAATATTCTGAGTTAAGTGATCTTACAATAGTGAGTTAATAGAACAACAATCTGTATCTGTATCTTCAATGAACTTAAAAATTGAAGGGTAACCAAGATACCTAGAGTACTGTGCAAAAGTTAGAAAGCATTCTTCATTTATTTAATTTCCAGTCAAAAGTTATTCATTTTTTTCATAAGTTATTCATTTTTCAGGAGGATATTAGATATAAAACAATCCACTTACAGAGAACGGAAATGTGGAAATCAGGCAAATCAGCTGCTGGTGTACTCAGAGCAAGGGACTGGCCATTACTAAGACCAGACCTCAGCTAAATGTGCCTCTTGGATTGTGAGAAGCAGAAAATACAACTAACTTCCAAGACTGAACTTTGGAGGTGTGAAAAAAATACCTTTCTCTAAAAAACTGAAATCAAGTCTCTCAAAAAAGAATTGAGTGTGTAATAAAGGCAAAGAGTGGACATACTAAATACTGAAATACTTCTTATATCATATTAGTTGTTGAGGCTTCTGTGTAATTTGCTGTTAAATATTTTTTCTGCTTCTTTCCTGACACTAAAAAATTAATAAATGAAGTGTCTCTGACTTTTGCACATCACTGTAATTTTTTTTTATAATCAAAACACTAATTTAGTTGTACAGAAGTAGAGCAGGTGTTGCACAAAGAGATACTTACTGCATTCTTAAGGAGGGTGCCAGATCTGTGGAAAATGGACCTTTTAGAGGATGTGCTTTTAGGAGGCTCTGGTTTAGGTGGCTCACGCAGTGATGGTTCAGGCAGTGGTGGTTCGGGCAGCGGCGGTTCAGGCAGCGGTAGTTCGGGCAGCATTAGAAAAGGTGGTTCGGGCAGCGGAGGTTCAGGCAGCGGTGGCTCAGGCAGCAGTGGGTCAGGCATAGCTGCAGGTAAGACACTGACAAACCTGTCAAAGTTTCTCTCTACAGGCTGATCAAGAGGCACTCCAGCCAACTCATAGTGCTTTTTCCTTAGCTCCCCCAGCCGCTGACGCTCACTGGACAACTTAGACTCTAGCTCCAGCACTCGAACCTGCAAACAGATGTTACGACAGATGGACAGCCAGATAGATCATTTATTAATTATGATGAAAAAAAGGAGTCACAGCAGCACATACACAACATATGTCATATCAAAACCTCAGTCATTTTTTTCTCCTAGTTTTCAACACCATTTGAAACATTAGCAGCCTTTATATTGTATGAACATTTCATGATGAAAGGATCAATAGAAATGATCCTAAAGTACAGAATATGATTATATTAACATACATTTTTCCACAAAGTTTGGCCTTTTTGGAGATACAGGCTCCTGTTTTAATATTCTTCGAAATTCCCTTATGAAATTAACCTTGGACCTTGGAATCCTAATGGCATCCTAAGGGCTATTCAATTACTAAATTAGCTCAAGTTATGTCATTATTTGAGCTCTTGAAGAGGCAAGGGATCTAGTCAACATAAAATCACTGCAATCTGAGGCAAGTACCTTTTCAAGGTTTATTAGCCATATCAGTCAAATACTTTAAAACTTACTTAAAGCTAGATTATGTCAGACTTGGTGAATGACATGTCTTCCAAAGATGTCAATCAGGAATGTCATTTTTCTTTAACAGTATAATGCTGATTTTGCGTTTGAGAAGTAAACATTGAGCTGGATATTCTTTTTGAGTCTGAGCATGTGACATTAATATGTAAAGATGTATGACATGGTCCGAAAATGTCCTGCAAAATCCTACCCGACGCCTCTGACTATTAAATGACTATTCCAGGCTGTACAGGGTGACAGCAGCACACCATATCGCTGCTGTCTGAAGAAAAACTTGTATCTCTATTTTTATCTTCCGTCTTTCAGTTTTTGACATAATTTAAAATTACCTGTTAACTTTTACATTGTGTGTAAATTTAATGAAGAATGGACCAAAACAATCACCCCAAAATAACATGGAAAAACCTCTGGTTCCACTGACTTCAAGTAAAAGTAAATTTTTTTTTTAAAGTGGCAGATTTTCATCTCATGTCTCAGTAACGCTATTTCTTTCAATTTTAACAAAAAGAATCTGGAGCTTTAAGATTTCAAAACATTCAATTTGCTATGTTCAAATTTGACTTTAGGTAGCAAACTGCTTCATCTGTTATACATGACTACTAATAGAACTTCACTACTTTAGTCAGCTAGCCTCCTAGTAAGTTAAAGCTACACAAAAAAGCTAGCTACAACAAAAAGAAAGGCAATGCACCATGGTTTTAAACTAAAGCTTACAGGTTGTCAATTGATCAATTGATCAACTTTTACGTTCTGACTACTCAAAAAATAACAAATTAACAAATTTTGCATGACATAGCTAATTAGCTCACTGAGGCTAGCCTAGCCAGGGGCAAGTGTGTCCTAACTGACCTCTGCAGCATTCTGTAGCAACATGCTCGTATTAGGAACTCAGTTTTTCTCATATGGGAAAAATTAATACTATTTTCAGAAATCGCTGCTATCGAGCCCTGTGGTGAACTAACATGTTCCAATACATTTATCCTGTGTAAATTTCCCTCAAATTTCACTGGATCTTCTGAGATCATTAAGAAACTGAATATTGCTACCCATACTGCAATCATGCTACCACTGAAATGGCATTGCATCAAAGTAAGCCTTATATTAAATTTTAACACTATTAAAAAACAACATCAGTGAAATAAACTGTAGGCTAAAACTGCCAAAGCAACTTTACCACATTTGACAAAGCTTGTTGGTTTGTTTACGCTATTTTGGTGAGGTTGCCAGTCAACGTGCTAAAGTGTTAGCATGCATGTAGCAACACTCACAACCTTGTAAATCAGGGGACCTAGTAATATCGTGAGGAAAACTGTATAGCAGCTAAATGTATCAGGTTTTGTTTACCACAGGACACGATAGCAGCAATATTTGAGAACGGCACTAATTTTTCCCATAGAGAGAACCGGCTTAGACCTGGAATTCCTTATATGAGCAAGACCCCAAATACAGAATGAGGGCATGACTTCAGAGGTCTCTTGAAAAATTCTCTCCTGTTTGTCTCCTACTCTTAGTACTGTAAGTGTAATAAAAGTGTGCTGCACTTCTGAGTGATGAGTCAAAGTTTATAATACGTATGTATTATAAAATTACTGAAACAGGCCAAAAGAAACGTTGACTGAATTTACCTGAGACTCCATTTCCTCTGTCTTCAGCTTGATCAGGGAAATGCCTGAGAAATCCATGGGGTCTGTGGGGAGGCATTACATAGAGTTACCTAAAAACCAACTGAATTATAATCAGTGCACATTAATGTTAAATGCTTCTGCTTTCATTTTTACAAAAAAAACAAATCTCAGGCTTACTCATTTTACCCCAGCTATTACAAAAAAACTTTGAAAACATGTTGTCCAGGCACAAGTAACTATTAGTTCTACTGTAACTTTTTAAAACACTGAAAATGTACTCTGCTATTTTGAAACTATATGATTATCATCATATCTCAGAAACGGTCTCATTCATACATAAAACTTATAATCCTACTCACTCTTATCTTCAATCTGCATCTGCCCAGCCTTAGTTGAAGTTACGACGACCGCAGCCATATCATTCACATGACGTGAAGCCTGCTGCAGTGTGTGAAGCTTCTTATTGCTTCGGTCAGCCTTTACCTGTAATAATATATGGCGGACAATATGACCATACATCTTCACGTTCAGCCTAACTGATAAATAGCATTGTCAAAAATCAGTACATAAACTGTGCTTGAGCTGTAGTTTGAGATATACAATATTACAATGGGATTTTTACCTTAGAGGCAGCCACTAGTTGGGCAGTGCTAGCAGCGATCTCATGGGAGCACACGATCAGCTCTTCATATTTGCCTCGATCTGTCACTACTTTGTCAGCGGACTCACTAGATAAGAAGCATATACCACAGTTACACATGTACAGGGTGTGTGTGCATCTGAAATCACACTTAATGTACACTGTTAAAAAAAACAGTAAAAAGTCTGCCAACAAAGTTGCAGAAGAAATCTGTTAAATAACAGTTATTTCTCTACATTTCTGATATTGGAATCTTATCAGTATTGGCAGATATTTACTTAAAAAAACATCGCCCTTGGACAGATGTTTAGATTTGACTGATATTTCAAACTGGTATTTGATGTACTTCTAAAGAGCAAGAGAATGTTTAGTTAACACTGGACGACTGTGCTAAAATCTGCATTTGTAACCCTACAAAAATAAATAAGTTTCTCCCTAATACTAATCCAGTTAGATTTTCTAAATGTTTATATATCGGCATCTGTATTGGCATTGGTAAATATGTACATGAAAAATACTGGATTTTGGCACCAGCCCACAACTGCATCCCTATAGAAAACATATTTTTTTACATTTTTTTACTCCCCACACACTAGTTAGGACTATATCATATGCGATGCTGCTAACACATGCTCTGTTGGGCTCCTGGACACAGATACCCACAATCTCCCAATGCTGACATGAACCCTTAAATACTTTAACCACTTAATACTATGAATACTGCTATTGGGGGCTGTTATTTTGATGACACTGACTTATTTCACCAGATAATCTTGTAAATTGATATTAAAATAAGCATTAATTACAGTGAATTGTCAGTCATCATTTGAATTTTTGTTAATGGTTATATATAAAACATGAAAATAATTGCAAAATAAAAAAAAAATTATTAATGAGTATGGTAATTGGCTGTATTATTATTCCACTGCCAACTGTGCTGACGTGTGATTTATTCAATGAAAGCGCAAAAACATTTGCGCAAGCAGCATAATTAGCACAGTAGCTTCACTTGCATTGCATATGGCTACATACATGCTACAAGCAAGCTAACACTTCTGTGCACTGATAAGATGTCGCATCGAAGTAAATCCACCATAAACAGAGTGTTTAAAGGACTACCTGTTATCTGAAAAATCAAAGAATGAAAGTTTACCCTATTTAATCTTTAAACATTGTGTAAAAATAAATAAGGAAAATAAATCTAATATTTAGGCTATATGGACATTTCACATGAGCCCCATACAGAACCCAGAAAAGCAAATAAAATTATTTTATAAAGTTATTTTACAAGATGAATGACCCTCTTCTGCATTTCCACCTGTATTTTCAAGCATTTATGCATAATGTCTTCAAGATTAATAAAAACGTACATACAGTTTGGTGTGTCCAGACTTTTGAGTGGTATTGCACATAAAGAACTCAAACCAATGTCTATACAGACCATCTTTCAGAATTAGTAAAAAAAATAATAAAAAAGCAGTTAAGTATTAAGACCTTAGATAACTACAAGGAATGTGTTGTAATCTTTTTAAACTCATATTAAATATACACAAAATCATTATCTATGGTACTTTCTACTAGGAGGTGTCTGTCCCAAACCCTACCCCCTAAATTCTAAAGTATGAAAATAATGCTAGCTTTTTTCATGATTTATTGTATCTTTTTGGTTTATTTTAATGTGAAGTTAGAGTTTAAAAATAAAACAACTTTATTCAAAAAATGCTGTACCATGTTTTCATATCAATACCGACACACAAAGAGTGTTAGCCCATAAGTGGAGCCTTATTTTAGCCACACCCCTGCATTTTAGAGCAGGAAGTGAGACTGTATCCCTGTCCCCCTGCCACATGGTGAGTAGATAGATTGTTTTGAAGTAAATGTGTCCCAAAGTCTAAAAGTCAATGTGTAACATTAAGAATTGTCACTACAGAAACACATTTTCTGCAATTAAGTAAACTTGTTTGTGTGTTTTAATGAACAACATTATGGTTTTCTGTGTGTACAATTGTTCAAAGCTGTGTTTGCTAGTTATGTACTGGCTAGCATTTTTGAGTTATGCTCAAAATGAGCTAAAATTGTCATTTCCAAAACACTCTGGAACATTTGATGCAGTTTTGGTAGTGTTATGGTTGTTTTGGTAGTGACAAAATTCAATGTTCAATCCTTTAGTTTAATAAAATAATTCAGGTATAAGGTCACTCAAAGCAAAAGGATAATAGTATATTAGTGTAATATCCAAGTCAGTTAAAAGTGAAATGTGTTTTGAACTCTTTGTAGCAATTTAGTAGAGTGATCCATATAAAACATTCTGTATATGCAAATAACCATAATTTCAACTTATCTGTAATCAACAGGTAAAACCAAGAGATGCTACATTACTATTTGGAGAAAAATGGACTTACACCATCTGTGTGGCTGCCCAGCCTACAGTCTTGGAGGCCGAAATGAGCCCTTCAGTCCAGCAGGAATTCTTGGCGTAGAAGTCTTTCACAGAGCCAACTCCCTGTGGAGAGGAGAGGTCAGTGAGCAGCGTCTACACAATCCCAAATGTGCTAGTTATGCTATGCAAGTATTTGTCCACACCTACCCGACCACTCTCCACAATGTCTTTCTGTAAATCAGTGGCAGCAGTTACCAGCATGTGTATGGCCTGTGGGAAAACACAGTCAATCAGCTGAAATTCACAGAAAGGGTGTGATGACAGAATATATCATCACAATTAAAGCAATTGTCTGATCCCAATGCGACCCAGCTGCTCACATCGGTTTCGGTCAGATTCGTATGTCATGTCCCAACTGTGTGTGTTGGGCTCTGGTTCCCACAGCATCTTCCACTTTTAACAGATTTGACCCTACTTTTAGATTTTCCCCTTACTTTAATCTTTCATTACCTAATCTAGCATGGTGAACTCACTCATACAGTCAGTTTAGAGCAATTGTGGGAAAATGGATGTGTGGGAAATAAAACATTGCACTGATCTGATTGATCTTCCTTTTAGACATTTGTGTATTTTTTATTTTAATTTGTTTTATATGATTTTTAAAATTTTATTTATCTATGATCTAATAATGTTGCTACACAGTATTTCTGGCACTATCCTTTTGTTGGGCACTTCAGACACAATTTTGTTGAACTCAGGTCAGTTTTGGACTGCTACAGCTGGGGCTCGGACATAGTTCTCAGTTCTTAAGCTGTTTTTGGGTTCTGACCAAAATTTCAGGCCCAATTAAAGCTCCAATCACAATATCTGAAGACATTTTTTACCATATATAATATATATTACAATATTTACTTTTTCAAAGTTGGAGCAGACAAAATACACCAGCAAAAAAACAACATCACATTTAAAAAATGGCTGTGAAACACTATAATCTTTTCTAAATTCAACATTTCAACGCTGTATGAAACAAAAGAAATGCTCCAATATTCTTAAATATTCTTAGTTTTGAATGCTCCAATATTCTAAAAAAAAGGTGCTTAAATTTGAATGGAAGTTAATGTAAAAAATATTTTTTTTCCTTCTCACGTAAAGTTACTATTTTGTAGATAAGATGTGTTTTGTCATTACAGGAACAATTTGCAAAAATAAACTATTTAAGAAGTGATGACGTTAGGAAACATAATATATACATTTTCATAGCTATGCTGATGACATGCAATTATACATTTCGATTCCCTCTAATGATCAAGACAGGTTACCAGCTGTGTGTCAGATATTTCTCAGAGGATGTCACAAAATTTCTTATAACTTAATGACGGAAAAACTGAAACACTGATATTTGGTCCTAAAACTCAGAACACAAGCAGAGTTAGTTACTGTAATGCTTTTCTTACTGGACTTCCTAAGAAAACAATACATCTCTTACAACTGGTACAAAATGCATCAGCACAGATCCTAACAAAAACAAAACAGAGAGATTATATCACTCCCATATTGAACTGCACTGGCTACCTGTATCTTTCAGGATAGATTTTGAAGTTCTGCTACTAGTTTTTAAGGCTCTAAATTCTCTTAAAGCTCCACTTACATCACAGAGTGTCTGTCTGTTTATGTTCCAACACGTAATGTTAGATCTGCAGATACTGAATGTGAAGAGGCCTCATTCAGTTATTATGCTGCTAAACTGTGGAACTGTGGTTCACCTTCTAACAGATAGTCAAGCTCAGTTCACACATTTAAGAAACATTTGAAAACGTATCTCTTTTAACTTAGCATTTGATTAAAAATCTCCTTGTTATTTCTTTTTAACTCAATCTGTCATTGTCTTTTTTGGTATGGTAGAACATTTCACCCATTTGTAAAGCACTTTGAGCTGCCACCGGTATGAAAAGTGCTCTACAAATAAAGATATTATTATATTGATATTATAAAGTAACAGGAGAGAAATAAGGGTAAAAATAAATGAAATGAAAGAAAATAATGTGATGGATTAACAGACTGACATCCAATCAGGTGCTTGGATACGGTTTATGCAGTTAGTATACACTGGTAATTATATACAGGCTCTCTATAACTCCTCTGTCTCTGAGGATAACATATAGTCATATTGCCTGCTCTTAATTCCTACTTAATTAACTCCTCTGAGAAAAGTCAGCTGTATTTCAATGCAAAAGGACTGGCAGAGACTTACCTTCATAAGATCAGAGCAGGAACCAATAATGCTGCAGTAAAGGGAAAAAGGGAAATGACATGATATAGAACATACATACAAATTCATTTAAATCAGTACAGAGTGAAAAAGTATATGGATTTTGTATGATCAATGACAGTCATGTGGCTACATCCCAATCTAACCTTTGGTTAACCTCCAGTTTTACTCCTGATGTATCTCTTCTTGCCTGGCTTAAAATTTCCTATAAAACAAAAACATCATCTTAACACAAATGTAAACCAATATAATATATATATATCTTAGTGCAACCTTGCAGAGCTCTTACGTCCATTCTCAGCACAGCTTCCTCAATAGCCGTGGAAGTAGCAGCCATCTCCATATCCACCATGTCGGCCAGTTCCGCTTTCTGAATGTCTGCGTCTTTGTGCCGCAGGTCCTGAAGAGAGCAGTTCCTGATTAGTCCACATATACACACAGAGCTCATATACACTACTGTTCCAAAGTTTGCAATCAATTAACGTATTGATATTGTTGTTATTTTATTCAATTACAAATTACACAGCGTATACTGAAATATCATAAACTAGACACCAGAAGAAGACACTTCAACATAATATGTTGGGAATTTGGGGTTCATGTTCAGGGATGTGGCCAGAATGTTTACAACGGTGTGGCCAGGTTAGACCCAGTATTTTAATAAGGTCACAAACTACTTGGAAAAAAACAGAAAGAAACAGTTGTCAATAAGGTTTGTCTGCACTTATATTAGGCCTATATGATCAAAATAGCTGGTTTATCACATTTCCAAAAACAGCTGAAACTGATTTTGTTCCTGTTTTTGATAAGGTTCAGTGAAAAATATTGTTAGTTTTGTTCCTTGCATCATTTCTACTGCTAAATACTGCATCATTGGTTATAATCATGTGATCCACAGCACAAAATTAAATAAAAAACTGTACTATATTGATGTAGAAATTTATTTAGGGGCATTTAACGATGTTTCTCTAATGCAGAAGTCCAACTAGATCACTACTTCAAGCAAAATGAACCAGGCTAACGTTAAAGATTTGACCAGTATTCATTTATCTGTTTTCTCTTCAAAGTAGCCTATCAGAGCAATGACAAGCCGATTATCATCTGACTCTTATAACTTACAGGTAACTGCTCTGATGGCAGATTTTCACAGTAACATGTAAACATGCGCACAGAATAAGTAGGACAACATTTCTCTGGTGATTGCTTTATTGATGACAGATGACTGTCTCACTTTGTATAACTGGGGTGATCGTACATTATGCCAGGTGGCACCCCTGGCCACCCTTGGCTACGCCCCTGTTTAGCTTGAGTGCATGGAACCAAAAATAAATGCTGATGTGCTCTGTAACTTGCTTCAGTATGAGTCACTGCTTTAATTGCCTGCAGTCTGAAGTATCTCCAGGAGGGAGCGTTATTAGCATGCAGGTCGCCATGAATGCACATTTGCATTATCATCTATTAAAACAACAGGTGAAGTAGTTTTCAAAAGATGTTGGGTTACTCAGTGTTATCTATATTTTTATTAAAGGATTTCATGAAAACATGTTCATGAAGGATAGAAAGTAGGTTTAAGATGCAGCAGATCACGTGTATTGGCTGCGGGGGGGGGGTGATATAATCTAGAAAATATTGTGCTAATTATTCTTATGCATTGCCCCAGCCTATTTGATTTAAAGTTTTCTGAGTAACAACAACAAGTTGAAGAGTAACGTACTGCATTATAATAGAGATGCACTGAAATTGCATGTCACAAAAATTGTTTGGTCAAAAATTACATTCAAGGTGCACTAAAGCTGTTCTGGTAGCTCAACAACCAGTAATTTAATGTTGTTTTTTCTGACACTGATCTGTGTATTAATGAAAAAAGTGAGTCCAAACTTTTGAACAGCAGTGTAGGCATGCCCAGAACACTCACATGGCCTTGGTTGAGGATGCGCTGGATCACATAGCGGATGGCGGTGGGGTCAGCCCGCTGTAGGGTGGGCTTCAGCTTCAGCTCTTTGAGGAACTGGAGGCAATGGGTAGCGCAGTCCCTGCAGTTATCTGTCAGCCCTGGAGAGAGATGGGAAACAAGGTATTCCTTCTCCTCTAAGCCAAATCTAACACATCTGTAGCTATTAATCAGTGGCTCTTTGTTATTTTAGTAAACTAGGTAAGTATCTCTGTGTAAGACTGGCACATAAGCCTGCATAACCAGCAGCATGGCAAAATATTTGTCAGTATGTAGTGATTTATTCAAAACCATAAAAATGATTCTAATGATAGCTATTGTTATGGATTATTTTATGTAGATGGCGTTTATTATAACTATCACTGATTAAAGGGGCACTATATAAGATTATGTGCCTTTATCTTTGAATTGAAGACACACTGAAATGAATGTAAGGGAATGGAGAGCTTCTCTCAAATGGTCTTCTCTTGCCTAAGTGGCTCACTTCCAGTGGCATGCTTTGGAAGGCAAAAGCTCGGGGCTTGGGAAGAGGTCTGATGCACAGCCCATGTCATAAATTGCATGCAATTACAGATTTCCACCAGAGAGGTCTCCAAATTCCCAAAACTTACACAGGGCAGCTGTAAACATTGCATAACTCAGTTCACACTGATATGTTTCATGCTTCAATGTGTGCATATTTATGTCATGTTTTATGACTTTTGTGTTTCATGCTTGTGTATGCGTCTGTGTTCTCACGGTCAGCTTGGTCAGTGGGAACAGAGTGAGCAGTGGCAGCTCCATTAACAATAGTGTCCGCTGCAAGGTGAGAGAACTGGGTCACTGCTCTCAACAACCCGCTGGCATCTGAAGGGAAGAGTGAAGCATGTGAATTTATGCTGTTCAATCCCATCTGCTATAAAACATTAACACTTTAACCTTTTAAAATCCAAGGCTTATCACACCCTAAGGCTTACTATTCAGTATTTACAAAGAAAACAATGCAAACTCACTGAACTATTCTTAAAGGCAAATTTAGCTGATTAATTTAAATGGTTAAGGTGTAAACAAAGTCATTCAAAGTGGTTTGATGTAAAAAGCTCCATTCTAGAGTAAGAATTGTTCACAGTGCTGATGATAGGAGCCTGATGTCTGAAGAGTTTAATGCCTGTAAAAGCTACATGTTTCTACATGCTACATGGCATAAAACTTATTTTTTTAAATCTATTCATGGCAGAAAGTTACATGCGGGGTGATGAGGATAAAAATAAAAAGTCATCAACATAACATACAAAACTCAGAAGACACATGTGGACTCACTAGTTGTTTTGGATAGTAAATAAAATGGCTAAATTTGTATTGAAGACATTGCGACCACTGGTTCCTATCACCACCGCGGTAAAGAAATCAATCATGTTCTCTATAATGCACCATTTCACATTTAAACACTCTGAATGACTTTGTTTACATCTCAGCGATTGAATTATGCAGAGATTTTGAAAAAAATTGCTGGAATTCCACTTGACCTGCCAGGTTCTAAACTTTCAATCGATGTCAAACTTGTGTTTGTAAATAGAAGAGAAAAAAACATCATTTACATTTTTAGCACATTTTTGTCAGTGCTTAATAAATGCTTAATAAACAAACATAAAGCTGCTTGAAGCTGTGAATGTAAATCAAATAGTACAGTGAATATTTTGAATAGTAAGCCACTCTCAACTTCTACCGGTTAAGAGGCCAAACATAGTTAAACAGTTGGATCCTCACCGTCCATGTTTCTCAAGTAGCCAGCATGGCTCTGCTGCATCTTGTCAATGGAGACCAGGGTTGTTTCAGCTCGGTTGATCAAATATTCTGGTATTCCAGGTGTGTAAGGAGAGATATTAAAGTTAGAAAAGACCATTTGACTTTTGTAGAAAGTCCTATCTTGGGGTCTTTATTTTGACGTTAAATGGAGGAAGATGTACCTGGAGTGGAAACACAACGCACATGCATGGGGTCGTCCACTTTGGCCACAGCGTCCAGTATGATGCCCTCAGCCTCCACGACAGCACACTGCAGCAGACAGAACTGCTCCTCCTGCAGCTTCTGCTGTAGCATAGACTCCCGACTCGACTGAACACACACACAGCCCCCTCAGACCATCTGATACAGAGTTTCATCTGATACAGACTTTCACAGTGTTCATATTGCAAACCTCACTGCTCAATTGTTTCACATAAGAAAACCACACTTGTGATGGCATTACAGTTGCATGGCTGTGTAGAAAATATGTATCCGATTTGTAGCCAAGGTGATGTGACCTTAATTAGAATGATCAGATTGGAATTATCATTGTTTTTGAGCTGGCAATGGTATTTAATCATTAAAATTCATTTTTTAAATCAAATTTTCTCAATCTAATTTAATTGGGGCCAATTTTACCCACTAGCTAGGCCTCCCTCAATCACCTGATGCTACCAAGAGAGGATACAGGGTAACACGTGCTTTCTCTGAGACATGTGAAGCTGATCACTACGTCTTTTCAAACTGACACTACAGCAACATGTGCAATGACAGCTCAAAATGCTTGGAGAGGAGGACAACGATTACTGGCAATTCTGTTACGCCAGCTTTGGGAAGCACTGTGCTGAGTGATTGGGGGACAGAGAGAGGACCATCCTACCCACCAAGAGAGAGACTCTCAACCATGGATGGGTGTGAAATGCCAGGAATGGAACATCAGCGGCTAATTTGGAATGAGTGTCAGTGAAAACAGCAGAGTCTTTTTTCACTGAGAGCTAATAAGAGCTAATAATGTATGCTACGAAGACATGTGCTGCTCTTTTGTTAATTTGTTGTTGTAATGTGAACGAAGCCTTATGCAAAAAATATGATTTGTGCCACTTTAACCCTGTAATGTGAACGAGGACTTAGGCAAAAATATGATTTGTGCCACTTTAACCCTGTAATGTGAACGAAGCCTTAGGCAAAAACTTGGATTTTTCTCACTTCAACCCTGTAATAAACATTACCAAAACATTATACACAGTGTTGCTGCATGTCTGTGGTATGACTCTGACCTTGGCCTGCAGCTGGCTCTGCAGGGAGCTTGTCTCCCGCTGGCTCCTCTCTCTCTCCTGTACCAGAGTGGCCTGGTGCAGCTTAGCAGCCTGCCGCAGGGTAATTAGCTCTGCCTCCTGCTTTTTCACAGAGTGCAGCAGCACTTCCTTCTCCGCCTGCAGCCCCACCAACACACTGTTTATCTCGTCTCCTGCCTGTAACGCACACCATAGGAAAGTTTTTGAGTGTATAGGTTACACTGTTCTGTAAAAAATGACCAATTTTTAAATACAAGCAGGCCAGTTTAAAAATGGATAGTGTGTGTAAATCCTCCACAATATGAAAGCATACTAAATCTTCACTGACACAACTTTTGAGGATAAAGATTCAAATCTGAGGCAGTAAACATGGTTTCTGTGCTGAGCTCTTGCAGCATTATACTGTCCTTGTTACTGGCAGAGGCTAGAGTTTACTTTGAGAACAGACAAAAACAGCTGCACACACAACAACAAAAGTTCGTTATCCATGGTATCCAATTTGCAGAGGATGCAGACTCAAATCAGAGTGAGTGATGTCAAGTGACTGACATGGGGTGACATGAAGACAGAATGTAGCCCGATCTGTGGTGTGTTGAGCCAAGTTATTAGCCTGCAAAACTAGCGCTAGCATTTTCAGCAGCACCAGAGACATTACAGAGGTGGAAGCAGTTTACTTGTTGAAAAATGAATAGGAAAGCTCACAATGCTCAACATGCCATTTGTTTATGGGGCTACTCCTGGCCTTCAGTTAAAAGATCCGATCAGCTTGCTGGTAAAGCTGCCCTTTTTTCTGAGTTATTTAAACCAAACACTACAAACTATTCATGCTGTTTTGGTCAGATTTTACCCATGATTTCAAATCTGTTGAAACTTTAATGTGGCATTCAGTCTCAGATTTATAGTTCTATCTCTATGTAAAAAAACAGGTGCCTGGTCTTGTATGACTAGAAATAATTGCCAGGAGGCATAGCCAAGACGGCCGCTGAGGGGACAGACTTCTTCTCCGAACTTTGGCGCCACTGTGCATTCCTTACAACTGTTCAACATTTAGCAATACTTGTTCCACTTATGTTCAACAATAAATGTGCGATGATTCACTAGTTTATTTCCTGATTATTAATGTTACATTGAGATCAGACTTTCGTTTCTGCATAAAGGCCTATTTCCCAATTGCCAAAAGCAAAAGCACAGGATGTTGAGTGGTTTTGAGAACGACAGAGTTTGAAAACCGGGAAGCAAGGGATGATTTGCATATTCGTCCATATTCATAAATGTTCACATTCTGAATGAGTATTAAGGTTTAGGCATGCTTCTACTCCATATTTAGTAGTTTCCTGGGCATACAAATATTAAACAATTTATTATTCAACATAGATTACTATTTATGGTTTAAACTGTTGCCTGAGTTGAATTAAGAGAATGCAGTCAAAAAGCTAATGTCAACAGCATGAAAGTTAAAATTTGTGCAGTATGCAGTGAGAGCAGACTGGTCACCATTAGTTTTCATACATAGATGGCTATTGCTTTAACTGCAGAGTTAAACCACCTGAATTATGTATGATGCTGTAAGTACACATTTTACACTGGTGATGGTCCTGCCATTGCCAGGCAATGAGAAAAAAAACTTACCATTTCCTTATTGTTAAGAGCACTTTGGGCACTGAACGCCTCTGCTCTCCTCTCCTCTAACTCTCGTTTCAGTCTGGCAATCTCCAGCTGCTGATCCTGCTCCCTCTGCAGCTGTTAATACACATATTGCAGAGCGGTCAGTGAAATATCAGACACTTTATCCCTTCAGAAAGAATCTCTTGCAAAAGAAGGCCAGTTTAGGAAGTTCAGCTTATTCACAGTTCTTCAATTACTGAATCCCAGGTATTAGATAAGGAAAACACTAAATGGAGTCTCTGTGTGCATGAACTGTCGTACTATTTGTTGCAGCTGGCTCTGCAAGGAGCTCATCTCTCTCTGGTTCTTCTCTCTCTCCTGCTGCAGAGTGGTCTGGTGCAGCTGAGCAGCCTGACGCAGGTTAGCGAGCTCAGTCTCCTGCTCTTTCAAAGACCGCAGCAGCATGTCTTTCTCTGCCTGCAGCCCCACCAACACACTGCTAAGTTGGTCTCCTGTCTGCAACACAGATGCACACACAGTAAAAACAGTCAAATTAAACATGAATTGAATTAGTAAATAATAATAACAATAATGTATGGCGTCTAAAACAGCTTAGGTTAACTAGAATGAGAGGCACTATATGGCCAAAAGTAAGTAGACACCTAACCATCATACCCATATGAGCTTGGCGGACATTCCATTCCGAAACCATTGAACATTGCGTTGCCCCTCTCTCTCCTTTGCAGCTATAACAGCCTCCACTCTTCTGGGATCTTCTTAAGATTTTGCAGTTTTTGGAATTTGAGTTCATTTGGTCAAAAGAGAATTTGAGAAGGCCAGACAATGATGTTGGATGAGAAGGCCTGGCTCAAAAACGACATTCCGATTAATCCCAAAGGTGTTCAGTGGGTTTAATATCAGGGCTCTGTGCAGGCCACTGGAGTTCCTCCAAACCAAACTTGTCCAACCTCTCTTTGTGGACCTCGGGGCAAGTCATGCTGGAACTGGAAAGGCCCTTCCCAAAACTGTTGCCACAAAATTAGAAGCATATAATTGTCCAAAATGTCTTTGGATACAGTAGCATTAACTTTACCCTTCACTGGTAATGAAGGGCTCAAGGCCTGAAAAGTAGTCCTAGACCTCCACCAAACTTTTCTCTTGGGACCTTGCATTCCATTAGGTAGCGTTCTCCTGGTTTCTGTCAAACCCAGATTCGTCCATCAGACTGGCAGATAGTGAAGTGTGATTCATCATTCCACAGAACACTTTTCCACTGAATCCGGAGTCCAGTGGTGGCATACTTTACACCATATAGTTGATGCTTGGGATTCCACATATTGGTCTTATGCTTATATGCGTCTGCTTGGCCATGAAAACCTATTTCATGAAGTTTCTGATGCATAGATGTTGTGTTAATGTTTGTTCTACCTCTTTGTGGCTACATTTATACACCTGTTAGCAATGCATGTGGCTGAAGCATCTGCACTCAATAATTGAGAGGGATGCCCACATTTGGCCATATAGTGTAGAAACACACATGGATATATAAAAAAAATTAAGTACAAATTACAAATGCAAATGATAGCTAGCTCAGTTTGGCTCCTTTTCTCTTACTGAAGGGGCGAGGAACAGCACAGATGTATTTATAAGCCTTGATTAGTGACCAACAGAACATTGATGAAAACATAACAACACAAAATCATAAATTTTGTCAAAACAATGAGACAGAGAGATACAGCGATGCCCTACAGAATTTTACATAACTTGACAAACAACATATTAGATGCTAGTTTTATGCTGGAATGCCACTTTACGTGCATGTCTGTAGGATCTTCAGGATTCAAAAAAGCACTGTGTGTGTTTTGTGCATGCATGTGTAAGAGAGGGAGATAGAATACTCATACAGCAATACCTACCGCCTCTTTACTCTGCAGAGCAGTCTGGGCACCAAGTGCCTCTGCTCTTTTTAACTCCAGCTCTCTCTTCAGTTTGTCCAGGTCCAACTGCTGCTGCTGCTCCCGACACACCTGTTGAGGCACATGCTTAGTTACTTTCCCAGCCAGTTAATATTTTGGTAGACACTGCCTTCTTGTGGTGGCCTGGTTGGTAAGACTGGGAGTTTAGCTGTAATAAACTCGAAGTACATTTCTGTTAAGTGTACTTCAGGCCAGAAATAAGGCTCAAGATAATGAAATAGGGCAAAATATTAGAAACTGGAACAGGTGGGGCTCGAAGGTGTTGGGTTTAATTGCCAATTAGGGAATAAAAGGTTATAACCTAGTAACAGAGGGTACACCAGTGATTGCTTTAAAGTTGGCGTGGTGGCACCACATTCCCTTTCTATCCCTCACCCCAGAACAATGACATGAAAAGGAAATTCCACTGATTTTTAATTTTAAATTGTTGAGATGTGAACAAAGTCATTCTGAGTGGTCTGATGTGAAATTATCTATTTTAGAGAAAGTTACCGAATTGTTCGCAGTGGTGGTCACCAGACATCTGCAGTGTTTAATGCCTCTAAAAGCTTCCTCACATAAAGTTACTACATTAAATGGTTATGAATACACTGCCTGATATCCAAGACATTGTTTTATGACAACTTTGAGATAAGGTTTTGGCCTAAAACATATTTTTTAAACACATTCATGGCGGAGAGCTACATGCAGGGTGTTGTAAGGTAAAATAATACTAAAGAGAATTTTTCAGCTACATTTCAGGCTACAAATTTATAAATATGACTAACTAACTGTTTACAGTTATTTGCCATAATGATTATTTAACAAATAATTCAGTAATAATGACCAAGTCTGAATGGGGGAGGACTTAAAAGAGCAGTGTATAAGATGGGGTGATTTTACAGATTGCAACCAACAGAAAACCCCTTCCTCATCCCTCTTTCCAAGCATCTAGTGAAATCTACGGGTCACCCTCGCGTGCTTTTGCTTGTGATAATTAATAAGCATTATCCTCCATTTGTCAAAATTTGGGTTCTAGAACTTCTCACAACACAAAATGGTTAGCTAGAACTGTCAGCCACTTCAACATAAAAATGCGGCATTTTGTTACTGAGTTGCTACTCTTTGAGGACGCATAATTGTTTCAAGATGAGTCATTATTTTAAGACAATAAGCCATACTAAATGAAAACATTCAGAAAATGAGATGTTATTTTGTCATTAAAATTAAAAATTTGATAGATAAACATAGGCCAAAATTGAATGCACTGCTGCCAGAAATGGGGGGCAAAAACATCAGGCAACTTTTCCTCACCTGACGGAAATGGGCAAAGATAGCAACTATATTAATTGTACTTAATGGTTAGTTGGGCAGGAAATGAAGTTAACAAAGGATGATCTCTGACTTTTGCACAGTTCTGTACATGGATAAATAAAACTGATTCACAGTTTCTGAGTTTATAATTCAGGTGTTGTACCCACTTTGTCTTGCAGCTGGCTCTGCAGGGAGCTCATCTCTCTCTGGCTCCTCTCTCTCTCCTGCTGCAGAGTGGTCTGGTGCAGCTGAGCAGCCTGACGTAGGTTAGCGAGCTCAGTCTCCAGCTCTTTCACAGAGCGCAGTAGCATCTCTTTCTCTGCCTGCAGCCCCACCAACACACTGCTCAGCTGGTCTCCTGACTGTAAGACACGGGACAGGAATATGAGACAGTGTGACAGATAAACTTTGGTGGAAGATAATCTATAAAGAGACACTGGGACAAACCTTTTCTTTGCTCTGCAGAGCAGTCTGAACTTGCATTATTTCAGCTTTCCCACTCTGCAGCTCCTGCTTCAATCGCACAATTTCCGCCTTCTGTGATTCAGCCTAAACGTAATAACAAAGCAAATCACATATGTTTAAATGTGTAAACAGTAATCTATGCAGAAAGGCAATGTAAATAAATTATTATACATAATTCCTTGCTTTTTAAATGGCACTAAATCAATAGTCTGAAGTTTGTTTCTTTAGCTTTGTGCTGGAGCTACATGGCTAATGTAGTTGAAAGTAATGAAAGCTTATGACCACCAATAAGAACTGTGTGGACTACATGACTAAATCGTCAAATATTTGTCCAAGTCAAGTGGTGAAGTAATCTCAAGTATGCTTGACTAATATAGCATCTGACACTGTATAACATGTTATCTATAAAAATGGGCAAAAGTACAGACACAAAAAGGCTACATGCCATGTGCCATTGGTCATTATTTGAGAATTTTGCTATCTTCAGGAATTTGGCTATTTTTTGATAATAAAATTCATAGTGCCTCCTATTTTTTAATTTTGCATGTACAGTCTATCGAACCATTTGTCAGGTCATAAAACTTTTTAAATATTGTTAGAAGTGTCTGTGAGCTGAAAATACAAAGAGAAAAAAATAAAAGATTTGTGATTGTGGTTCTTTAGATGGCTTAAAGGGGACCTACTTTGCATTTCCAGTTTTTCCCTTTCCCTGATTGTATAACTTTTTGTGCATGTAAATGGTCTGCAAAGTTATAAAGCCCAAAGTACATGCCAGAGGGAGAAACTCTCTCCTACAGAAACTACCTTTCTCTGTCTGAAATGCTTAGTTGGAATTCCAGCCCTTTTCCTTTGATACAAGGTGATGCAATCTCATAACACAATCCTAATTGCCCGCCTGCCAGCAAGCTCGGCACACCCTCACGCAATACACATCAACTGCTGAAGGCCGTGAAGAGTCTAACAGAGTGTTTCAGACAGAGGATGAATGTACAGTATGAGAAAAATAATGTGGTTTTGAAACATTGAAGCATGTAAAGCTATTCTAGTAGACAACAAAAATTTAATTATGAACACTGAAAATGAACATAACAGGTGATTTTGAATACTGAGAAAAAATTTATGATCAGCATAAGTTGGCCATATTTTATTGACTCTCCTTTTGGATCCATGCTTATTGCTAAAACTAGACAGGAATTGTGTGTGGATGTTTCCTCAGAGCTAAGACAAGTCCTTGAAATTATTTTTATTATTAAAATTAAAAGGGCTTTTACTATCGGATGTTAATGCTTGAAAACAATTGAAATTGAGAGAATGTCATTTGTAATTAATTTTTTTATTTTCATTGTTTTTTTATATTAGTTTATCTGATCTATTGCACTGAAGCTCTGCTGCAGATTCACAGCTCTCCGGCAGTCATCAGCGGTCCACTTCAGGTTCTAAGGCAGTGGTTCCCAAACCTGGTCCTGGAGTACCCCCTGCCCTGCACATCTTCGTGTTATCTCTGCTCCCAACACACCTATTCCAGTTAATCGACTCATTAACAAGCCCTTTGCAAGATGAAGTGGGAGGGAAAACATGATGTGCAGGGCAGGGGTACTAGGTTTGGGAACCTGTGTACTAAATACCGAATGATAGGCTACTGACTGGATGTGATGGTTGTGACCTGTCAAAACAGTGAAATTTGACAGTAATAAGAAAGTTCCACCTTTGTGTACTTCTCCTGCCTGAGCTGCTCTAGCTCTTGTGCCATCTGCTCTTTGGTCTTGATCAACTCCTCCTGGGTTTGCTGAGTGCTGGACAGCTGCTTCACCATGTCTGCATTCTGACAAACAAACCAGAGGGTTACACAGGACAAGAGGAAGGACCCCTAGGCTGACTGGAAGTGTTTATTAGAAAGATGTTACCCCAAAAATAAAGATTGAGTACTTTTCTCATGAGGTCGGCGTGTCTGGTGACCAGCTCAGCGTGTTTCTCTTTAAGCCGGGAGAAATGCATCTGGGCGGTTTGAGCCCGGCCTGTAAGGCAGACAGAAGACTGAGAGAAAAAGCCCCAAGGACATCCACACATAGCAATATTAGTCTATTAATAAAGACAACAAGGCCTGTTCTGGATTCTAGAAGGGTAAAGAGATAAACCTCCTAGATACACCTTGTCCAACTTACAAAAAATTAAAATGTGGATGTGACAGGTCATTTCTCTCGGCAATCATTTTCATAACTGTCATAACTGTACCTGAAACAACTATGACTAACAAATCAAATAAACATGAATTCATCAGAGCTACACTTCTCATGCTGAGAACTTTTTCTGTTTTATTGCTACCAAACTGCACTCTTTTCTTCATCTGCCCCAGTCTCAGCTCCCTTGCTCTTCTTTAGCTCTGCCTCCTCGTTATCTCCACCTGTGTTTAGTTTGTAACCTTGTCTCGTACCATTGTTCCCAAGCATTTGTACTTTTGTGTCTGTATTTATATTATTTACAGTCATGGCTGAAAGTGTTGGCACCCCTGACATTTTTCCAGAAAATGAAGTATTTTTCCCAGAAAATTATTGCAATTACACATGTTTTGTTATACACATATTAATTTCCTTTGTGTGTATTGGAACAACACAAAAAAAACAAAGAAAAAAAAGCCAAAAATGATATAATTTTACGCAAAACTCCAAAAATGGGCCAGACAAAATTATTGGCACCCTCAACTTAATATTTGGTTGCAGACCCTTTGGAAAAAATAACTGAAATCAATCACTTCCTATAACCATCAACAAGCTTCTTACAGCTCTCAACTGGAATTTTGGACCACCCTTCTTTTGCAAACTGCTCCAGGTCTCTCATATTTGAAGGGTGCCTTCTCCCAACAGCAATTTTAAGATCTCTCCACAAATGTTCAATGGGATTTAGATCCAGACTCATTGCTGGCCACTTCAGAACTCTCCAGCGCTTTATTTCCATCCATTTCTGGGTGCTTTTTGAAGTATGTTTGGGGTCACTGTCCTGCTGGAAGACCCATGACCTAGGACGCAAACCCAGCTTTCTGACATTGGGCCCTAAATTGGGACCCAAAATCCTTTGGTAATCTTCAGATTTCACGATGCCTTGCACACAGTCAAGGCACCCAGTGCCAGAGGCAGCAAAACAACCCCAAAACATCTTTGAACCTCCACCATATTTGACTGTAGGTACTGTGTTCTTTTCTTTGTAGGCCTCATTCTGTTTTCGGTAAACAGTAGAATGATGTGCTTTACCAAAAAGCTCTATCTTGGTCTCATCAGTCTACAAGACATTTTCCCAGAAGGATTTTGGCTTACTCACATACATTTTGGCAAACTGCAGTCAAGCTTTTTTATGTCTCTGTGTCAGCAGTGGGGTCCTCCTGGGTCTCCTGCCATAGCGTTTCATTTCATTCAAATGTCAGCAGATAGTTCGCGCTGATACTGATGCACACTGAGCCTGCAGGACAGTTTGAATTTCTTTGGAACTTGATTGGGGCTGCTTATCCACCATCCGGACTATCCTGCGTTGCAACCTTTCATCAATTTTTCTCTTCTGTCCACGTCCAGGGAGATTAGCTACAGTGCCATGGGTTGTAAACTTGGACAAAGGAACATCAAGATCTCTGGAGATGGACTTGTAACTTTGAGATTGTTGATATTTTTCCACAGTTTTGGTTCTCAAGTCCTCAGACAGTTCTCTTCTCCTCTTTCTGTTCTCCATGCTTAGTGTGGCACACACAGACACACAATGCAAAGATTGAGTCAACTTCTCTCCTTTTTATCTGGGTTCAGTGTGATTTTTATATTGCCCACACCTGTTACTTTCCACAGGTGAGTTTGAACGAGCATCACATGCTTGAAACAAAGTTATTTACCCACAATTTTGAAAAGGTGGCAATAATTTTGCCCAGCCCATTTTTGGAGTTTTGTGTGAAATTTTATCATTTTTGGCTTTTTTTTCTTTGTTTTTTTGTGTTGTTCCAATACACACAAAGGAAATTAATGTGTATAACAAAACATGTGTAATTGCAATAATTTTCTGGGAAAAATACTTCATTTTCTGGAAAAATGTCAGGGGTGCCAACACTTTCAGCCATGACTGTATATAGTATTTATAATTTATAGTATTTATATCATGTTCCTTGCCAGGCATTGTTTCAGTGTGATTTTGTGTTCGTTCATATTGCTTTTGTTTGTTTCTTTGTTCTTTTTTTCTCTTCATGTTTTCTAATTTTTGATTTCCCTTTTTGTTCATTATGAATATTCCTATGCTTTGTCTCTCATCTTTCCCTGAGACACCTGTTAACCTGATGTTTAACCCCTTAATATGCAGGCTTGCTTTTATTTATTGATTGATTGATTGATTGATTGATTGATTTGGGACAGTGCTTGTTAATTAGCATAAAAGTTCAAGTTTTATCCAAATTATTAATTTTCTGTGACCTGATGTTTTAGGCAAAAACTAAATTAAAACAATTTACCAACGATTTATTTAGGAAATATATTTACATATATTTCTGATATATAAGTAAATATGAAAAATTCAAGTATTATGTATGTGGATATATTTCAATATACTGACCTTTATATGCATATATTGGCATATACAGTTGTATGCAAAAGTGTTGCTGTTTTGCTTATTTTCTAAGTAATAACACATAAAATTTGGCCTGTGCAAAAGTTGGCACATTTTGTATTGTATTCTAATTGTTTTCCAATATTTTAAACTAAGCAAATAAATGTAAATTGTGCCCTAAAAATGCAATGTATGAATGTGTTCCCTGTAGAAGATGCATTAACTTGTTTTCCTAACAATAAAACATGTCATTTGACCGGGGGTATAGAAACTTTTGCCTCCTAGATACACCTTGTCCTACTCACAAAAAATTAAAATATGGATGTGACAGGTCATTTCTCTCAGCAAATATATTTACATATATTTCTGATATACAAGTAAATATGAAAAATTCAAAGTATTACAAATATGTGGATCTATTTCAATATACTTACCTTTGTATACATATATTGGCATATACATTTGTATGCAAAAGTGTTGTTGTTTTGCTTGTTTTCTGAGTGATATAACATAAAATTTGGCACATTTTGTATTGTATTCCAATTGTTTTCCAATATTTTAAACTAAGCAAATAAATGGAAAATAAATGGAAATTGTGCCCTAAAAATGCAATGTATGAATGGGTTCCCTGTAGAAGATGTATTAACTTGTTTTCACAATAAAACATGTAATTTGACCAGGGGTATACAAACTTTTGCAAACAACTGTATGTAAATACTTAAGAATAGCAGACTTAAATATATTTAACACATACATAATAAAGCATCATATACATTTCAGTTGTATTGCATAATTAGGTAATTATTACAAAACTATTTGCAAATTTTGTATTGGACTGATTAATGGAATCTTGCAGGTTAAGAGGTTAATAAATAGTCATAAATTCACTAAGCTCTTTTCATTTTTTTTATTTCCTTTCCGTTTTGTGGACTTGTAGTCCTCAAAATAAGTACCAGCTCCCTGATGTTTTTCTGTGTTGTATTTCTTTAGTGATATTTCCTGCACCGCGACCCTATCTGGACTAAGCGGTTAACGATGATGATGATGATGATGATGATGATATTTCCTGCTTGATAAAAATGAAAATGCCCAAGTCCTTCCCCAATCCTTCCCCTGTTCAAGATCCAACTATATGTTGAGAAAAACACCTTACACGTCCTCCCACAGAGCACCCTGATTATGCCAAAAATGTGCTAGCTTCCATAAGACATAAAAGAGCCAGAACTGTCTGACAAGCACTCACTGCCTGCATCATCTGCTGAAGCCTGTAGGCTGGCAGCCACAGCACTCTGGGTCCTGAGAGACTCCACCTCCATGCGGAGATGCTCGTTCTCCACTAGGGCCATCTGCTTATGGGTGCGCTGCTCCTCCAGCTCTGCTTCCAGCATATTCACCTTCTCCTTCAGCTGGACCACAGCACGCTGGGCCTGCAGGCAGGTATAAACACAACTTTTAATTAAACCTCATTTAAACGGCTATTTAACAATGTCATAAACTAATGCACTATATATGACGATAAGCAGGGATGCACAATGATATAATACCGTCACTAGCAGATGCTTAAAAAAATATTGGGTTTGGATGATTCAATTTGAACAATATTTCATTTCATTTCAATATTTGATGACATGTTTTTTGGATTCTGGAACTTTTAGGGGATGCTGGGCTATTAGGCTAAAATGTCTACATTCTATTAATTTTACTTTAAATGTTATGTGTATCTGTTATGGGGCAGTCGTGGGCTGGAGGTTAGGGAACCAGCCTTGTGACTGAAAGACTGCTGACTTGATCTCCTGAGCCGACAGGACATGACTGAAGTGCCCTTGAGCAAGGCAGTTAAACACCACCTGCTTCCCGGGCACTGTGGATAGGGCTGCCCACCGCTCAGGGCAAGTGTACTCACTGCCGGCAAGTGTGTGTATATGTGGATGTTTCACTGCATGGATGGGTTAACTGCAGAGGTCAAATTCCTCTTTGTGCAAGCGCAATTGGTCAGTGGTTCTAAATTCTAATACTAATCCAGGTGGATTTAGTCCCAGTTTCTTTATTTTAAATAATTCCCATTTTGGTGCATCACTATAAGTGTTTGATATTCCATTGACATTCCAGCTAAAACCTTGATACCATTAACATGTTTTGATGTACTTTATTATGTGTGGGTTTTTGTGGATGCTATGTTTGGCTTCATGTTTATTCTATATTTTTGTTTACTTGTAGATTGTCAGTTTGGCTCCTCCCTTGAAATCTGGCTTATTGGCATATAATGAGACCAATAATATACCTTGTACCAAATTACATATTAACCATATAAAACAACAAACAGACTGGAACATACTAATATGCACACAAACACTTTACCTCTGCTTTGAACATCTGGAGCTCAGGCTTCACTGCTTCCAGCTCTCTCCTCAAAGAGTCTGCCTCAGTCTCCCTGAGAACAGGATAAACAGGCTACTGAAAGAAGAAATCTTGGACGGAAATGCTAAAGAACCAAATCACTTCAAATCCAGGTCCATTACCTTTGCACTGGTACATCATTTGGTGGGTCATACTGGTTGTATGCATAGAACTGTCCATGAAATAAAAAACATATTATGTTTTAGACAGTTATGGCACTGTCAGGGAAACTGTGTTCAGTATGTCAACTTTTAAACGCAAATAAAAAGTCTGTTGCAGTTCAGTTAGTTCAGTGCTGGAAATGACAAGTCACCATACCATTTGGTATCCAGGGGCTTCACCAAAATCCAGCTGAGTCTCTGTGTCGTCATCATCAGGCAGTTCTTGATTGCGAACCACCACTGGCTTGACATGGTCAGCCAACGAAGCCGCTCGGAGGAAAATTTGGAGGGGACTGTACACATTCATTTAAGTTTAAATAGCACACATTAGCTATTATTTAGGTGTAGTGCATATTCATTCACAATAAACACCACTAATTTCCTATTCTCTGAGTGTTGGTCATATTCATATAGTATAATACATTAACTATTACTTAGGTATGGAGTACACACATTTACGCTTATATACCATTATCTATTATACATTGTCTATTATTTAGACACATAACACATTCATGTAAGTTTTAGCACCATACATCAGCTATTATTTAGGTATAGAGCATATTCATAAAAGTTTAAATATCACATATTAGCACCAGATATTAACAATTATTCAGGTGTAGAGTATATTTATATAAGTTTTAGTACCAAACATGAATTATTATACAGGTATAGAGCATATGCATATAAGTTTTAGTACCATATGCTGGCTATTATTTAAGTATAGAACATATTCATGTAAGTCTAAATATCATACATTAGGTATTATTTAAGTGTAGACATCTACAGAATGATGCACTTTGAATAATGTGTAATGGTGACAGAAACTGTTGCCCTCACATCAGGAAGGTCAGGGATCTGGATGATAGTCTTGAAGAACTCCATGCCTCTGGCTTTCTCAAAGAACTGGGTAAGACTGAGGAGGATAAACAGAACCAAAACATGTTCAGTTCAACAGTCTGCTGACAAAAAATACAATAAAAGGGCAAATGTAGTATTTACTTGTCGAACTGGTCGCGGAATCGCTCCCGATGTCCTAGCAGAGCATCCACTGGTATACCTTTGATACACAACCAAAAGACTTATTCAGTACATGTGAACATTTACTCAAAGCTATAGATGGTAAATAAAGTGAATGACAGTTCGGTGCTTTTGCTAAGCAGCAGGAAGTTAAACAAGCATGCCCTGTTGGAGATTTACAGTGCACTCTAGAATTTTTGGCATCCTTGTTAAAGATGAGCAAAAAAGTTTTCAAAACATTTTTTTCTTGTTTAGACCATTTTGAACACCAGCTGCCCCTCACATTTAATGAACATTACATTTATGAACCACACACAAAATAATTAAAAGGCAGGTCAACTTGAAATTTTAAATTACTACCAAATTTTCAGCATCATAATTCAATCATTGAGATGTACCCAAAGTCATTCAGAGTGGTTTGTTGTGAAATGGTTCACTGTAGAGAAACTACAGACATGGTGGTGATAGGAACCAGGGGTCACAACATCTACAACACAAATATGGCCATTATATTTACTACCCACACAGACCAGTGAACCTACATGTGTCCTCTGAGTTTAATATGTAATGCTGATGATGGTAAAATAGTGCAAAATCTGAAACAAGATCAGTTTCCTTTGGGTACTTGCCTTACAAAATCCTGCATGTACCTCCCTGAAATGAATGGATTAAAAAAAACATGCATTTTAGGTAAAATGCTTTTGCAAAACTAACTTAAAATAATGTCTCATGCATCAGGCCATGTATTTATAACTATTTCTTGTAATAACTTTCTGTGAGGGAGCTTTTAGAGACATTAAACTCTTCACACAAGTTAGTATGTATCTGAATGACTTTGTCTACAGCTTAACCATTTAATTATGCAGAAATGTTGAAAACTCTGTGAAATCCATCTTTATCAACCTTCTACATAGCTTGTTTTTTATTTCTCAACTTAGTTTAGTCAACATTTCTCCTGAGATTTTTAGCACTGCATCTCAGTTAAATCAAAAAAACAGTTTACATTTAGCACATTGAGAACCAAAAAAAAATAAAAACACGACAATGAATGTGGTTAAACTTCAACTGCAACTGCTTGATTTTTTATTGTTGGATTTCATGAGTTTCCGATTTTGCCAGTTCCTAGCCCGTGACTATGATTATCACCCAGCCCCACCAGTCCTGACTGTGGAGGGCCCTGATTTAGACTGCAGCAGTACCTCTTGAAGATTAGGCAGTTAGAGAGTTGTGCCACTACAGGTGGGAACAAGTCACTAAGTTGCAAGTAACAAGTCAGTCTCAAGTCTTGACACTCAAGTCACCAAGCAACACTGAAACTACAGAAAGTGAACAAGTTCAAAGAAGGCTGTACAGCTGAAAGGTTGACACAATCAATAACAAACGGCTGTGTAATGTTGACATTTCCTGAACTTTTTCGTTTGCCGTTGATTTCTGTTTAGTGAATGCATGACCAAGGACTTGATTTGTGAAGGGGATGTGAATTTGAGGGGGAACTGAATCGGATGCAGCACCAGAACGTAACTGCTGCACTGTTAATTGCAATGAAATTCAGCCTTGTGGTGAATGTTGTGCTTATTTTACCTGCAGAAGCTGTTGAAATCATTGAAACAGACAGAGCTGTTTTTGGTTTTGTTTTTCACCTGGTAAGTTTCACCAGTAAGACTGAAGTTTAAGTGTTAAACGAGGGCTTGCTGATGCTGTTGATGCTTCACCTGGTTCCAGCTTATGGAGCTGAACTTAAACTCTAAACGCTTCACTTGTCTTCTAGAATAAAATAAGCCAAGCATTAACACAGTATCAGACATTTGGCGATGCTGCTGTGTATCACATTTACGAGATAACAAATCCATTTACATGAAAAGTAAGCAGCTGTATAGAGTCCCGTCTGCAGTCAGACTATCCCAACATTTCTTCCATTTTGGGTCTGTAGTCATTCCGAGTCATGAAACTCAAGTCCGAGTCAAAGTCCGAGTCATTGGTGTTCGAGTCAAAGTTGGGTCGCAAATCTTTTTGGATTTTGTCAAGTCGAGTCTCAAGTCATCAAATTCGTGACTTAAGTCGGACTCGAGTTCAAGTTATATGACTTGAGCCTCTGTGTGCTGCTCAGAAGCAACAAAGTGACCTAAATTTCTGTATCCAAGAAAGAATGAAAAGGTGAATTAACTCAGAGAGCCCTGTGCTTTAATAGTTCCTCACCTTCACATAGAGTGACATCAGCGCTTAGACAAAGAACATTTACCTGTGCTGAATGAAATTAACTAGACCATTTTTTGAAAACTGTGTTAGTAAAATTTTTTGATATCTTTTCATTGTTTATTTCTTAGTCAGTGACTAAATGATTAAATTGGGTAGAGAAACTGAGCAAAAATCCAACAAAGAATTTACACAACTCACAATTCACAATTTTCACAAAGCTCAATTTAAACAGCATTTTGTAGACCTAAATTATGGAGCACTTTTGACTAAACTACTTTTTAAAGTACTTTTTTTATCATTCTCCAACAGAGATACCAATAGCTTTTGTCACAAAAGCAGTGACGTGTCACAATTATTGCCACAGCCCTCAATATTTGGTCTGCATTCCAACTTTATTCCTATTTCTAATCTTGCTATATTAGTTATTAGAGTGACATCTGCTGGATTTGAAAGAACTGGACAACCCTGGCATAAAATGGACTCTACTCACGACCGTGCAGCTTGAAGAGGAGCTTGACCAAGTAGTGATAGAGGGGGCTGCAGTCCTGGATGACCAAGACCAGAGGAGCCAGGCGGCACTGCCCCACTGGAGTGGTCGAGCTTGTAGAGTTGGTTTCAAGTTGTCTGAAAACTGCATCACATGCACAGCAATATAGGAAAACACTTAAGACGCTTTATAAAAATAGCAAGCCATATACCTTTGAAGTTATGAAGGCTTTATTTTAAAGTGTTTGTGAAGTTAACATCCGATAAATTAAGCATCAACAATTAATGCTGATTTATAATAGAATGATAAAGTGGACTTACCTGTTTCTTGTAGCAAAAGTGCTGCATCCATGTAGTCGAGCACCTCACCAGTTGTTTCAAACCTGAACATAGTAGATCAAAGTTTTTTTTCTATGCATTAGAATTACAGTTAACAGGACCAAAGGCACACTGAAGAAAGTACTCACACTTTGTTGATATCTACTGCAATAGTCCTCTCAAGTACCTCGTCTGGAGTTTCGAGATTTGCTGGAATCTCTTTGTGCTGCAATGGCAACAATCAACATGAACAGTGTCTATATTTTACAGAGTCAGCACTTCACTTTTAGCTAAAATGACTTCAATTTTTAAGTAAATACCACAAACAGCACCGCACTGTCTTCTGCATAGCCTCACCTTACAGTGGAAGTCTATTTTGATGCACAGGAACTTCGCATACAGAGCAACAATGTGACCATATCGGTCATGGAGGCTTCCCTACACAAGACAAGACAAAATTAAGCTTGTGATGTGCTTAAATATCCAAAAACAATGTTGAATCAGTGTTAACAGTCTTGATCAATACTAAATAATAAAAATATACACTACTAACAAAATAATAATCAGTATAAAGAACCTCCAATTACTTCTAATAGTAGATTTTTATTTCCCTACCCATAAAGTTCCCATTTGCTTAATACTGGGGACGTGTCCACGGCTATCTCGCACGGTCTGAAAGTGGAAAGAATAGTGGTCATGGGAAAGAAAAGTGGAAAGAAAGTGGTCATGGGAAGGCAAATTATATCATCACTGCCCTTTGTAATCATACAATTCTGAGCCTTATTTGCATTTCACAACACTTTGGATAAAATGAGAGGACTCACGTTGGGATGACCATCCCGTAAGAGCTTGTGCACCATGTGGCAGAACTTCCAGCTCAGGATGGCACTGCTGGCCAGAGGTAAGCTCACAGCATGGGACCAGAACGTTACAGCTCCACCTTCTTTATGTGTTCCCAACAGGATCTCTGTACTAATGTTAAGTATTGACCACTTTGAGAGCAAAGAGAACAAACTAAAGAGTTGTTAATATCTCTTAAGTCAGTTATGACCTAGATTGATTGCTCTAGGTTAGTGTCTTAATTCTTTTTTTGGCCAGGAATTAAATAGAAACATATCTGCTATTAGAGGTTTGAAATATAATAATGCGATACTTCAAGGAATTTTTTATTCAATGTTTAGCGTACTGTGCTCCACTAAATCCAGTCAAACGGGGCTACTTTTGTCCTTTATAATTTATAGAGAATGAATAATGAAACATGCAGTGGGTCAATGTTCTGCAAGTGTTGATGATATACCCTATATGTTCAGAAAAGCTTAGTGTATTGTATTGTGACATAATGTATCACAATAACAATATATATTGTCATACTGAACCAGCCTTAACTGCTATATAGAGTCATTCCATGAAAAGAGAGCCACAATGTTTGATGCCACGTAAAAGGGACAAAAATCTGTAAATAAGTGTATTGCATGTGACAATGGTATGTTCTTATTTATAATTACATTAGCAATACAGGCATTTTAAGTCATCAACGTTCCATCTAGAATATTACTAAATTTAACTTTTTCTATGCTCAAATATGTATCTGTTTCTTCGCACTTAATTTAATATAAAAATCATTTTATGCAAAATATAATAATTTAGCTGTGTCCTGAGTTTTGCATCCATATAACACAAACTTACTTAGCCATAGAAACTAATGCACTGTCACTTACTCGTTTTAAAATGGTTCAAGAGCTGGTAAATTTAGCTTTTTTTGTTGTTTTCTCCCTCCGTAATAGAGTCTGTCAATCATAGCATGTCCATCCCGTCACACAAAATACACAGAGAAAATTTAGTCCAGTGTACAATTTTTTGCAACATTCTCAGAAACGCCAAGTAAATAACTACTGAAAAGTGAACGTTAGAAGGTCTAACCAGCATATGTGGTGTTTTGGATGCTGGTATGCCCATCAACCAGCATGACCATGCCGGGTGACCAGTTAAACCAGCACCAGAGCAGCATAAACCAGCACATACCAGCTTAGACCAGAATGGAAATGACATCCTTTCACCAAGGTTAGACTCCAAATGCTTCTCCTAAACAATTTAGATAAAAAAGAACCAAAAGAAAGAGAATGGAAAACAGCCATAGTTCTGAAAGATACTGCGAGCATATTTCTCCTTTATTGGTGCTTCAGCAGTGGTGATGGACTTTCCAATGCTCTGGAGCTGTGAAGTGAGGGAAGAAATCAGTTCTTTAAAACAGCATTAAATACATTTGTCAGCACTGCGTCTTATTGAACGTCCAGGGAAGTGCAAACCCACTTTTTAAATTAAGTTTATGATCTGAATATCATCCAGTGTTAAGAGATTTCTGAGGTATTTTCTCAAATATAACTGGACTTCAAATTACGTCTACAAATGTGTCTGTAGACTGAGGTTTACGGGATGAGTGGCCCAAGATTGCATTCTTATGCTCAAATAAAGTCCCATCACAGGGAACTGTCATTATGAAGTGGACAACAAAGTGTAAAGTATTCCACCACTGGAAAAAATATATAGCCATTAATGAGAACGTCTTTCATAATTATGACATAGCATCTCATAATTATGACTTACTTTCTCATAATGACTTAACATTTCATAATTATGACTTAGAATCTCAGAATAATGACTTACTATGTCATGATTATGACATACAATCCCATAAGTACGACTTAGCAACACATAATTATGACTTACTTTCTCATAATTATGACTTAGAATCTCATAATAATTGCTTACTTTCTCATAAGTATGACATTTTATAATTATGACTTACTTTCTCAGAATTATGACTTGGTATCTCATAATGACTTACTGTCATAATTATAACATCTCATGACTTAGCATCTCATAATAATAATTTACTCTGTCCATTGTGACTTTTGAATTTCTCATAATTATGAGAGGATTAACACAAAAAAAGAGATACTAAGTCATAATTATGGAGATATTTGACTTTCTAAATGTTTATAGATTTTTCTCCAGTGGCGGAAAGGGGCTTTCATAAATAAGACTTCATTAAACTGTTTCTCAGTGTGCTCTGGACTGCTCGGGATTATTCGTTACCTGTAGTTTGACGAATTGTTCCTTTTCCGCTGCCAGAGCCTTTTCAGATTTGTCTGTTTTCTCACTTTTCGTCTTGGAAGACATTTTGTCGGTCCTGTTACATGTACACCAACATTCACTGGTCATAAAACTCAAGTGAGACAAAATAGTCGACACACGGCTCCTTCATGAGTTCATGCACTTCCGATAATCCACAACCGTCTGATTCAAAGTGTTGTAAGGATCACGTGCCTCATAGTAGCCGGTTAGCTTTATATTTACAACCTTATTTCATTGGGTTGTTCCATCGTGAGGAATAAAATACTTAAAACCTGAGTCAACTAATCATGCTGTGGGCAATTTAGGCTAATTTTTAACTTTTTTTAAGTTACTGAAACGTTCAGGTCTACCAGAGGTGTTCAGTCAAGCTTTTGACAGATTGTGTATTTTCAAATGATAACATTAATATTCAAGTATATTTGTGAGGAAAGAAATCTACTTTTTCCTCAATTTCATTTCAGTAATTCACTTTTAGTTACTTTTTTCATTCAGTTTTGTTGGTAACATACCCTGTAATGTGCTAACACCTCTTTCTCTCAAGCACTTTCTTAAAGGGGAATTCCACCAAATTTTCAAAGTTTCTGGATAATTGGTCCTTGAGACCTATAGAGATTCACTGAGTTGTTTGATGTAATTGAATGTAGAGAAACTAACAGACTCTGATTTTTTTTCTTTACAGTGGTGGTGATAGGAACCTGAGGTCACAATGTATACAACACAAATATAGCCATTTTATTTACTATCCAAAACTACCAGTGAACCTACACGCATCTTCTAAGTTTTTATAAATAATACTGACAATGGTAAAATAGTGGTAAAGATAAAAAAAAAAATAGCTTTCCTTTGCGTACTATATTGCCTTAAAACACCCTTCAGGTACGTCTCCGCCAGGACTGGATCAAAAAAGTACATTTCAGGCCAAATGCTTTTTGTAAAACTTTTATAAAATAATGTGCCAGACATCAGGCAGCATACATACAACCATTTTATGTAATAACTTTCTGTGAGGAAGCTTTCAGAGGCTTTAAACTTTAGAGGTCCAGTACCTATCACCACAACTGTGAACAATTTGGACCCGGCAAGTCTCTCTAGAACAAAGCATTTCACCTCAAACCCTTCTGGATGAAATTACATCTCAACCATTTAATTAGGTAGAATTTTTGAAAAATTGGAGGAGTTCCCCTTTAATTCCAAATTATCTCATAAAGGAGAAAAATATGGCCTAACAAACTTTTTCAATGCTGACAGGTGATGGATATTCTAAGGTCTACTGTAGTTCTTTTAGGCTACTCTACTGATCACGTAAAACATTCCTAACAGACAAAACCAATAATAAAACAAGTTAGACAAAGTATACAGACATTTTTATGAGAAATTATGCACGTAATACTGTCAGTTGTATAAAAAACTAACTATACATAATGTCAATAGAACACACTTTCTCTCCAAAATAAGACATTGATACACAAACTCAAGCTTAAAATTGGTCAAAAATTTCAATGTAACATATTTACACTATAACAAAATACCTTTGGTGTTGTGTCAGATTCCCTGAGCTGAAGGTTACGTAAGTACTGAGGTTTTAAAATAGCCAAGGAGCTTGAGAGAGTTAAATTATAGAAGATGGCATCCTCGTGTGCGGAGGTGAAAAGCACTCTGCCAGCAAGTCTCAAAATCTCAGAACTCACAGAGCAGTTCACCGTCTTTCACAAACAGGTTTGATGACAGTGAAACAGGAATGACAAAACAAGGAGCACCATTCAGTCATCTTGTAGGACAGGTTTAACGCTGTAGGAAATGGTCTATAAATGAGTAAGTACTTGGTCCACATGGTAAGAGACCTGAAACTTGTTCATATATTTCTTTTTTATTACAAAAGCAGAATAAAGGCTCCCCTTTTTAGTAAAAACAGTAAAAGTTTAGTTTGAGTGTTAAAAACCTGCCATTTTAAATATTAAAAAATTACAATTACAATCATATTTACAAGTAAAAAGTGTATCTTAAATGAAATTTCCATCTTTGTTTTGCTTGAAACTGATTTATTTGTAGGTGCAGTGAAATGGCTTGGCAGTGTTAAGGAATGCTGCATGTATATTTTCCCACAGCGCATTGTGAGGTCCATGTGATGTCAGAGGCTACGTCAGGGTGTTTTTAATGTCGACCAAAAGACTTATTGGCCACATTCCTTGGTTCTCAGGAATTGCTGATCATTCTGGATCTGAGAATCATCAATCTGCTGAAACATTAAAGCAGGAAGTTTCAAACTGAATGATTATGAAGGAATTCTACAATCCTGTGAAGCGTCTTGCATCTACAATACTATGCAGAATCACAACACTTACCCTTTCTTCCTGGCTATTTCTGGGGGACTGGGAGTGGTTGTGACTATTGCCATTATTATGGTTAACACAGAGGCTGCAAACAGAGTTACAGTGGGAGGTGGGGCTCGGGGTGGGGCTCAGAGATTTTCCAGAAGAGCGTTCCAGACTAGCCACCATTTGTTGCGACTCTGCCAGCAAGCGCTGCAAACGACTCGTGGATGAGTTGTACTCCTCCTGTTGCATCAAAACATATACAAACATTCTCTTTTACATGCAAAAAAATATAAAAAAATGAAAAACAAGACGACATGAAATGATATATGTAATGTAATTCTACAGATGTTAAAGGGACAGTTCTGCGAAAAATCTATTTTATCCAACTTCCCAATTACCCCAGATGTAGTCAATCAGCCAAGACATGTCTGGAGTCCAAATTTTGCCTCTTTAGTTTAGAACTAGGGCTATGAAGCTAACACTGCTAACAAACACTAGAACACAATAGTCACCCAAATTACCTAAACATCTTCTATAAAAATACTTTTTACCACATCCGGGTCTTCGTTAAGATTGTGCAGACTTGACAGTTTGATTCAGAACACAGTATAACTTACTAGGAACTATAAAAATGAACAAAACTTCACTGCTATGGGAAGCCATTTCAGGCAACACTAGGGCTGGTATTCACAAAGCAGGACTGATGGATCAGATTTCTCTGTATTAATGACAGACATTTTTACAAATACTGAATCTAGATCAGCACTTCTATTTCTGAAGAAGTTTGTTAATACAGACTCTGTTGTCCAAACCCTCCTGGCTGCCTGCAGTTTTGTTCATTTTTATAGCTCACAGTAAGTCATACTGGGTCCAAACCACATCGGCAAGTCTGTACAACTTTAATGAAGACCTGGATGTGGTTTGAGCGTGTTGAAAGAAGTTTTGTTGATGTATTTTTACAGAAACTATTTGGGTTATTTAGGTGACTATTGAATTCTAGTTTTTGTAGGAATGTTAGTCTCGTCACTCCAGTTCCTGACTAAAGAAGCCAAATTTGGACTCCTAACATGTCTTTGCCAATCGACTACCATTCTCTTAAAGCAGTCGCTTGGTAAAAAGGTCACATGTACACAATTTTCCCATTAAGCTGCAAAAACAACCTGTTTTGTATGGACTGTTTCTGTTATGTCACAAAAACACATTTCACACATATTCGCCTACTCAGCATACATCAGTTTAGCGCCGTCTATTCACTATGAAGCTATACGGAGTGATTTAGCCTACTTTTTGAATGACGGCCAATTCAGGACTGCCAGACCGAACAGAGGTCGTTTACATATATCAGTCATAAAGGCACAGTAACAGGAACAGCCTGTTTAACTCTAAGGCATAAGCAGAGGTTGGAAAATGGTCATATATAAATAAATTCTGATTGTTTTTGGTACATAAAACCACACAAATGTTGGAAGTGGAGGAAAAAAAAAGACACGTATGAGCCCTTTAAGGGGATGGCTGTGATGGGGTGGGCTACCTGGTTGGTGCTGACGATGCTGTTTAATGCCGCATCCTCTACAGGGGCAGGGCTTCTCCTACTTTGTGGTGAGGGTGTGGGGCATTCCACGTACAGGCAGGTCACATCCCCTGGACTGAGGTGAAGGTGATCATCATCAGAGAGCCTGCTGAATTACTATTACTAATGCAATGGTTTAGTTATATACAGAACTGTCAATACATAATATACAAAACTCACAAAATAATAATTTGCTGCTCCTGACCATCAATTATTTAAATGACTTAATCTCATACCTAGAGCACTGCAGGTCTTTTGTACTGACATTCACCACCAGCACTGGGGTCTCTGTCTCTAAATCACAGTTAATGACAGCCATGAGGTCCACTTCAGTTCCTCTTTCACAGTCAGCTACCTCAGAGAAGTCATCCTCTGTTGTCTCATCATTACGATCACAACAATGGAGTACTATGGTACCTAGCTTAGTCGTAGCCCCACCACATTCATTGCTAGTAGGTGGAGCGTTGCTATTCCTTTCTGCCCGTTTCTCCTCCTTGCACCAGCTGAAATCAGTAATGTATCCTGATGTAACGGCACTTGTGGCAGAGTTCTCTGTGGCTGACTCTGCTGCAGCTTGAGGTGAGACAGGTTGTATATCTATGCTTCTGCTTTGGCACTGTTGATGCACTGACTCTCCTGTCTCTGTTCCTTGATGGCTACTATGTTCTAAAGCAGCTCCTGCTACATTATCATGCCTAAAACCACAAACATGTTATAGTTATGTACAGGTTCTTGTAGATACACCAAGATGGAAACAGCCTTATGACACCAGAGATCAAAGTCAAGTTCTCAAGAATCCAAGTCTTGAGATTCTGAGTCAAGTCTTGAGTCCAACTAAAACACATTAGGTTCCACATATCTTTAAATAAGTAGCCTTTCATTATAGAACAACTTTCTGAAGGACACAACTGAAGCGCTACAAGCAGTAAATGCAGTGTTTGAAAAAAGAGAAGAGAAATTCATTTTGTAGGTTAGTTTGTATAGCAAGTATGCTAGCTAGTGCAAAAGAGGCAAATCAATTTGAAACAACTGATTAGCCTATAGTTAGTCTGTAGTATGCTAGCACATAACCAGCTGGCACAATAGCCAATCCAGCTAAACATTTTCAAAGGAATGTGTTCCATAACTTACTAAAATCAGCTAGATTAGCCAACACCTTCTACTAAATTAGCTACTGCACAGGCCAGCATGCTTAAAATGGTTAGCTAGCATCTGGTTTGAATAGTAAATATGCTAGCTAGCGCAATTAATACTAACTCTAAGGGATGAAGAGAGGTGGAAAATTATCATATAGATGTACATAAAATCACACAGACAATGTAAGTGGACTTTAGGGGAAAAAATAAAATAGTTGGTTTAAAAAATAGTTGAAACGGTTGGCTAGCATCTGGCTTAGCAAGTATGCCAGCTAGCTAGGGCAATAGCTAATCCAACTGCAATAAAATACCTGCAATTCAAGATGTGAGCCAACCATTTCAAGCCAACCTAGAGTTGTAGCCAATTTAGTAGAAGTTGTCAACTAACCTAGCTGGAGTTTTAGTGAGTTACACATCACATTCGTTTAACACATATTCAACTTTTTAGCTGGGTTAGCAATTGCAAGCTGTATGATTTTCTATAGGTAGGGCTGAGCAATATGGCAAAATTTCATATTATGACACTTAGACAGTTTCATGATACATGATACATATCACAATATTGTGACTCACAGACACAAAGTACTAGTTGTGCTACACCTAAAAACACAATGACACAATGATTTTTTTTACAATTTCACATTCTGTACTGCTCTAAATCCAATCAAACAAGCCTGATTATGCTCTCTTTTCTTAATAAATCATGCAATTCCTTAGTGTTCAAATTCTTAAAGTACAATTTCAAGTACAAATGATATCCAGAATATTCTCAGAAATGCAAATTATTTATCACAATCACAAAATTTATTACAATATTGTCATATAGCCCTTCTCTAATAAAAGGTTCATTATTTGGAGGCATGTCAAACGTGATGCTGCTCTAAGCAGTGGGAAAGCAGCATTACAGTAATACCTACACATGACCAAAGCTAAACTGTCAGGCAAGCCACACATGTAAGGCTGGAAACGAAACGCGGAAACGGAAAGTGAAAAAATAATTTACTGCATTAAGGTTGATGGACCTAATTTAACCAGTCTAGATTGGTGTTGGTTTTTTCTCAAGCTAAAAGTAACCTTGAGTCTCAAGTCCAAGTCAAGTCATGAGACATTTAAAGGCTGACTGACTCGCAACTTCGAGTGGCCAGTTCTGCATCACACTTACCTCTTGAATGACCTTTGACCTTCATACAGTCTCAGTGCCTCTCTGGTGCTCTCTAGGTTGAGCTTCAAGAACTGCAGGTCATTCAGCTGCTTCTCACACACCTGTAACATCACATACACACACAGATCACAATACTGATAATACTTTCCTTTAGTTTGATAGTGGATCTTGAATATTTATCAGAACTTTTTGGGACCTGACTGCTCATGTCGAGTTCAGTCAAACTCAATCGAGCTCAGACGTCATTTTACAAATATGTGTCATCTCAGGTCAAGTTCAAATTTCACGTTCAGTTCTCAAAGGTCCCCTCCCACTTCAGACAGATTTTTCCCTGCATTTTCCCTGGTAAGTATTTTTATGTTAAATGTAATACTTTCTATGTAAAGAATTAGCTTAAGGATTAAACAAGTTTATCCAGACTGAAAATGTTTGAGATGCTGTTCAAAAGCATTTCTTAATGAATACATTCGACAAAGCAGGACATAAATGCTACTATGGGGCTTCGGAGTCTAAGCGTTGACCCTATCGATGGGAGATCGCACGTCTGATCCCTGGCGATGCTACTGTGAACCACAGTCCAGCTCCCTCTGGGTTGTTAGGGTGGCACTCCCTCTTTCCCCATAACTAGCACGATGCTAGCCAATGCGATCTGTTAGCTGACATGACAGAATTGGCAGTTAGTGTTCTCCTCCAAGCATGTTGAGCTGTACAATGATATTGTGTTAGCAGAAGTTCAAAAAGAGGCGGCTCTTCACGTGTCTCAGAGAAAGCATACACTAGCCCTCACCCTCCCAGCTTTGTAGCATTGTGTGATGGAGGAGATCTAGCTAGTGGGTGGAACTGACAAAAGACGGAGAAAACTGGGTTAAAAAAATTCTCTGTTTTTTTATATTGTTTTGGATTTTATTTCTCTATAACCTAACGCCAGCTACTACTGTCGCTACATGGTAAGCAGTACCGTCCTATCAGCTGTCCTTTGGCGCTTTGGGTGACGATGAGCTGTTTTGGGTCAGTGTCGGACAGAATTTTGCTGTACTCAGGTCAGTTTCAGACTCAAAACTTCAGGTCAGGCTTGCACAAAAATTTCTCAGAATGTATTTGGGTTTGAAAAAAAAAAACGATTGTACGAGTGCATCCTATCAATTTTATCTAATATATATGAATTGAACTGTATGAATAAAGTTATGTTGAAGCTACTTCACATTTGTGCCTATTCATGGGTACATCATGAGGCAAAATCAAGCTCAAGACTGACTGAGTCACCTGAGGAGAAATGGAATGTTGAATAACCGGAAACTGCACAGGAGCCAGAAAAAAAGAAGGGCAATGACATTTCAAATGACTGATAACTGACATTATAACATCCTTGGAGACTTGAAGGAAAACTTCAACCAACGTGTTAAACACACTAACAAAGAAAGCAAAAATAAAAGGAAGGCCCCAAATAGCACAACGCTAACTGTTCCCAAGCTTTCATTCATTGTTAACAACATTTGCATATTTTGGTGAAATACACCGACACTTTAGGCACAGCATGGCAGGAAGTACCTGTCGCAGGCAGAGAAGCTCAGACTCGGTGCGCTCTTGCTTTGATCTGGCTAATTCAAGTAACTCATCCTTCCAGCTTTCACCCTCACCTGAACACAGAGCACAGAAAGCATGGATATGTAATGTTCAGAGATAGCATGAATGTCATTTTCCTGCTCGAAATCCAAGAAGAAACTCATAACGTTAAAATTAACCAAGTCTAATACAAACAGCTTTAAGGGAAATTCCACAAAATGTTAAAAAATGCTGCATAATTAAATGGTTAAGATGTAAAACAAAGTAATTCAGAGTGGTTTGATGTGAAGTGATCCATTCTAGAGAAACATACTCAGTAGTAGTGATAGGAACCAGATGTCCAAAATGTTAAATGTACATGAAAGCTACTTTATGGAAAGCTATTACATGAAATGGTTACCAATATGCTGCCTGATGCCTGAGAATATTGTATTAGCTTTAACTGATTTTAACAACAACAACACACACACACACAAATATATGTGCATCTCTGAAAAAGAAAGAACATACATACACACACACATATATATACATACACACACACACACACACACACACACACACACACATATATATACATACACACACACACACACACACACACACACACACACACACACACACACACACACATATATATATATCCACATCAATAGTTTTTCCACAATCCACCATGTCCAGTCAAAACACTCTAAATAGCTTTGTTTACATCTCAAAGACCGAATTATGTCGAAATTTTTAAAAGTCGGTAAACACCAAAATTTAAACAAGTGCATAACATGATGAAAATGTATAGCATACAATAGTCTTCAATTTAGTGATGAAACAGTTACTGGTTTCATGGTAAACCACAGTAAAATGTTTCACATTTTAATTTTCACTAAAACCATGGTCAATTACCATGCTTTAAAAAACTCACGTTAAATAGCCTACTGACCAGCATCAACCAAAGTTAGCAACAGTCTCGCAGATGCAGGCACCCAGATGCTGCACGCAACCTGGGTTTGTTTACGGTCAGTGCACACATGGCAGAAGCCAGTGATAGCGTTTTTCAGCCTTCTAAGAGGGCCGGGACTGAAGAGTGGTTGTATATTGGTTTTTACAAGAGTGCAGAGGGAAACTTGAAGATGGTCACCCTGTCTGCAGAACATGCAGAAATCACCTTACCAAAAAAGCCCACCAGTCATCTTCTTATTCGCCAGCTTCTTGTTCAATTTTTTTCCCCATTCGACCTTAAAAGGGGCAGCAGTTATTGTAAGACCTCAGGCACCGGAATGTAACTGCTGCACCATTTAAGGTGGAACGGGAAAACTCGAACAAGAAGTTGGTGAACAGGAAGCCAACTTCAGCCTCATATTAAAACTGCAGATAGGACAGTCTGATAGTCTAAATCAGTAGATTTTGCAGCACAATTTCTGTTTATTGGATGAATTTAACATAATGGAAAAAAAACATTAAAATGTGGCCTGTGCAAAAGTTATGGCACATTTTATATGATTTATGATTTGTTCCCCTGCATGTTAAACTATTTCAGTTGGATCTTTGTAGAGGATGTGATATAATATTTTTACTTAGAAAATCAACAAAACATGTAATTTCACTGGGGGAATTCAAACATTAGCATATGATGGTATTTAGCAATTTCAGTATTACTTTAGCTGCAGTACCTGCCAGAGCCAATTCTTTCCTGAGCAGCTGGTTCTCTTGTTTAAGCCGAATGAGCTCTTCTCTCTGACTGTTGTTCTCTATAGTCTTCTCCTGAAGCTCATCTGCAGGAAAAAAAGAATATTATCAGTATGTCTCTGTGGTTACAAGAGAAAACAGATTGACTTACTTATTTAAAACACACAAACATAGGAGGGCTAAATCCTGTTTAATGCATGCATCATTCTCAGGATACTGTTGCCTAGAAATGAAGGCAGTGGTATAGACTGTAATAGTCACAGTGACAACTAACACTGGTCATTTACTGGGATGAGACTTTTAGCTCTACATGAGGGTGCATGTAGTCAGAAGTAAGCACACTGTGTACCTTTCAGTTTAACATTTTCATGTCTGGCCTCTCTGAAGCGACGTTTGTATTTCTCTGTTTCCTGTAACATTATGCCCTCACGTGTCTGAGACACCCTCAGTAAAGTGTCCGACTCCCGCAGCCGATCGGTTAAAGCCAAAATGTGACTGGTGGCTTCCATCAGGTCTTTGTCCTCATAAATAAAATAAAAACAGGACAAATTGCGATAACATTTACATACATAATATGTGCAGGTTTTACAAACAGAGAACAGTAAGGAGAATTACCTTCAGTTTCAGCATAGAACTGAGCTCCTCCTCATGAACCTGGAGCTGGCCAACCTGGGACGAGAGAGTCATGATGGTCGAGTTCAGACTCTGATTCTTCTCCTGGAAATGACCATCAGCAATTATCAGCATTATCAGCAACTGATAAAAAGATGTTCAAAGCGTGGATCACTTATATAAGCATTTTAAAAGTTTGTAATACAAAATCACGGTTTTTGGAGATGTTTAAAAGTGGCAGGTTAGTTTTTGGGCTGAAAGAGGGAAATTAAGTGTACTGAATAATTTAATTAATGAAATTTCAATAGTTAGCAATCATTTGTTCCCAATTTATGAATCTTTCACAATGATCCCAGCCCTAAATACATGTATAACATGATTCTGCAACTAAGCTAGTACTAAAACAAAAAGCTGGTAAAAAAAGCTAAAAATTAAGAACTTGAAATGTGTCCAGAATGATTAACAGCACTGTAGACAATTCTTAAAACGTTAATATCCAGAGATGCCTTATATTTCAAGCTCAAAGCAGATAAGTTGGCATAAATGACTGTAAATAGCTAATTACAATGTATTAATTATCATTTAATTACTTCTTGTTGTTAAAATACTTGAAATATCAAATAAAACAACTAAAAACTGATTTCCAGTATCTTCTATTTTATCTAAATCTACACTGTACAGGTTGAGTCCATAAAATTACAAAAAAATACTGTAAATAAATGTCATATGCAACTCCATAGATACAGTGCATGGAATTGCATTTGTAAACATTGTATACAGATGTCAGGAGATATGAAGGACAAGAAATCAAACAAATACCTCCAGGTCATGTCGCTGTTTGCTGCTGTGCTGTTGTTTCTGGCTCAGTTCCTTCAGCTGTTGCTGGGCAGTGCTGAGCTCTCTGTGTCTGTCCTTCTCACGCGCCTCCACAATCTTTACGTGCTTGCTAATGGCTCGGATCACCTCGTTGCGCTTCTGTAGCTCGTCTGTTGACCGCAGTCACATACACATCAATCAACATACTCACTCACATGGACATGTTTCTCTGATTTATGACAGCTTGAGGTGTCACTGCATTGAATGCAGATATTTCATCCATTCATTCATTCTTGATCTAAGCCTCTTATCCTCCTGGGTTCACAGGGGCTGCTGGAGCCTATTTCAGTGTTCATTGGGCGGAGGGCAAGAAATATCCTGGAGAAGTCGCCAGTCCATCATAGGGCAGACACTCAGACATAAACATTCACACACAAAATGTTGTAAAAAATCTGCTTCAGCCAAAATGCTAATGTAGCTAAAAATGAATGAAAGACAAGGTTCTTTTCAGTTTAGTCATCTTTCTTTGTTGCCAAAAAGCTCTATTTTTGTTCCATCTGACCATAGAACCCAGTTCTATTAGCGTCTGCAAATCTCCGACCTTTGGCCTTGGAAAATTTTTGCCTTAGTAACTATCCTCCTCACTACGTGTGGTGGTAAAATAAACATGCATCCTATTCCAGACAGGTTCACTACTGCTCCAGTTATTTTAAACTGCTTAATTATTGATCCAACAGTGAATAGGGGCATTTTCAGGCATAAGGACATGTTTTAATAGCCACATTTGTATATTCCTTATGTTGCCAAACATAGGGAAGTTGGCATCTGCCTCACCACAAATATAAATGGGAACATGCCTCAGTTACATTTTGTTCCTAAGAATGTCTAGCAATGTCAATAAATGTGATGCATGTTAAAATGTAGTGGTTTTTGTTTCTTAATTTCAATTAAACTTCAATTACATGTTAGATTTTTTTTCCCCACAACCCCATAATAATAGATATGACTGTAGAAATTTCTACGAATGGAACAGCATGGCTAGCGAGCATCCCTATGCGATGGGGATCAAAAAAATTAAGTGAATCCTTCAAAGCCCTGATATTAACATGTACCTATTAACAAAGATGGCACTGAAATTAATGAATTTAATTCAATCCTGTGTCACATCTATCCTGATATACCCCCACACACACTGTGTGATTTGATTGTTAGCTGTATATTTCTTCCTGTGGGGAAGTGTAGTGAGTAGTTTGAGCATACTGGCCTACTTTTAGCTGTTCATCTGAAGTGTCTTAACTAAAAACAGCTCATTTTACATCTTAGCAGTTTTAAAGAAGAAAAAACCTGGTTGGTATCAGCTGATAGTGAAGGTTTCAATATTGGTATCAATGTTAGAAAAAAATCATGCCATCTCTACCTATTATCTTTCAATAATTATTGGAAAAATAAACATTTTAGGTGGAGCATTTCTGTAAATGTTTGACCTCAGTTTGAAGTTGCTTGGTATTCCTCACCCTCAAGGCGAGCACACCGCTGCTCCAAAGTCAGCACTCTCTGTCGGTCCTGCTCCCAGGCCTGGAGCTGCCTGTGGTGGGCTGCAGCCATAGTGTTCAACTCCTGGTCACGGTCCTTCAGCTCTGCTATAAGGAGCTGCAGCTCCATCCTCTGTTTTTGGATGGTAGAGATCTCCAACTCGCATGCTGAAGTCTAAAAGTACACAAAACATGCAGTTAAGAAAAGACCAGTTATTATTTTAAACATTACACCATAAAAACTATGATTCAAGCAATGTAATAACAAACTAAAACGATCACAAACCTGGCACCGCATGATGGATGCCAGTGCACAATTTTACATTCTGTGCCTTCAATATACGCCTGTTCTGTCTGCTCTCTTGTTGCAGCACAACAGTATCCTGACTGTTATGATGTAATACTGGGGTTGTGACCAAAATGGATCTTGCATTGCTTGCATTTTGTGTCCAAATCGCATAATGGAATTCCAGAGAGATTATGAGGGTCTACAATTTCTCCCATAATGCACTATTGATTTCTAGTGAACATCAAAGATCAGTGGTTCCCAACCCTGGTCCTGGAGGACCCCTAGACCTGCCTATTTGTGTGTTTTCCTGTCAAAATACACTTCAACTCAGCAAGGGTTTATTAATTAGCAGAGTAGTTGAATCAGGGTGTTGGGAACTGGGCAAACACTAAAATGTGCAGGGCAGGGGGTCCTCAAGGAAAAGGGTTGGGAACCACTGCCTTAGATCACTACATTAGCTGAATGTATATACCAAAATGCAATATGCTGTCAGTCACCCCGTAAAACCTGAAATAATAACTTAAGTCTGAGGTTTTGGAACGGATTCTACAGGAGTTTTTCAAACCACATCACACGTTTTACACGTTACGTCACTCACACATGCTCAAAAAGAAGGTCCAGCTCAATGCTTAGGTGTCAAATGCAAAATCAACATTATACTGATAAAGATGTAATGAAAATAGCAGATAATTAAGTCACATCCTCAGGAAACACATCCTTCACCAATTTTCTCTTTGAATACTCTTTCAATCATCAGATTCATCCACTTGGGGAAGGGGTCAGAATCAGAACCAATGCTACAAAATGTTCTTTCATTTTTTTGAAAAATGCTAATTTCTTAAGTATGTAGTTAAGAAAAAAGGTAGAAGATTTTCTTTCTTCGGACATTTTGTAAATCCTTTAAGGCCCTTGTTTTTTGGCCATTAAGACCAGAATATCCCCCTTTTCTGGCCTGAAGCTTGAAAGCTGAATGCAGTGTGGCAGTGTGGCAGACTGCCAGTCAGTTGTGGTTCTGTTGTCAAGTGCACCACACATGGATGTTTGGTTGCTTCTGATTGGTCTAGCTCTCTACAAGTAGTTCACAAGCTCTGTGTTATTAGGAGAAATTTTTTCACTTTAAACTTGTCATGACAATGTTGTTGATAGTGGAGATCTACCAAAATCTCTCTAAACAAGCTCAAACTGCATCCAGATCTTCTTTAAGGTCACACAAAAGTAGTTTAGGACACAGTATGACTTACTATGAGCTATAAAGCAAAATTACCACAAACATGTCTTGGCTGATCGACTACATCTGGGGTAAGTGGAAGATTGTGTAAATTTGATTTTTTGCTAGACTGTTCCTTTAAATAATGCAATTTACACGTAGAAGATAGCACAATTCCTACATTCATCGTTTCCTGCTAAATCATATAATTTTAAAAGCGTTTTTTTTTCTGCAATGTTGCATTAAAATGACATCTTCTGAGATTTGAATACATCACCATGCACCAGCGGGCGGAGAAAAAATAATATTAACCAGTTATACTGTTTCACCTCCACTTTCACCACGTCTACTTATCACTGAATGTAGACGCTCAGCTATCTTAGAGACTCTCCTTGATATCCAGTTTTACTCGAAAACACAACGCAGTATGGATGGAAAATGCATTTTGATTTCCAATTCAAATCGACTTTAAATATTGTTATTTGTTGCTTTTATATAAGCAAATTTAACACTGTCCAACAAAATACTAATGAAATTTATTAATGTGGCCCAAATAGTTTACAGTTAAATATAAAACAATAAGTGTTTTTTACTGTTTTTTTTCATTATTTTGTATTCCACAACTATACTAAATTATGCAACAATGTTTACATGTTTTATTCTATTGTCATAGTATGTTATTTTTGTTCATAAAAACAGTAACATTGAGTAAAAATTTGGTCTCAGAGCCAACAGCACCTCTACATGTGGGTCCACGCTAGGTTATGGGAACCTCTGATCTACAGGTTATAATCAATATGAACAAGATGTTTGCACACTAACCAAAAATAATCTATCAATAACAATGATCTCTCACCTTAGAGCTCTGCATGATGGACAGAGATGATATGTGATTAGAAGGGGCCTGAGGACTCCGTGCAGTCTGTCTTGCCATGCTGACTTCATCTGTATGCTTCATTCAGAGAAGGTCAAGGGAGTCATTTAGGATTCACACATTTGAAACATTTTCAAAATATATGTATGAGTAAATGGTTATGACAACGTTTGATGTGAAAAGTTCAGTTCTAGAGAAACTAGACAACAATGGTGGGAACAGGAACTAGACCAGAAAGAGTAACCAGAGTTACTCTAAAATTTTATCTCTAAAAGCTACCTCACAGAAAGCTATTACATGAAATGGTTATGAATATTTTGCCTGATGACTGAAGCATGGCGGAGAGGTACAAATAGGGTGTTGTAAGGAAAAAACAGTACTCGTACCCAAAGAACCCAGTCTAAGGCTTTTTTTTTTTGGATTTACCATTTTTTTAGCATTATTGTAAAGAAATTTGATTTGGTACATTTTTCTACAACGCATCATTTCACAACAAACCACTCTTCTCCCAAACATTAAAAAAATGTGCTTATCTTTAATAAATAAATTGTGTCGTCTAAAAGTTAAGGGTTTATGTAAAATGGACAAAAATTAATGAACATACATTTCAGTGAATTGAAACTGTTTACACTGATCCAAAGACAATTCTAATCCAGTTAAACCCAAACAAACTGCACTGAAATGTTTCAATTTTGTTCCATCAACAACTGAAAAGTGTATGTATACTGAGTCTACTCTATTTGCTTGAATGGACATGTATGGCATAATCGAATTAAGTTCATACAACAGTTTATTTTTTTGAGTGTTACTGATTTTACATGTCAACGGCAGAATTATACAGGAATTTGGGAAATTTCTCTTTAACGCATGTATACATTTTCAACACATATTTCATCAAAATGCATCTCTAAAGCAAACTACTATTTCTAACAATTACATTATTTAAATCCATAGTTTAAACTCAAAATACAAAAAGATGTACCTTCTTTACAGGGGTGCTGTGCCAGGGATCAAATGAAAAACCTGAAAAGTGATGTCATTTTAAATATTACGCCAAACTGATGCGTTATATAGGTTAATCAGCAATGCAAGGACTTTCCATATTAATCTCTAGCTACCATTTCTGGACATGGGGAAACGGTTTCCAGTCCCTCTGGAGTCAACTTTCCCTTTATCTTCCTCCATTTTTTCTTCGATCTTCAACCCTGTCCACTTGCACATTGTCAGATGCTGTTAGTAAAGCTGGTGTCTATAAACAGACCCGTTCCGCACATTGGGGTGAAGTTCTAAGTGCCTAATTTTAGGCTACTTTAATGAACTGTAGCTGGCTGAGTTACTTAAAAATGACAGCATAGAAAGTTTCCCAGCTATGTTTAACAGCCATTGCCTACCATCCGACTTATAAAACGAATGATGTTAGCTAGCCTTTCAGGGGGGAGACAGACCAGTAGTTTACACTACTCTATGCCTACAACTGTTAACGCTGGTTGTATAATTTGAATCAAAACAGTCTCTAAAATATCGCGATTATGACACTGATAAGAACACGGAAGCAGGTGTAATGATATACAAATGTCCCTCGTCCACACATCACAGGTACAGGTTAAAGCTGTATCGTGTCTCTTCGCTCTTCAGCGTTTTCATTACAAGTTTTTAAATTTCTTGTTGTGATGAGACACTATTGCGCTACGCCAGCGCACTGCCTGACGATCTAACAACGATGAGACTACGAATCTCGCCAATCTTCTCAAAAGGCCTGGATTCCACTTTTTAAATAAATATTTTGCACCAATGGACCTACTTTTCTTTTAATTACAACGCCGAAATAAAAATTCGTCATTACATACCGACGCAGGCATTAGCTCAATCAGCCCTTCGCTCGGAGCCATTGGCAGGACCCAAAGCTCCAGACTGTGGAGGTGTGCTCTGAAGCTGGAGAACTGTTTCTGTATTTACTGAAAAAGTCTCTTAAAGGTTTATGTAATAATGCTCGAGCTTTTACTCAAAAGAAAGCAATATTGAGAGTGTTTACGAGGTATGTGTTGCAGTGCCATTGTGTTATGGGCTGAATGGTGATGTATTTTAGGGAAATTAGCGAGCTAGCATGCGTGGCTAATGAATGGGTGGCAATTCTCTAGATAATAAAAACTGAGCAGGTCGGTTATTTTATCTAAAACTGTTCTGCTCTTCTTTTTGTGAAGACCTAAGTTTAGATGACGCCGCCTGTATCTTCACATGTTTCCGAATAAGATTTCAGAGCACTGGCTGTAATGACAGCTGCTGGATATTTTGAGCTGGGTTACTAAACCTAGCTAGCTAGTGCAGAAGTCTGGCCTGAGTTTGGAAGCACGGATTCCTACTTTTAACTCTGCACATGCTTTATTATCCATCGGTATATCGCAGTATACGTCTGTACTTATTTATTTGAATATATTGTAGAATAACGTGAGCCTTTTGTTTGACTTTATGTCAGTATTGTGTAGTTCAGTAATGAATTTACTTCAGTTTTTTAGTTTGACTGTGTGTAGTAACAAAATTCCGACCAATTTTGATACAATTAAGGGTTTGAATGTGACTGGTACAGCTCCAGTGTCCCATAAATATATCTAAGAAATATAAGATATATTTCTATAGGGTTGAACATGCAGTAAAATGAATAAATTGCAAATATTTTAGCACAGCATAGCCTAAACATTCTGCTCTTCTGGAGTACAATTAATACATCATAAAATCAGTTTGAGCAAATATTTTTAGGCAAATATCTGTCGATACCAATATAATTTTGATATCGTACATATTTTCAGGTTTGGTACTGCTTTCGTTTCTGGGCACATTTTTTTGTTTGATGTGTTAAGAATGTGTTCATTCTACAAGACTTTAATTCTATGCTGAACAACTTAGTTTAGTTCAGAAAAATACAAATTCTTCTCAAATGAAAGTAGTATGTCCTTTGCAAACAAGTGCAATTCATAGGATGCACCCAGATGCCTAATTGTAATCACCAACAGTGGTTTCAGTGAAAGGTAGTTAATGAAGACTAACTAGAGTGAGTTGAAATCATTATACCCTGAGCTGATGTAACAAATAATGTTTACCTGATTTGACTGTTTTTATTATTTGATCTTGTTGTATTCTCAGTGCATATGAAAAAACGCTTATTTTTTGTTTTCAGAATAACACAATATGGCTACTACTGAGAATGCAGAGTCAGGCTCGCCAGAGAACAAAGTGGATCGAGCTGACCCGGATGCTAAGTACCCTCTAAAAGTACTTTACTGTGGAGGTAGGCAGATCTTTGCATTTTTCTACCAGGAATACTGCTATTCAGACCATATGATAACCATGATTGACAAAACCCATGGGCTGCAAACTGACAAATTAGATGTTTGATGACCTTTTCTGAGTCTCTCTTTATTCCTTTAAAATTTAACAGGCTGTTTTTGTTACTGTGCCTAAAAGACTCATATATTTAAATGACCCTCTATTGTGATTGGGTGGCCTGTATTGTGCCACATTCAAATGACAGTCCGGGCTGAAACATTCTTTATAACTTCAATGTGAATGGGCGGGACTAAACTGCTGTAGGATATACAGTGCCCTCCCTGGCACCCCTGGTAATCTTGAGCAAAATTAGTTGTAAATATAGCCTCAATTACTTATCATGTTGATCTTTAATTCAAAGTATTAGCAAAAATCTAACTTTTATTTAAGGTACAATGATTGAAAAAAAAAATCTTGTCATGATACTTATGTGTGCCACATTTGTTGGCACCCTTAGAAATTCCTAAGAGTGAAATCTAATGGAAGTGTATGCTCAATCATATTTTATGTTTTTAAGTTCACCTGAGTGATTAGGAACACTTAAATGGTCAGTCATGACTTTCTATTTCAGTGGGGAAAAATATGAGCTGAAACACAGGCCAGATTCTCTCAGGCATCCATCAATATGAGAAAGACCAGAGAAAATAGCAATGATGACAACATGACAAAAGGTTGTTGAGCTGCACAAATCAGGAAATGGCTACAAGAAAATAACAGTTGAAATGCCCATTTTGACTATCAGGGCAATCATTGACAAGTTCCTTCAAGGATCACAGATGGGGAGTTGCTGACATTAGTTAGGTCTTGAATGTCTCCCAAACTACAACCATGCAGAAATGTACTTCACCCCCACTCTGAAGTATGGTGGTGGATCTGTGATGTTGTGGGGCTGTTTTTCTTCCAAAGGCCCTGGACAATTTATTCCTGATACATGATATCATAGACTGCATAAAGTACCAGTAGAAATAAAATCAAAAGCTGACTGCCTCAGCTAGGAGGTTTATATTGGGCCATAGTTTAGATCTTCCAGGAGGACAGTAATTCAAAGCTCACCTCAAAATCAACACAAAAAATGGTTCACTGACCACAGAAGGTCAGGAAAGTAAGGTTTTGCCATGACCACTCTAGTCTCCTGACCTAAACCCCATAGAAAACCTGTGGGATGAGCTGAAGAGGAGAGTCCACAGTGTGGACCTCAGAATCTAAAGGTTCTAGAAGGTTCTAGGAACGGTCTGAGATCCTTTGCCATGTCTTCTCCAGTCTCATTATAGGAGAAGACTCAGAGCTGTTAACTTTGCAAAGGGAGGCTGCACAAAATATTAAATGAAGAGGTGCCAACAATTGTGGCACACATAGATTTGAGAAAAGAAACATATTTCATGGTAGGATTTAGATTTGGTTTTCAGTTATTGTTCTTTAAACAAAGGTTAGATTTTTGTTAATATTTTGAATGAAAGACCAAAAGTATAAGCAATATAAAAAGTTTTTTACAGGCTGTTTTGTTCATGTTTACCAGGGGTGCCAATATTTGTGGAGGGCACTGTATATAAAGGCATTGATTTTTGTGGTTTCACTAAACAACTGAATTCAAAATGGGCTGTTTTTGCCACTTAGTTTCCATATATGTGTGGACTAAGAGTGGAGAACATTACATACATCAAACTCTTTATGTATTTATTATTATTTTTTTAAAAGTAGGAAAATTTGTTTTTCCATGATATGGAAGAGAAGATTTCCAGATCACATTTTATCATGATAGCCTGCATATGTTGTGATACTTTGATTGTATGATTCTTCATCATTTTAAAAAGAAGTAGCTTGATCGCCAAGATAAACCAGTGTTTTACACTAATAACTGTTAGTAGTACATTAACAAGGCTAATATATCTCCCTCATCATCTTTTCAGTATGCTCCCTGCCGACAGAGGTAAGTACACAAGACTATCTTTGCCTTAGTGAGGATCTAATAAGGGAAAATGTAGAACACTGTAAAATAACCTGGATCACTTTTTACTTGATTTTCTTGAAGTTTCATGGAAAATTGTTTGATGTGTCTGTGCATTAATAAATGTTCTTTTTCAATCTGCAGTACTGTGAGTACATGCCTGAGCCAGCGAAATGCAGACAATGGCTTGAGAAAAATTTCCCAGATGTGTTTGCTAGAATGACTCTTGGTAAGCCCTGCTTTTCCTCTTTGTCTTGCAGTCATGCCTTTAATTTAAACACGTATACAGCCCAGTTTTAGGTATTGTTGTTATTCAATATATTTGACTTAAAAGGGAAAGACTCAAGCTTGTGTCGTTGCAGGAACTGCACCCAAGCAGGAAACAGGAGGTGGTGGAGGAGGTGGAGAGGTGCCCCCTGCTGGAGAGGAAGAGGAAAAGAAGAAGCAGAAAAGAGGTAGGAAAGGAGATTCATGTGCATTTCTGATATTTCTTGACATTTCACATACATTCCTTTAGAAATGTGCTAAACATCCACATCTCAACTTCAAAGGAAAGCGTGAACTTTGTCTCCAGTACATACTGTTAGTGAACTGTTCAGCCCAAAGCAGCAGGAGTGCAACAGTTACAACTTACCCCATTGGCATGGACTGAGGAGTTGATTGTAACAGTAACTTAAAAAGTCAATGCAAATACAATCATTTGATACAATGCTGTGTTGTTTGAACCAAAGTACAAATAGAACTGAGAATGTCAGTGTTTATATAAATTTATGTACATGACACTTATAGTGTATTTAGTATTCAAGTTTTTGATGAATCTTTGTATGCTTGTGTACTTCCAAAAACTTAACTGATTTAAATTTGTATGGGGTGATACAGACTCGCATCTTTGTTTACTCTGAAAGTCTTTGACAGTGTCTTAAAACTTATCCTGCCGTGTGGAGCTGTAGCTCTCATTGTGAGTTATTTACGTGCTTCAAAAGGGTGCTCTATTACAGGCGCCAAGAGAGTGATGAACATAATATCCAGTCGTATGCAAAAGTCTGGGCACCCCAGTCAAATTACATGTTTTTTGGTTTCTAAGTGAAAATAAGTAAATACATCCTCAATACGGAAACAAACCTCTGTACATTTTCCAATATGTTAAAGCTAAAAAAAGACATATCTAAATTAGGGGAGGGTGTGTTAACTCATATTTTGAAAATCAACAAATTGTCATTTCAAAATGGGTGTTCAGACTTTTGCATACAACTGTAGGTGTGAACTCTGAGTTACTTTTACGGTACAAAAATGACTTCATGGTGAAAGTAAGGGCATATCTGTCTGATTACTATGGAAATTTGCAAATGACACTGCTGTAAGAATATGAGAATATGGTAAAGTCCCAAGGGCCCAATTCTGGCCTGGGAGTCTATCTAAACTCTCCAGGACCAGACCATATTAGATAATGTCTTGTATGTAGAACAGTGTTTCAATAGTATTATCATTCTGAACCTAATTTTGAAGCAAGATATGTAAAATTAGTAAGTACTTGATTAATCAGCGTATTCCAGTACTCTAGAATAAAGATACTGAAGGAACTGAAAAGTTGAAGCCATATCGGTAAATGTTTGTCTTTTCAGGTGGTAGAGGTCAAATCAAACAAAAGAAGAAGACTGTTCCCCAGAAAGTGACGATAGCAAAAATCCCACGCGCAAAGAAGAAATACGTCACACGAGTGTGCGGCTTGGGGACCTTTGGTAAGATTTAGCATCCAAATTTAAACTTAAATTTCACGTGCCACCCTTCACTTTGCCTCTGTAGCAATACATGTTCTTTTTCCTCCTCAGATATTGACCTCAAAGAGGCTCAGAGGTTCTTTGCTCAGAAATTCTCCTGTGGTGCCTCAGTGACAGCAGAGGATGAGATCATCATTCAGGGAGACTTTACAGATGACATCATTGATGTCATCCAGGAGAAGTGGCCTGAGGTAACATAGTCTTTTTGCCTCTTCTGTTTTTTATGATTACTTTTGCATTTGGCTGGTTTTTCTCACGTTGTTAAAAATGAACTGACCAGTTAATGTACATGAGGTCACAGTGAAGCATTCCGCTAAGACAGTCTTTGTTCTCCTGCAGGTGGATGACGACAGCATTGACGATCTTGGAGAGGTCAAAAAGTGAAAAACCCGATGTGCACTTTTACCGAAATGGATGCGACATGACACAAAACACGGCCAAATTTCCACATTGAGTCGTTTTATATCTATTTTATTTACTGTATAGAAAACGATGGACTTGGCCTCATCCTTGGCATTTTTTTTTCTTGTCATTTCTAGATAGCTGCTTCCTTTCTTGGTTGCCAAAGGTCTGGTATGATGTGAATATCCCTAACACTTCACTCAAGCAAACTGTAGGCTAATAAATTTCGGTCTCATTGGCTTTTTTCTTTGTATAATGTTCTTTTATTTCCACCTTTTGCGCTGAGCTCACTATCCTGATGTACAATGCAGTTTATAAGGTAGTAACATGAATTGTGCTATTCTGGCTGTAAACTTTAGCACATTTGCATTGAAATGAATGTGACTTTGGAAGATTTTTTGCATCTATATTAGGTCAGTCATATAGGAACTACATAGTCAGCCACTTTCAGGGGACCAGATGTAACTGGACAGATTTACTCGTCATGATTAATACTCAATAACTGCCTGCCATTGACATCACCAAATGGTGGGTATCCTCACTGGTGATGCTCTGCGAGGTCTATAATACAGTCATTTCTAGCTCCTGTTTGTTTTGGGTACTTTTCACCTTCAGTCTTGTCAAGTTACATCGGTCATCTGTCATTATGTGCTTTTTAGTAACATAGGGGCAGATTTACTAATGTTTTGTGCTGTCACAAACTCCTGGACATTGGAGCCTATCAAAAAAAGATCAAAGGGGGATCAAAGCCATTCTTTGATGTACTTAGTCAAATTACCTTGGTGCACTCATCAAAATTAAACAGAGATTTTACAAGATCACATGGTTTCCAAACGTACTTGGCACAGAACTCAAGTTCCAGGCCAAAAGAAACATGTTTCAAAACAGAACGTCAAAATAGGTTACTATTTTCTTGAATTTATGATCTGTTATGTCGAATTAATGCCTTATTTTCTCAAAATAATACTTAAGATGGTGAAATAGTTGCATACTTTCTTGACACTTAACCCTTTTTTTCAAGTTATTAAGTCAAAAGATTGAGAAAATAAGTCATTATTCACAATTCACAAATAAATCACATGGAAGTTCTTGGTAGGTAAGCAGCTAAACTGGCCAGCCTCACCGTTTAGTAAATCTGCCCCATAATGTCTTACAGAGAATAGGGTGGCTATTTGTGAGCACATGTCTGCACTTCATGGCAAAAAAACAGACCAAACACTGATTTTTACTTATGGGCTGCTTGTAAGAATGTGTTATGCTAAGTCATAGTGATCATCAAAACACCCACAAATTACTGAGGTTCTGCCAATCCTTATGAAAAGGGGATGATTAGAACACAAGAGAAAGGTCGATGTGTCATGATCTGTTGTAGCCATTAATTCCAAATGATAATAAAAGATGATAATGTATAACCCTCTGAATAAGCATGTTGAGTATGATAATTACAGTGGCAGCCAATGACGACAAGTTTAAAACTTTTCTCATCGTCCTCATCCGCATAGTGTAATATGGTATTCCTTTTATGCTTCATTATAACTTAGGTCTTCAAAATCCCCATGACATGTTCTTGGGCCCTCAAAACACACCAGTTCTCTTGCCTTTCACAATGACAAGCACTTGTTTACACTGTCTAAACTGCAAAGCTCACCACATGCAGCAAAGTTAATGCTGACTAATGTTCCCTGTTGGCACCTGCAGGAATAAAACAATAAACACAATAAATATAATTATATATAATCAGCTTAGAACTGTAACATTTGATCAGGCTGTTCAAACTTTTGCATGTAACTGCGATATGTGCAGTTTGAACAGCCTGATCAAATGAAATGTTTTGTTGATTTTCTAAATGGAAATAAGTTAAAGGAGAACTCCACTGATTTGAATTTCTGCGTAATTCAATCTTAGGGGTGTGACCAGAGTTATTCAGAGTGGTTTAATGTGAAATGCGCAGTTCTAGTGAAACGTATCGACTCAGATTTCTTTACAGTGGTGGTGACAGGAATCAGAGGTCACAATGTCTACAGCACAAATATATACATTTTATTTACTATCCAAAACCAACAGCAAACCTGACTTTTTATGTGTAACGTTGATTATGATAAAATAGTGGTAAATCTGGGGAAAAAGTCTTCTTTGGGTATTATTTTGCCTTAGGACACACATTTCTGCCATTAATGGGTTTTAAAAACTTTTTAGGGGAAAACCTCAAAACAGTTATAAATCAATGTCCCCAATCATGCAGTGTATTCATGAAGACTTCATGCAGTACATATCTGAGGGAACTTTTAAAGGCTTTAAAATCTTCAGACGTCTGGTTCTTAATACCGCCACTGTGAACAATTCTGTCTTGACAAGTTTCTCAGGCGGAGCATTTTGCACCAAACCACTCTGAATGACTGTCTTTATGCAGAAATGTAACATATGGGGGTAAAAACATAAAATATAAAATGTGCCACAACTTTTGCACATGCCACATTTTATCTTTTTGTGTTTTTCCCAATATGTTAAAATATGTCAGCAAATACTCAGTAATTTTGCGTTAAAATGTGCAGAAGTGTGTTCTCTGTAGAGTGTATTTATTCTCACTGCAACAAAACAGAATTTGACCACAACTGTATATTGCGTATGATTTTACACCAAGGTTATGCTTTATGGTGTCTAAATATATCTATGCTTATTACATCTCATCATATAGTGAACACTCTTGTCTCTCCTTCTTCAAAGGTCTGTGGACTAATTTTGCCTCTGTGCACCAACACAACAGAAATTTTAAGGAAGCAGTTAATATGTGATCGAAGTGTAGAATTTCAGCTTTATTTCAAGGGGTTTATCTAAAATACTTGCTTTAATCATTTAGGAATTACAGCAATTTTTTACATAGTCCCTCCAGTTTCACAGGCTCAAAAGTAATTAGACAGTTGACTGATAAGCAGTTTAATGGCCAGGTGTGGCCTGTTACATTGTTATTTCAAATTAAGGACATAAAGGGTCTGAAGTTGATTCCAAGTGTTGAATATGGATTTGGTAGCTGTTCAAGGGAACTCAATGTCAACATGTAGTCCAAAGAGGTGTTGAAGTGAAGGGGGCCATCATTAGGCTGAAAAAACAAACCTATCAGAGATAAAAGAAATTTTAAGAGTGGCCAAATGAACAATTTGGTACATTCTTAAAAAGAAGGAATGCAATAATGAGCTCAGCAACACCTTGAAGACCACAGAAGACAACTAAAATGGACCCAGATCACAGAATTCTATCTGTGGTGGAGAAAACCCCATCCCAACATCTAGTCAAGGACGTTCTAGAGGAGGTTGGCGTATCATTGTTGAAGTCTACAATCAGGAGACGCCTTCATGAATGTAAATACGAAGAGTTTATCTCAAGATGCAAACCCCTGGTAACACTCAAGAACAGAAAGGCCAGATTAGATTTTGCTAGAAAACATCTAAAAAAGCCTGACCAGTTCTGGAATGAGATTCTTTGGACAGATTTAACCAAGACCAACTTGTACCAGAATGATGGGAAGAGAAGAGTATGGAGAAGGAAAGAAGGGGCTCATGATCCGAAGCAAACCACATCATCTGATAAACATGGTGGAGGTAGTGTTATGGCATGGGCATGTATGGCTGCCAGTGGAACTGGGTCACTGGTGTTAACTGATGATGTGACTGCGGATAGAAGAAGCAGGATGAATTCTGTAGTATATATAACTATAATTTCTGCTTAATTCAGTAAAATACTGCAAAACTGAAACTTCACAGTACAGGTGGATAATGACCTAAAACACATCATGAAAGCCACCTAAGAGTTCTTAAGGCAAAGAAGTGGAATGTTCTTAAATGGCTGAGTCACCTGACCTCAATCTAATTGAGCATTTTTCACTTACAGAAGACAAAACTGAAGTTAGAAAGACCCCCAAAAAATCAGCAACTGAAGGCGGCTGCAGTAAAGGTCTGGCAAAGCATCTCAAGGGAGGAAACTCAGCATTTGGTGATGTTCATGGGTTCCAGACTTCAGGCAGTCATTGACTGCAATAATTTGCATCCAAGTACTAAAAATAATTGTTGTATTTATAATTGTCAGTCTGTCCAATCACTTTTGAGCATGTGAAAATTGAGGGACTATGTAAACAATGGCTGTAACTCCTAAACGGTTAATGCAAATTTTTTATTAAACCTCTTGAATTAGAGTTGAAAGTCTACACTTCAGCCAAACCTTGACCACTTTCTTCAAAATCTTATGGAAACAAAATGACAAACATTGTGTCACTGTCCAAAATCTTTTGGACCTGACTGTTTACTGCTATTGAAAAGTGAATTTTAAATATGTTTTTCTAGTACAATGTTGTGACAATATCTTAAACCTTAAACCTAAAAGTTTCCATAATTGTAGCCCAGATTATGTGCTCCTGGTTCTAGCAGGGTCAAGGTCTCTAGGTTTCCTGCATAGTTTAGTGGAGGTCAGCAAACTGTGCTTGACTGTGGCCAGAGAACTTATAGAGAGGAAAATTTCCACTCTGCAATGTCTTCCCGGTTTCTCAAATGCTAGAGGGTGCTCCTGTGCAAAGTGTCCCAAGTCCAAAATGAATGGGTTAAGATGAAGCATTTGAGCAAAATGCTTAAACATTTTTTAATGTAAAAAATAACATTCATTTCCTGAACACTGGATAGCATAAAACATTTTGACACTGCTGTTATATTTTTAAGAGGTTTTAAACTCAAGTTATAGAAGTTTAAAACAGCACCACATTAACATTCATGACGTCTGTGAGGGCAAACAGCCAATGAGCTGCTCCTCTCGCCAACCAATCAGCAGTAGCAGTAATGCTGACCAATCAGCACTCAGTAGCAGTAATGTTAGCGTTCTGCTGCCCAAAACCTGCGGGAAACATGCAGGTCAGTTTTCTTTGTTTTTTTAGTGAAATACGTCCTTCCACTTTCTAAAATTAAAGGAAAGTTCTGGGTAAGTGATTAGAAACTATTTTAACTTTTTGTTTTTAGCCATTGAGCTCCTTTTACCTCATTCATTGAGAACTTGCTCACGGGCGCCCTCTGGCATATTGCGGTCTTGTTTTTGATATAACGGGGAAATAGGAAGTGGCCAGGCTCCTCATAAACCGGCTCTGCTGTGACCCTCAGTTCCCCACCCCTGGTATATACAGTCAGGAGTTAGTGGATGGGGAAAGCCTATAGGCGCCATCAATGTGGGAACAACCCAATTAAATCTATGCATTATCGCATGGAGACTAATTTATAATGAACGATATTGTTATATATAGTATTATTGTATATTATGATTTCCCTGCTCAAACACACCAGATTCCTCTCAGCGATTAGTAACCAGGTTTGTTAGGTGTATTTAGAAGGTGCTTGATTTAGCTTCCTCGGGTGACATCAATTATATTTGGCTATACAAACCCAGCTAGCTGTAGCTACCGATGTGATAGAATACTTTGGATGTACTGTGGTATATTATACACTGTATGTCCAAAGGTTTAGTCTCTTGTTGATCCAGTGTTTCTTCTGGAATCAAATGCCTTTTGACCTCTAACCATCAATATTTATCTCTATTCTAACTAAATTGACAATCTGATTAGCAGCTTTAATATACACATACTGTTACCTAGCTGGGCACCAGTGAGCACATTTAGCAACAATCAACTGGCAAAACAGAAAATGTCAAGTTGTCTACCTGGTAAACATCTGTTCACATGTAACAAGCCTTCTGTGTATCTGTGGTGTCAACTTTGTCTGGCTATGCAAACCAGGCTAGCAATCTATCTGATATGCTTTGAAAGTATTTCAAATGTAACCTTCTAGCAGGAAAAAACAACCAAAATACCCCTATATATAGTGCAACTGAGAGCATGTGATGCCACACCAATTTTCCTAACACACAATTCCACAAGTTTCCAAGCCATAGCTTGCCACAGCACAGCTGTGACATCAATTTTATCTGGCTATGCAAACCAGGCTAGCTACTGACGTGACAGAATGCTCTGGAAGTACTTCAGGAAAAAAACACAGTACTCCTATAAACAGTGCAACTAAGAGCATCTCTTTTAAGGTATATCTCCATAAAGATACATGTATATGCACTGTATATGCACTGTATATACACTCATCAACCATAACATTAAACCACCTCATTTCTACACTCATGTAGTCAATTTGTTAGCCTTCTTTTACCCTGTTCTTCAATGTTCAGCATCCCTACAGGACCACCACAGACCAGGTATTATTTGGGTGGTGGATCATTCTCAGCACTGCAGTGACACTGACGTGGTGCTGGCGTGTTAATGTGTGTTGCACTGGTATGAGTGGATCAGACACAGCACTGCTGCTGGAGTTTTATTGCTGCTACTTTGCCCATCCTTGATTTAAAATTTTGACAGAAAAAGAAAATGTTGTTTTACCCTGTAAAAAAAAAAACTAAATCAGTTCTCCCTTAATCACACCAACAGGTTCCCTGTGCTTCACCAAACACACGACCATATCTACACATAAACATCACTCAAACAATACACAAATATAAGCATGGTTCTCTGCCTTCCCTCTGTTACATAATCCTATCTCACTTTCTGAGTCTAATATTCTGAAGACGGTATAATTTTGGACAGTACCTTTCCTAAACTGCCGCTCTTTGATGGCACTGAATGCAGTCCAGCAGCGATGATGAACGCCCCAATATGGCTTCGCCCAGCTCTCCTGTATGTTCGCAGAGAACTGCCTCCTGTTTGCAAGTGGTGGCAAACGTTCGCAGAGAACTCAAGGCAAACAGAAAACTGTTTGCAACTCTTTGTTAACGTCGACCTACATTCGCGACGGTGGCCTTGACGTTGCAATGTTTAAAACTGTAACATTATTTGGAAAGTGAACAGAGTCGCTGTGAATTATAGGTACTTGCTTTTCTGTTCCAACTCCATTAACGATTCCAGAGAACAGCATTTTGAAATAAAAAATGTTACAGCTCAGTTCATAACATGAAGTAAGACGGCTTTTAATATTAGCTAATTAGCTAGCTAGCACAACTATACATTCACAGCCACTTTATTAGGAACACCTGCTCAGTCATGCAATTACACTGTCAGCCAATAATGTGGAAGCAGCACAGAGCATAAAGTCATGAAAACATCAGTCAAGAGCACCAATTAATGTTCACATCAAACATCAGAATGGGGGATTTTTTTTCTAAGTGGCTTTGACAGTGGCTTGGTTGTTGGTGCCAGATGAGGTGGTTTGAGTATTTCAGAAACATCGCCCATACAACGGACTCAACAATAAACATCCAGTGAGCCTCAGTTCTGTGGGCAGCAACACCTTGTTGATGACAGAGGTCAGAGGTGAATGGCTAGACTTGTTCGAGCTGTCAGGAAGGCTACAGTAACTCTTTACCACATTGGTGATAGGAGAAGCATGTCTGAACGCACAACATGTTTAACCTTGAAGTACATGGACACATTGTGTTCCACTCTCGTCAGCCAAGACAGGCATCTGGAATATACAGATGGCAGGGACAGAATCTGGCAGAAACAGCATGAATTTCTTTACTCAATCTGCCTTGTGTGAAGTAAAGGTGGTGGTGGTCGAGTAATAGCATGGGAAGGGGTCGGCAACATGCGGCTCTTGTACTGCCCTGTTGCGGCTCCACAGCAGAATTAGATTTGTAGGTAAAAATAAAATAATCCTTTTTTGCAGTAAAATAAAGCTAACACAGTTTTAACAATAAATGGTCTAAAATGCTGGAGTAATTGCTAATTCACCAACCTTTAACCCTGAAGGTTGGCGCACAGACTGCTGGTCACCACAGCAATGCATACAACATCTCGCCTAGCTAGTAGCTAACAAAAAGGCAAAGAAAAAGATTTAAGACATTGATAATTTGGAGACAAATGGACTGATTTTCATTTATAAGCACTCCTGCTGCATTCTGGCACCTCAAGCGCTATTTAAGGTGGAACAGGAAAATTAGAACAAGAAGCTGGAGAATGAGGAGCTGACTTCAGCCTCGTAAAAAATCAAACATTGAAAGACATTTTACAAGAAACTGTTCTACTTTTGAAGAAAGTTTTCCTGCCGGAGATGCAAGAAAAGGGGCTATAGCTGAGCTAAAGCTTAAAGCAGAGCAAAGTAAGTCCACTTTTTCACTTAGATTTTTTAGTCTGTACTAGGACATTAGTTAGCACATATTTTCAGCTATGATAGTAAAACGGTCCTGCAATAAAATGGACATAAAATGTTGTGGCTCCCAAGGTGGTTTGATTTTTGCTAAAAAGACAAAATGGCTGTTCTTAATATTTGGGTTGCCGACTCCTGGGTGTGGGGAATGTTTTCTTGGCATACATTGGGCCCCCATTGTCTGAAAAACACAGCTTATTTGAGTATTGTTGCTGATCATGTGTGTCCTCTGGCCACAATTTACCATATTCTAATAACTACCAGCATTATAATGCACCTTATCACAAAGGAAAATCTCAGAGTAGCTACACTAATGTGAGTAGCAACACGAACATGAGTTCAGTGAACTAATGGACTCCCCAGTCACTAGATCTGAATAACCACAGTAGAGCACCTTCAGGATGTGGTAGAATGGGAGATTCACTGCATGAATGTGCAGCTGATAAATCTGCAGCAATTATGTGATGGAATCAAGGCCCAGAATAACAAAGGAATGTTTCCAGTACCTTGCTGATCCCTGCCACAAAGAATTCAGATTGTTCTTAGAGCAAAGTGGGGACCTACCCAGTGTTACCATTGTGTTCCTAATAAAGTGGCTGGTGAGTGTACATCTGAGTATATATTCTTTATTATGAACCACATTTATGCAAAGGTTATGGGATCACAAGTGGAAACTTTAGCAGACCAATGCAAAACCATATTCAGGGAAAGCTCTTGTTTCTGTTTGCTCTGTGTTTTACTGGTAGGACTTTCCTCAAAGGACGAGTGTTGTGTGCCCCAGTGTACTGTATCACAGTCTTAATCATTTTTTAATAACGTGGGCACCAGTTGGCACAAGGTAGGACACTATATTCCCTGTTGTTGTACTCCCTCTTGAGATCATTTCCACACAGCACCTGGGTTTTGTTATCAGTGAACATGCTTACAGCGATATCATTTGCATGAGAGCAAACACAAGAACAAGTCCCTGAAGATTCACTGGCTCACAGGGCACAGAACATAACTGCTGGGAAGTAAAGTTCTCTGACCAAAGTTCCAAAGCCTGCTTGCTTCATAGCTGCCCAGAATGGCAAACACTTCAGTGTGTTGTATTTTTGATGAGCCTGTCTTGGACCAGTTTCTGCCCCCTGTTCTTTTCCTAGAGTTCATTTTTGGCCTCTCTGGAAACATTCTTGCCCTCTGGATGTTTGCCTTCCACATGGACAGCTGGAAGCCCAACTCCATCTATCTGGCTCACCTGGCTGTAGCCGACTCTGTGGTCCTCTTCTGTCTGCCCTTCAGGGCAGACTACTACCGCAGGAGCAAGAACTGGATCTACGGAGATGCCTTTTGCCGAATCCTGCTTTTCCTTCTTGCATCCAACAGGGCTGCCGGCATCTTCTTCCTCACAGCAGTGGCTGTGGATCGCTACCTGAAGATTGTGCATCCACTCCACCGTATCAATCGGATGAACTTGACCTACGCTTTGTGGGTCTGCTGCGGCTTGTGGGTCGTTATCATAGCAATGACGGTCTACCTGCTGACTACTGAGCACTTTTACCACTATAATAATCACACCCAGTGCGAGAGCTTCAACATATGCTTGGGGGACAATCCACTCTCCAACTGGCACAACTCCTTCTACGTTATCCAGTTCTTCGTGCCCGCGACCATTGTAGTTTTCTGTACAGCCCGTATCACGTGGCAGTTGAAGAACAAGACGGTAGACAGCCAGGGCAAGATCAAGAGGGCCGTTCAGTTTATTTTCATCGTCGCAATGGTCTTCATTTTCTGCTTTTTTCCCAGCACTATCTCTCGGATTGCGGTTTGGATCCTGAAATCATGGTACACTGAGTGTCTATTCTTCCGTGAAGCAAATCTAGCCTTCTACACTTCGGTCTGCTTCACCTACTTCAATAGTGTCCTCAACCCTCTGGTTTACTACTTCTCCAGTCCTGCATTCAGCGGAACTTTAAACAAACTCATTCAAAAGATCAGAGGGAAAAAAACGGGGGAGCAAAACCCAGGAAACAACCCTGACAGTCCGGTTACGGTAACACGCAATCTCAGCTAAAGTTACACAGAGAAATGTATATTGCATGACAGGACAATTACTGTACATTACTGTCCCAAACTTGTTTAAATGTTTGTATGTTTTCAATTGTTGTGTATAAATGTATAAACTGACTCTAATATAGGCTATTAGTCCTGGGCAACCTCACAGGTTTCAAATAATTAGTAGGATATTAGGAAACTGTAAATAAAAAATAAGAAATTTTAGATGTGTCCAGTATGATAAATGACTGAGAAATCTGGAGAGCATCAAGTTAAAATTAATTAATAAAAATAACATCCAGAATTTAGGTGATCAAATTTGTGGAGATCAAATTTCAAAGCAGATAACTTAATAAAAAAAAATTCTGAAATATCAAATAAAACTCCAGCACCAAATTAAGGTCTATGAATTCTAACAGTAGCAGAACAATTTTTTAGTGCTACAACTGTATGCAAAAGTTTGGGTGCCCCTGGTCAAACAACATGTAAGTACACATGCTCTATAGAGAACAATTACTCTCCCAATTACTGTTTATTGACTTTAACTTATGTGGAAGATGTGAAAAAGGTATGGCACATTTTAGATTATATGTTTTATTTTTTTCCAACATGTTAAGCTCAGTAAATAAACAAAACTGTGCACTAAAGTAATGTCATTTTAAGCATGTTCATTTAAACATGTGTTAACTTATTTTCGCTTAGAAAATCAACGAAGAATGTAATTTGACCAGGGGTGTTTAAACTTTTGCATACAACTCTATATAAAACTTATTTTTATTTTTTTTTACTAAAGAACCTGTGAAGAGCCCAGCCCTTCGGTGGATGTTATCATATCTAAAATGACAGAAATTGTTAATATGACAAGTGATACCAAAACTGTTACATTATAGTGTTTTAGCATTTTCCTTTGCAGTTCCAGTAATGTTTAGTTATATAGTAGTATAGAGCAATCTCTGTAGATTTACTGTACAACTGCATCATTTTTGATATATCATTATGCCCTCATTATGCAATACAGTACTGGGGAGTTTACTGAAGCTATATTAGTTATACCTCTAAAGTAGTTAAACGTTACTCTGTCTGTATAGTTAAATGAACACTGAATATTTTCCCAAGATTTCCATACTTACACAAATGTAAATAATTTATGGTAATATATTAAAGTCAACCTGAAATTAAAATGGACTTATTTATTTACCTTCTTAGTTAATGTCCTTGGTCACATTTAGCACAATCCATTGAATTCTATCATTCAAAAGACAAAATTCCTCTTTCTCCTGTGATTGAAGTGTGGTGATTTCTGGCTGCCTCTAAACGCCGTCTGACGTTTGCACCGTACAGGTCTGTCGGCAGACAACCTCCTTTATTCTTCTCACCTTCCGTTTTTAGATCAGAATTTATGGTTAATTCAGCTTTCAGTTTATACTGAAAACGTCATCCTCGTGTTAACAGGAGTGAGGCAGCTCGGATATCTGGAGTGTTGGTTGGTGCAGGTTTCTGAGGTTTTCTGTGGTGCTGAGAGGCTGATGGGGTGTGGGGGGGGGAGGTTGATGAAGGAGCGACCTGCACACACACACAAACACACACAGTCCATTTCATGCTCAAACGTCAGGTAATTAGCTATACTCGTACACAAATTTATGTAACCTCACTTATTTTTCCTGAAGTGCTTTTGCAGTGAAAGTGTAAGAAAAGCGATAGCAGTGCGGATGCTAACAGGCTAGCCTGCTAACCGTTTTGCCTTGTCTACGTCTTAAAAGTAAAAAAAAACACATTGAAGTAAAGTTTTCAACAGTCAGGTAATGAATCATGTTTCAGAAACTACACGTCACAATACTGTAATGTCTTTTTTATCTATTTTTTCCTTTGTCTTTCCTGTAAAACAGACTGCGGACCGTTAGAGTTTGACCAGAGAACTTGTAGAGAGGAGAATTCTCTCTGCAAGTTCTTCCGGTTTTCTCAAACGCTAGAGGGCGCTCCAGAGCGAGTCCAAAATGAATCGTTTGATATGGATCAATCACTTCCTGAACATTGAACAGCATAAAACATTTTAACACCGCTGTGATATTTTTAAGAGCTTTTAAACTCGAGTTATAGGAGTTTAAAACGGCAACTCATGTATGTTCATGACGTCTGTGAGCGTGAACAGCCAATGAGCTGCTCCGCTCGCCAATCAATCATCACTCTCTAGCAGTAAAGCCCGCCTTCTGCTGCCCAAAACCCATTTACTGTAGAAAAAAGGAACTGTATAGGTAAGATTTCTTTTTTTTTTTAGTGAAATACATCCTTCTACTTTCTTAAAATTAAAGAAACATTCTGGGCGAGTGATTAGAAACTATTTTAACTTTTCGTTTTTAGCCGTTGAGCACCATTTCCTCCCATTCATTGAGGACTCACTCGCGGGCGCCCTCTGCTGTTTAACAGTCCTGTTTTTGATATAACGGGGGGAAAAAGGAAGTGGCCAGACTGCTCATAAATCGGCTCTGGTTTGACTCCATGTTTGCTTCGGAGCGCCGTTTTTTTCACCATCCAATCAAATCCTGAAGAACAAAATAATGCTCCGCCCACACTGATTTCCCAGCGTATCCTGATTCACACAGAAATACGTCACATTTAGGCATAAAAAAATGCATTCTGATTTCCGTTTCACGTTGACTTTAAATGCAGCTTTCTTTTATTTTCAGCTGTTTGCTTCTTCTTTTGTTCGTTCCCTGCATAACTAGGTGTGTTTTTCTTCATATGTGACACAGATGTGTCATCTGTGTGTCAGTGTGAACAACAAAAAACGCACTGAATCTGACAATTTCAGTTCTGATTTGAGACGCTTTCATATGTGGTACTGAAATCCGATACGTATCCAATCTGCGGCAATGCGAACAGCCAGATCGGAATTCATGCATTTTGTACGTCAATCCAACTTGACATTCGTCATAATTGAGACCTCATAAACATTTGGGGTGATATTTCTGTAGAAAAATGAGAATGTGGGTCGGTTTGGGAGCGTGATCTGTTCAGACTGATGTCGCATACAGATCACATTTAAAAGATAATGTGAACAGCCAAACAAAAAATCGGATTTGGTGAGAAAATGTGGGCCACTTTAACCTGCTGTGTGAACATAGCTTTAGTCACGGCTACAGCCTTTAAGCATAAACTGACGATTTTGGAAAGATGTAAATTTGAACAAAGCATGGACATGACAATAAATCTTTAGAGGAGGACAGAGAAAGTAAAGCAACTGCAGCTACCCACGTCTCACAGCACCAGCTTCTTATCAGAGCAAATTCTGAAGTTCAGTAAATATTACAGTTTATTGATTATTTAGTCTCACAAATTCTGAACAAGTAAACACTTAAATAAGAATACTTAATACATTAGTCACGTTTTGTTATGACTCTGATTAAGCAAGTTATTTGTTTTAAGCTCTTACCGATCCAAATTGCTCTGAATGAGCAATCCAACAATAAAGAAACGTGCAACTTTTATACAGTGATATGAAACCTGGTACGCGCTGATACGTTTCACACTGACCAGCGTGAACATGCTCTCTGCAACCAACTGAATGCCCCTCCCTCACCCTCCCTTTCCAAGTGTGTAGTAGAACCTATGGCGGCTGTCAGGTTTTCTGCCATCACCTGTCCCAATTTGATTTTGCTTCTTCATGTTTTCACTACTTTGATGATGAGGATTCGCCCTCCCTTGCTTTTTCTTGTGCTAAATAATAAGTATGATCCTCCATTTGTCAAATTTTGTGTTCTCAAACTTATCACAACAGAAAATGGTTAGCCAGCACCGGCAGCAAACACTGATTCTTCTTCTTTCTATGTTTTCCAACCAGTGCTATAGCACCAATAAATTCAAGGTGCCGCTTTAATGTAAAAACACAAAAGGCACTTTCTAGAGCCAGTGTTTGGTTTGTCCATTTTGGGCTACTGTTGAATGACATGACGGCACAACATAGCGGCCTCTGCTGGAAGAGGACCTGCTTCATATGTAGATATGAAGCGCTCATTCTAAGCTAATAAAAACACAATGATTCGTAGTTACAGGTGATTATACACTAGTGAAAACTAGTGTTTTCACTAGCACCCCAGATTTCAGCATTGCAGCTGTTAAAAAGAATGATAATAATACATTAGTCTGACTTTTGGATAATTTGAGTGTAGCGCTATGTGTGCTTGCTTCAAAGTGGAGTTTGTACTTTTCTATTTTTATTTATTATTTTCAAAATCTGCAGTAGCTTTGCAGTATTTACGTTATGGTGTATTTTCATTAAAGTGAACTGAATCACTTCCCTCGCTCACTGCAGGCCATTTTGGGGGCACAACACTAAAACACATGCAGGTTGAGGTGCAAAGAGTGAAAGTATGTGCAGAGATAGAGGCCAGTTCTGAACCCCACAGCCACAGACATATTCACTTCTAATAGTTGACTCTTTGATAAATATATGCCTGACCCTTTAAAATACATGCCCATATATCAGAATTTCCTATGGGATGTTTCAGATAAATAAAACACCAATTAGAAAACAGCATTTTTGCCAGGCCCAGACCACCATAAATACACTTTTGCAATAGTGTAACTTAAATACATGTTTACCTTAGATTTAATGTCGAAAAACGTTCAAACATGTTTCATTTTTAAGAGTTATGGCCAAAATATAGCAGTTGTTTTAATACGTTATCACGTCATAATTTCATAAAGTTAAGTTGTGAAATTGTCGTGTTTTATTAGAAGTCATCAGTCTTCAGCTCGAACGTAAACACTGCGCAGATGTTACAAAGATCGATTCCTTTGGACTTGCGAATCGGTTCGGTCGGTTTATTGAAAACAACCGATTCAAACCAAGTGAATCGTTCGCTAGTCAGGCAGCGCTGTACAGCAGAACCGATTCAAAAGAGCCGACTCAGGAAAGCTGTTGTTGGCCGTCGTTAATCAGCAGTAGCAGCAGTGTCGGTAGCAGCGATGTCTGGCCGGTCGGTCCGCGCTGAGACCCGAAGCAGAGCGAAAGATGATATCAAGCGGGTCATGGCCGCCATTGAGAAAGTACGAAAATGGTAAGGAGGCGGTTGGATAGGTTTGTCCGTGTATGAGGACGAGCTCATGGTGGGGGGAGGAGAGATGGAACAAACGAGAACTACAAGGTGGGGGGCGGAGGGAGAGAAACAGAAAGAAAGAGCAGTTTTAGACCGAATTTCTCAGTGAGCCGAACACCGATGAGCTGTTTGGAAGCTCCCGAGGCTCCTCAGTACCGCGAACAGCCGAAACATCTGGCCGTTTCGGACATTTTCGTTTTCGTTTAACGGCTGTGCGGGTTGAACACAGAAGCCATTTCGCT